CTTTCAAGGTCACAGATGCTTCCTCCGATTTACAGTGGGGCCCCACCACTACCAGTTTGTGGTCCTCCCATTCGGCCTGGTCACAGCACCCAGCATGTTTACCAAGTGCATGTCAGTGGTGGCTGTTTACCTCAGGCATCAGGGTATCCAGATCTACCCGTACCTCGACAACTGGCTAGTCAAGGGCAACTTCAGGTCTCAGGTCCAAGAGGATGTCGCAGTGCTGCAAGCCATGTGCCTCTCCCTGTGCCTACTGGTAAACGACAAAAAATCTACGTTAGTCCCGGTGCAGAGGATAGAGTTCATTGGAGCGGTGCTCAAATCAACATGCGCCAGAGTGTTCCTGCCACTAGAAAGGTTCCAGACATTGATGGACCTCATCGCGGAGGTCTCCACGTCCCCCCTGACTGTGGCCAGGGTTTGCCTGCGGCTGCTGGGTCACATGGCAGTGTACACCTACGTTGTCCACCATGCCAGGCTCCGGATGTGACCCCTGCAGCAATGGCTGGCAACAGTCTAATCCCAGTCCAGAGATCACCTGGAAAAGGTTGTTACCATTCCCCTGATGGTACTTGTCTCACTGTGATGGTGGACCGATCGCATGACCCTTCTAGAGGGTGTTCCATTTGACACCCCCCATCACTCCATCGAATTGGTATTGGACGCCTCAGACTTCAGCTGGGGCGCGCACCTCGGCAATCTCAAGAGCCAGGGTATGTGATCCCCAGGGGAGATGACATTACACATAAACGTCAAAGAACTCAGGGTGGTCCACTTGGCATGTGGAGTCTTCTTACCTCACCTGTTCGGCAAGGTGCTGAGAGTCCTGACAGACAACATGGCCTCGATGTTCTACATCAACAGGCAAGGGGGAGCACGTTCATCGACTCTGCGAAGAGGCACTCCATCTTTGGGACTTCTGCATCAGCCACAAAATCTATCTGGAAGCTTGTCACCTCCCTGGTGTCAAGAACACGCTAGTGGATCACTTCAGCAGGGACTTCTCCTCCTATCACAAGTGGTCGCTCCACCCAGAGGTAGCCTGCATGATCTTCCAGAGGTGAGGAACTCCCCAAATGGACTTGTTCACCACAAGGCTAAACAGGAACTGCCACTGGTTTCGTTTGCGGCAAGGCCTCCCTCTCGATGCCTTCCTCCTGTCGTGGTCAGGGAACCTGATATACGCGTTCCCTCCGATTCTTCTCATCAGCAGGGTCCTGGCAAAGATCAGGAGAGACACAGCACAGTTTATCATGATTGTCCTGGTGTGGCCCCGCCAGCACTGGTTGGCACACTTATGAACCTGGCAGTGGCCCCTCCCTGGCCCTTGCCTCCTGCCCAACCAACCAGACTTGCTGTCACAGGACCATGGTCACCTCCTTCACCCCAACCTCATGTCCCTCCACCTCTTGGCATGGATGCTGCGTGGCTGAACCCGGAGGAGCGGACCTGCTCAGATGAAGTCCAACAGGTCCTTCTGGGAAGCAGGAAGCCCTCAACTAGACTGACTTACCTAGCCAAATGGATGAGGTTTTCCCACTGGGCCTCCAAGCATGGCATCTCTCCCACACACTCTTCTATACAGTCTATCTTAGACTACCTGCTTCATCTGAGGAACCAGGACCTGGCACACTCTTCCATTAGAGTGCATCTCATGGCCATCTCCACTTTTCACCTGCCAATCCAGGGCCAGACAGTGTTTTCTCATGACATGACAGTCAGATTCTTGAGAGGCCTCGAGAAACTCTTCCTGCAGGTACGGACTCCTGTTCTGCAGTGGAATCTTAACTTGGTCCTGTCTAGCCTCACTGGCCTGCTGTTTGAGCTGCTGGGTTCCTGCTCCCTTTTCCACCTGTCATGGAAGGTTGCGTTCCTGGTGGCGGTGACATCGGCAAGACAGGTCTCTGAAATTAAAGCCTTGACCTCAGGACCTCCGTAACTTGTCTTCTACAAAGATAAGGTTCAGTTGCGGCTCCCCCCAGCCTTCCTGCCAAAGGTGGTCTCCACCTTCCATATGAACCGGGACATCTTCCTCCCGGTGTTCTGTCCCAAACCGCACAAGACCAGTGAAGAGATGCGTCTTCTGGACGACTCCCTGGACGTCTGGAGGGCCTTGGCTTTCTACTTAGAACGGTACTAAGCCTTTCTGAAAATCGACTCAACTGTTCATCGCTACAGTGGGTAGGATGAAGGGTCACCAGCTGTCCTCGCAGAGGATTTCCAATTGGTTCACCTTGTGCATACGGACCTGTTACAACCTGGCGGGGGTTCCGCCGCCGCCGATTGTCAGAGCACACTCGATGAGAGCGTAGGCTTCTTCGGTGGCCTTCCCGGCGCACATCCCTATCCAGGACATCTGTAGAGCTGCAATGTGGTCCTCTGTTCACACATTTACCTCTCATTATGCCATCACTCAGCAGGCCAGAGATGACGCTGGGTTCGGCAGAGCTGTGTTGCAATCGACACGTCCATGAATTCCTACCCGCCTCCAGGGGTACTGCTTGGGAGTCACCTCCCAATATGGAATGGACATGAGCAAGCACTCGAAGAAGAAAAGACAGTTACCTTTTCCGTAACTGGTGTTCTTCAAGATGTGTTGCTCATGTCCATTCCACAACTGCCCTCCTTCCCCACTGTCAGAGTTTCCAGCAAGAAGGAACTGAGGGTGGAGGGAGACGGTGGCGCCCCTGATACCACAACATGCGGGTGCCACTCCAGAGGGCGCCAGAGCCGGTCCCCTATGGATACTGCTAAGGGAAAAACTTCTGGCATCAGTGCATGTGGCGAGCACACACAACTAATATAGAGTGGACATGAGCAACACATCTCGAAGAACACCAGTTACGGAACAGGTAACTGTCTTTTTTTCTTGGTTTCTGCTGGTGCACCAGGAATCCCATGGATATCAGTAGACCCATAGTTCGAGTCCAGCATCAGTTGGAACCAGATGAAAAATGAAAACTAGAATTTCTGAGTGGGTCTGTGATACAGAACGATGGCAGACCCTGTTGATTTTTCCTAATCCTCTTAATTATCCAGCAGCATACAGTTCCTTGAGTAGTCTCTGGTGTGGGCTTAGGCCTTCAATCTACTCCCCTTGATGGATGTCAATGATAGTGTTGACATTAACATCAATGGGAACAGGAGTGTGTCCTTAAAGGGCTAGTCTACACGTACAACGCTACAGCTCTGCAGATGTGCCACTGTAGTACTTTAGTGTAAACTCTACCTATGCTGATGGGAGGGATTCTCCTGTCAGCACAGGTAATCCACCTCCCTGAGAGGCAGTAGCTAGGTCAACAGAAGAATTCTTCCATTGACCTAGTGCTGTTTACATGGGGATTGCGACAGACCCAGAGCAGTGGGATACAGGAGTCTGGTAGAAGGCAAATATATTGGCCACTGAATGAACAGTTTTCTGTTCTCTGAGTGACCAGAGCAGGGGCTGCCCTAGAGCTATCAGGAACCTGCCAGAACCAATTAAGACAGGCAAGCTAATCAAGATACCTGGAGCCAATTAAGAAGTTTCTAGATTAAATTATGGCAGGCAGGCTAATCAGGACACCTGGCTTAAAAAGGACCTCCCATCAGTCAGTAGGGGGGCGTGCAAGGAGCAGGGAGTGAGAAGGCGTGCTGCTGGAGGAGTGAAGAGTTCAAGCGTGATCAGGCTTCTGGAGGAAGATCCTGCAGTGAGGATAAAGAAGGTGCTGGGGGGAAGACAACAGGGAAGTAGCCCAGGGTGTTGTAGCTGTCACACAGCTGATACAGGGAACCTTGTGGACAGCTGCCATCCACAGGGCCCTGGGCTGGAACCCGGTGTAGAGGGTGGGCCGGGGTTCCCCCCATCCCCCAGCTCCTGATTAGACACAGGAGGAGTTGACCTGGTCTGTGAGAAACACCAGAAGGGAAGGTCTAAATTGGAAAGGGATCTGCCCTGCCCCCGACCCACTAAGTGGGACACAGAGACTGTGGGGATTGTTCTCCGTTTCCCCCATGCTGGCCAGTGATGAGGTTAGCTGAGTGGATGGCAGGTTTGAGCCACTAGCAAGGGTGGCCAAACTGAGGGCTGCCGTGAATCTCTGAGGTGAGCAAATCTGCCAATAAGCGCAGGACCCACCAAGGCAGAGGAGGACCTTTGTCACAGGATATAGGTCATTTTAGCTACTGACCTAATTTTCTAGTATAGACCAGCCCAGAATCTTGTTGTCATTTTCAGTGCAGCAGTCACAAATCAGCAGCATAAGCTGATAGGACAGCGGTTCTCAAACTTTAGCAACCCAAGGACCCCCATTTTGATTTAAATTTTTTTGCGAACCCCAAACTCCCCACTCAGCCCCAGGCCCTGTCCCCACTCCACCCCTTCCCCCAAGGTCCCACCCCTGCCCTACCTCTTACCGCTACTGTTCCACCCCTACCCCTCCTCTTCCCTGCCTCTTTCCACCCTCTTCCCTGAGCGTGTCCCGCCCCCACTCCTCTCCCTCCCTTCCAGCTCCTGCATGCCACTGAACAGCTGTTCCCCAGTGTGCAGGAGATACTGGGACAGGAGGGAGGGAGGGCGGGGGAGTAATTGATCAGCGGGGCCCATGTACCCCCTGGAGTAAGGAGCCCAATCTGCGAAATGCTGCGCTAGGACAATGTTAGCACCTCTTAAAGAGGACAATCTACTTTATGTCTTGGACAAGTAAGGGTGTTAACTAGAGGGAACAGGATTTGCAGTAACAACATACCTTTTATGACTCCTTCAGTTTGATGTTAGTGTAATTGGTTTTAAATTTTTGATGAGATGACAAACATCAAAGGAAAGTCATTTTGATGCACTCTAGTGACTGTAGGAAAGTTACCAAATATAAAATGGTTTATAGGATATATCTGTAAACTTAACACATCGGACTGAGGATTCAAACCAAATTACGTCTCTTGTATAAAGCAGCCATGTTCAGGATGTAAAATTTAACAACATTGATATTTTCCTTTCAATTTCCTGGCTGTATTTTACTCACTGCCCAGATCTTCTCCAGCTGTTCCAGAGTACCAGTAACTGCTGGGAACACGGGTTGACCCTGGAGCATTTCAACCAATATACAACCTGCACCCCTGCAAAAAAGAAATACCAACTCATTCAAGTAAGCGGCACGTACAGTGTGTATGTGTGTATATATATATATATATATATATGTAAAAAAGGTCTATCCTTCAGCATGTTGGCCTAGATGTTAATGTAACTCTCGGTAGGGTGGTAAATAGTACTGTAGTAATGGTCCCTGGCACTTACACAGTGATACAGATAGGGTTTTTTTGATGGCTTTTGAAATGCTAGGTGGAAATGGTCATTAGCTTTAGCAGCAACAGTGAGATTGTGACGTCTTACATCGATTCATATCAGGCCTAATTTATTTGCAGTCCCCAAGATGAGGTAGATAGAACTAGGCAGCTTTCTGGAGAGCCTGTTTTGATAAATATAAGTCAGTACAGTGCTGCCAGGGCTGCTATTTTAATCTAAGACATCAAGGCCAAAGTGTCTCTAACTCTCAATTGGAGGTGCATTCCACCTCTTCAAGATCAGGGCCAGGGTTTCTGTCCTGCTAGGAAGTTTGCACATGTAAGTGACATAAAAGGGTGTTGCAAAACTGATCTCTGTTACCTAAACTGCCATCTGACACAAGGGTCTAGAGCAATAGAGTTCCAATCTGAACAGAAAAGAATATAGGAAACAGAAATCCAGAGCTGCTAATCATTAGTGCAGAGATCCAGTCAGGGGTGACAACTGGAAGAAGAACTCAACAAGTTTTTCCACGCTCAGTTAACATTTGCTGTGAATTAGGAATTGGCAGCTGTGCTTCTGTAATATTTAAATATGTACTTTTAAATGTTTACATTTGCCTCAGCGTATATCCACATCCCTTCTTTTTTTCTTCTTTTGCTTTTCAGTAGCCTTTGTGGTATTTATTCTGGATCCAGCCCCATAGGAATAAGCAGTGCTTCTTCATTGCTGTCTTACGCAGGATGTTTCTAAAACCAACATTTTATTTTAAATTTTCTAAGAGTTAGGCCCAGGCACACAATCGTTTAATTTGCTTTTTCCTTTTTTCTTTTCTTTATTTCTTTTCTTAAATTTCTGAATTTTTATTCTTGAGGCTCCCTGCCCCTTCATATCTACAAGCTTCTCAAAGGATTTCTGTTCTGTAGAGCTACCTTTTGGAGGAATCAGTGGAGATGAAGGGGTATATCGGTGGGAAAAACAAGTAGGTGGGATCAAATAGCAAATTCTTCCATAAGGGAAAAATGCAATGGGGCATTTTACTGCTCCATTTGAGATTATTCAATAGCTTGGGGGCATGAATCTCCTCTCACTTGCACCCGTTTTAAACTGGGGTAATTCCACTTGCTTCACTGGGTTTCCTCTGATGTATACTTGTGATACAGGAGAATCAGAGTATGGCCTTTATGCTAATCTCACTTGCTGTGGTATAAATCAAGAGTAACTACTGAATTCAATGGAGTTACACTTGTGTAAAATTGGGGCAAGTGAGATTAGCATCTAACCCAATTAAGAGTATGTTTTCTGCCTTTTTTGGGTACTTCCTGGATTTTCTCTTCCACCTCCTGTGACCCAACCTGAACAGACCTTCCTACCAACCCCAATACTAAATAATAGGGAGCGCTATCTTAAATCCCTTCGTAAAATCCCTCACGAAGGAGCCTACAGTTGTGATTTCAACAAGTTCCTGATGTTCATGTGGGCTGTAAAATAAGATACCAATTGCTGAAGTGCAATGAGTGCAAAAATTTGGTATTAGATTCTTCAATTCAAGTGGGTGTAATCAAGGCAGGTTTAGACAATGCTACCAAATCTACTGTCACAGCATCTCTCAATTCACCAGGGACAGGTTCAAATGCTAGTGTGATCCTTGCTGCTCATGCTCCTGGGCTACATCATGTGGCGTATGGTGGTGATCTCTGTGGTGATAAGAACTTGGGCCCTCTGGGGATTCAGGATTTCTCTCTCCCTCTTTATCATGTCACTGAGGAGGGTAATTTGCAGGTTTCCCCATCCTCCTGTTCAATGGGAAACCTTCATCTACTGTTCCCCTCATCTTCAAGTACAGTTCCCAGTTCTGAATGCATTTCCTGTTGTCCTTAAACACCTTTGAGTGCCCTAGCTGGCAGGAATGAGAAATTTGAGGCAGGAGTGAGAAGAATGTTGAATCTAGGGCCTTGCAGTGGACAGATCCCCAACAAATGACCTCATGGGGGCTCCAGGTCTGCATGAATCTGCTCTGGGTGTAATATTCCTGTAAGATTATGTTCGGCACTTGTGGGGGCAGGGTTTACTGAAAATAAGATATACAGCCAAGCTGGCAGTACTCACAAAACCAGCAGCTGCCGAAAGCCAACTCTAAGTATTCATAAAGAATTTTGTGTTTAAAAAAAAAAATTTCCCTGATGTTCAGTGTAATCTTCCCGAAACATTCTGTTAGTCTCCCTGAAGTCCCTTAATTGAATCTTCTAAGGTCTCGGAAAGACAGTGAGGGAGAAAGAGAGCAAGAGAAAGAGATTAAAAAAGCTCTGTAAGTTAGTCCAAGAGCTAGTGAGCCTCCTTCTATATCTCTCTTAATCTATTTAAGGCCCTATTCACTTTCCATGTGCCTCCCACTGACAATATTGCTGCTCATGCGCATTATGGATGAATTGCCATCATGTTTTATTTTTTATAATTGGTTCCTTTAAACCAAGGCTTTAACACTCATTGTCACATGCCATTGCCAAGGGCATTCCGACCCAATTTCATGTAACTTGCTATGTCCGAAAGAAGAGGATTTTTTTCTTGATAGACAAGTAACGTCTGTGTGAATGGACATCTTTTCCTAATAGATAAAAATTGAACTTATATGGAGCCTACATCAAGATAATAAATGACTCTTGTGAGAGGAAGTCAGGGAATAGAGTTCACATACTTTCCATTCTCTCAGCATGACGTCTTTCTGAAAGGCGAACACTTTGAATGCTATTATTATAAGGAGGTGTTATAACAAAGGTGCTGTACTGGAATGTAATGGAGTGGGGCTCAGAGTCCCTTATGCTGTGCTACTGGTGACAGATAGTGCTGGATGAAATCTTTATAGACAAGCCCCTGTGTCCTACATGGTACATTAGGGCAAAATTATGCAACAGAGATCCTGGCTTTGTACAGCAGGAACCCCAGGTTTATATATTTAGGGGATGATCAGGCCCGTGGACTGGCCTTGAGTCAGTGAGGAGCAGGAGGGCGGGTACCAGAAGGTGTCTGCCTTGTACACCAGTGGCGCTGGAACCAGGGAGGGAACAAGGGGGCCATAGCCCTCCCACTTTTTGAAAGTGGACAGGCCTGTCCTGTGCACTTTTTGCCGGAGTGGACCCTGCCCCTTCCCTTCCTCTTCCCCCCAAGGCCCCGCCCCCCAGCTAGGCCAGTGTGAAGCCCGGCCAGGGAGCCTGGGCAGTTGTGGGAGCCGTGCAGACCCTCCACTTGCCTGCGGAGGAGGGGGGCCGAGAGCAGCCTCCGTCCTGTGTCCCCACCCCTGGGCTCCCTGTCCGGCCCAGGGCAGGGGTGGGGCTTCGGAGGGCAGGGGTGGGCCCGCAGCCCCCCTTACTTTTGGGAAGGCTCTGACACCCTTGAGTACAATTGCATGTTCCACTAGGCAGGCAGGCATCTTCTTCAACAGTCCATGAGGGGCTGTAGGTGGCTTAGCCTGGGGAGAGCCAATGGACCTGTGGCTGCTTAGAGAGAGGCAGGGGGAGGACATTCCAATTTAGATCTGCCTAGCCGCTGAGAGCTGTTATAATGGAGAAACAGGTTATTTTAGTCATTGAAAATTTGATGCAATTAAAGTGGCAGTAGCCTTGGAGAGAGGAAGAGACTTAGAGCTCCCACTCCCCTGCACTGCCCTCTTGACCCAGGCCACCAGAACCTCCGATAAGCCTCATGCTGCTGGAGAATATGCCTGCCTTGTGGCGCTGGAGTTCTGCTGGGCACACACCTGCTAATGCAAGTCTCCCTGTGCTTCTTGCAGATTTTGTCAGCCTATTAGGCTCCTGCCCAGTCCCCCAAAGACCCTAATGAGGTCTTTGTCCAGGCACAGAAGTGGTCATAGCAGAATGATGGAGTTACAAGGTATTAACTGGCGCTTGAGGAAGGAGTGAAATTGAGCAGAAGTTTACTCAGTTGTGTAATTGTATAGAGCATGGGACTTTGCCTATTTTAACTGTGGAGTGTGTTTGGAAATAAACAGTGGTGTAAAAGATGAGGTATCACAGAAGTAAAGATAATCCAAATATCCTTCTAACTCCAAACCCATCTAGGACTCTTTGATGGCCAGAGCTGTGTTTTGTTATCAAAGGTCAGATTTATTCTTGGTGTAATTCTTCTAGTTATCATGTGTCCAGAAACCAGTATTTCCAGAATGATACCACAGCCTTGGCCAGTCAGATACCTCCAGAATAATACACTTTTGCATTAGATTTGAAAGTGCTTTACAAAGGTTAGTGAACTCATGACACCTCTGGGAGGTATATAGGTGAGATATGAGGATGGCACTCCTGAAAGCATAGCTACTGATGTTTGCCACTTGTAGGAACCCAACAGTATAAGCACAGCACCTTCACTACTCACAGGCCTTGATACATCTTTCAGTCTATATTTGCTCAAACTTGGCTGACTCCGTTTCAGTCATCTAAAGATGAGGCAAATGATAGTTCAGTTTCCCTGAGAGATACCAAAATGTGTCAAAGTTGGTTTCTCACCAGATATCCAAATCAGAAGAATAATCAGTGGCTCCGAGTAGGACATCAGGAGGACGGTACCAGAGCGTCACCACCTCAGAGGAGTATGTCTGACTGGGGATGGACTTGGCACGAGCAAGACCTGTCAGAACAGGAAAAACACGTATCTAGTTACACTTTCATGTCCCTTTGTAACTCATTGTGACATCCCACTTCCTTCTGCCTGGACAGTGCCCGAGTCCTAAGAATCAGAAGAACAGTTTAATTTTCTGTAGCACTTTTCATCCTAAGTGATCCCAAAGCACTTTACAATCAACAGATACATACAAAGTATGTAAAATACAACCTGCTGCATTTTGTAAATCAGTGAGGAGGAAAACGGGATGTTTTGACTGAGAACATGGGCAAAGCCCTGCTCTTAAAAAACATGCCACTGATTTTTATGCAAAGCAGATGGACCTTGGCTTCTAAGGTCTCTACTTAAAAACCCACTTATACTTACCTTTGTGGTACTTAATTTATCTGTTTCAGAATAGAGAGAGCATGCAGTTTAAAGATATGTACGACATGTATTTAAAAAGTTTTGGATTTTGTCTGAAATATCCAGTTTCAGCAGATATGCTGATTTGTGTGTACATAATATTTGCATACATTTTATACATACACAGTATGTATAGCCATGGTATAAATTGCATTTATCTTCCACCTTTTCAGTGTTTCTAAGGCACTTAGCCCACTGATTCAAACCAGGTGAGACAACTATTGGCATTGCAAACCTCTGAGCAGCTTCAGATAGCTACCGTTTTAGAATGAACAAACACCTTCAGAATGTTTCTTTCCTTCCTGCAAAATGTGACATTCTCTCCCAACTCCTCAAAATGACATGGATCCGAAGTGCAGGATGTGCCAGAGTCAGTCCTAGATCCCGGCAGATTAAGATAGAAAGGCAGATCCTCAGCTGGTGTAAAAACTGTCATAGTTCCATCCATGGACTTCTATGGAGCTATGATCATTGACACCAGCTGGTAGGATTGCCAGCCCTCCAGGATTGTCCTGTAGTCCCCAGGAATTAAAGATTAATCTTTAATTAAAGATTATGTCATGTGATGAAACCTTCAGGAATATGTCCACCCAGAAGTGGCAACACTACCAGCTGAGGATCTGTCCCAAAATATGGTGAGACTCATCAGGGCTGGAAAAAGGAAGCCTTATACCACTGGAGAGGTGAGAATCTCTCCTTCCCACAGCTCTGAAGCATTTGGCCTGAATTCTCAGTTACACTAAGGCCCTTTGACACTGCTGTAGCTTGGCCCTTAAAGTGGGTGTAACTGCGAGAGGGGTATAAAGGGGCCTTAGTGTAAGGGAGAATTCAAGACCTTTATTCGTAGCCCTCTTAGATCTCAAATTATCAGACCTTAAAATCAAGACGTTATGATTTTTATAAAAATTATTTTAAAGGTTTCTGGAAGTTTAGTTATATTTTTTCTCTCTACAAAGTCCGTAACATTGGCTGTGTGGGGCTGAGATGAACTGACTTTACAGACAATACAGAGAGGAAGGGTAACAAAAATGCTGCCAATTAAAAAAAAAAAGTAAATCTCAAACATTTCTAACATAATTTTGTCCTGTAAAATGTGGCATATGCAGAATACATGATGGTGTGGAAGGAAAGTTTTATTAGCCCACATTTGGGATGACCTGTATAATTCAGTTTTGGCAAAGTAAGTTCATGCCAATAAAATCTCTACCCTTCCCTACATAATCATCTATTCTGTATGCAACATATTTAATGTCGGGGTCTGATTCTCATCTCCCTGGAATTACTCCTATACTACTGGAATTGTATTGTTTTAAATAAAGTTACTTTCAGTGTAAACCAGTATAAGGAGAGGAGGATCAGGTCTACAGATTGATCACAGAAATGCTTTTCTTGAAGTGCAGTGAGAGAGGTTATGCTCACGTACCCATTGGTGGCTTTGGATGCGTAAATATAAGTATGTGAAAGCACGGCTCTTAGATGCGCTAGTTGTAACTAGGCAGCGACTCACCAAAGTCAGCTAATTTGAGCTCGCCAAGGCAACTGATGAGCAAGTTCTGGGGTTTCAGATCACGATGAAGAATGTGGTGTTGGTGGATGTAAGCCAGGCCTCGCAAAAGTTGGAACATGAAGAGCTAGAAAAAACGGGCAACAAACTTTAGCAGATTTGTGGGATTTTGCATCAATATATTTACTCTGAATGTCAGGAAAACCTTTACAATGAAACAGTGCAAAAGGGAGGGAGGAATCAGTAAAAACTTTGTCAACTTGTTAAGCAGTGGCACAGGCTGAGCAGGGGGACTGGAAAATTGCAACAATAAAAATTATGGAATCTTGGATAGTTACATCAGCTGATGGTTATATGCTTCCTACCAGTCTCCCTGATGCTTTCAGTGTGTCATACTATGACAGTGAAGGGGCTGTCACTCTTCATATCCTAAATGGGCATTTCAAAAGCTTTGCCCTTTAGAATCTGACTGTTTATTTTAGGAGCAAAGATGACTTAAGGCTTCCCAAAGCACAGACTCAGCATCTGCAATGTCAGAAGTCCTGGTATTGGTGTTAATCACTGAGGGAGACACCGAGAGGAAAAATGTACGTAGAGGAGGAAAAACCGCAGAAGAAAAGAGGGAGAAGGAGAAGAGAGAGGACACAGAAGGAAAAAATAAAGCCAGAGGGCCTGATTCTCACTACTCTGGCAGTGTAAAGTGATCCTAAAGTAAATGAGAATCAGGCCCAGAACAGGGTCTGAAAAGGCATGAAGGATAGAAAACAACTCATTGCATAAGTTATTAGCCTTCTCCAGAGGGGAAACACTTTTTATCTGAGACCTTTCCTGGAGACTAGAAAAAAAGGTGACATTCATGGTTAGCTTTTCTACTGGAAAAGAGGCAAACAAAAATCAGATAAAAAAATGCAAAATATGATTATATAGCATCTTCCATGTGAGATCTCAAAAATTGCTTTGCAAGGATGAAAGAAACAAGCCATACGACACCCTCCTGCAGGCTCATAGTAAATCACTTTGCTGTTTTCCAGTCTTCTTGTCAATGACGAATGAAAACATCTAAGGAGGGCAGCTGGCTCGTATTTACTAATGCAAGTGCCAGTCAGAACACGTTACAGTTTTTTGGGTTTTTTTTAAAACAAGCCTTCCTGGTGGCATAGCACTTGTGTGGTGCACTGCACCGACCCGTCATTTTCTGGAAGTGGAGACGCCGAGCAGCTCCATCTTCAGGGGGGCAAGTGACTGTTGCCCACACGCTTCTGAGATCTCCCCTGTCAGTCAAGGTTGGCATTAATTTTGGAATTATAATGGGCAAAGGCTGAGCTCCACAATTCCATTCCAATTAATTTAGGTTTCCATTCTGAATTGTAGCATTAATTTAAAAATATTAGAATAGGAGCCATTTGCTCATCCAGTGCTCTACAGGAGAGTAGAAACTGCAGGGTATGAACCTGCTTTTCCTAAATTATTTTACTATACACTAAAAAATCTTCCTTTTTTTAAACAACCTAAGAGCTGAATTTTGGTCCCATTACAGTTAGTGGCAAAACTCATCTTTAGTTAATGGAACCAGAATTCAGCCTTAAACATTTCTGATATTCTGAAATGTTTCTGATATTTAACATTTATGTTAGGGTAGTACTAAGATGCCCTGACCAGGATCAGAGAATCATTGTGCTAGGTGCTATATAAACATACAGGCAGATATGGTCTTTGCTCCAGAGAACTTGCAACCTGCCATTTTGTTTTAGAATATTAATGTGACGAAGATTTTGTAAAAAGTAGAACTGTGCCAAAACAAAAACACTGGATCTTGGACATCTCTGAACTTTGAGAGTGTTTGAAATCTGAACAAGGATTCAGATAAGTCCTTATTTTTAAACAAGGCAAAAGATTTAGAGGGGGTGACCGTCAGAAAGGGTGTAGTTTAATAACTTTATTAATGATCTGGGGAAATGGGCGACGAGTAAAGTGGCAAAATCTGCAGATGACAGAATTATTTAAATTAGTCAAGATGGGAGAAGACTTTGAGGAACTTCAGAGGTGCCTAATAAAGCTAGGAGAGCATGACAAATGAAATTCGTTGTTCACAGACGTAAGATGGAGCACATTGGGAGGAGTTGTTTGAATTATGCATACACAGTGATGGGTTCTAAATTAACTGAAACTACTCAGGAAAAAAGACCTGGGTGCTCATTGTGGACATCTCAATGGAAACCGCTTCTCAGTATGCAGTGGAGGTAAAAAAAAGCAATCAAAATGTGAGGATGTGTAAGAAATGGGATAGAAGATATAGAAAATTTTACAATGCCCTTCTATAAATTAATGGTACACCCTCACCCTCGCTTGTAGTCAACCTACCTCAGAAAGATATAGCAGAAATAAAAGGGATCTAGAAAGCTTAGAGACATGAAGATAGTTCCGTATTAGGAGGGATAGACTGTTGAGTTTTGAGAAGAGACCAGTGAGTGGGGAGATGATAATGAATTAAATAGAGATGGAACTCATTGCCACAAGATGTTGTTGAAGCCTTCTTGAACAGTCAGAAAACTGGAGTGAGGACTTTTTCAGTCTTTAATTGAAGAGTGAGTATGGTTGAATCTTTAACAACTAGATCTTTTCTCTGAACTGTTTGTCAGGTATTTGAGATAAATAGATATTAGCAAAAGATTTAAGATGTTTTAAGCACCACAACATTTTACAATGACTCTCCATAATGGAAAATAAACATACATTTCATGCTTTAAGGGATACTTGTCCCTTAAAGAACTCACCATGACATTGTGACCATGAAGTCCTCCAGGATGCTGGGCCATGTACTGTGCCAGATCTGTGTGCTAAATAAGTGTGGAGGGGAGAAGGAAAGACGACTTAGGACAAAGCTGCAGGTGAATCAGCTCTAGGGAAGACTGACTAGGATCACACTATTAAGTCAAATCCACAGTGGTACAACATACATATAATGGCAGTGACCCTTTTGTGAGTGACGTGTAGAAAACAACACTGGTTGCAAAGTTGTATTTTTTTCACCCTGGAAAGAAACACTTCACTTAAGTCTTGATCCAGCATAGCACTTAAGCACATCCTTAAAGTTAAGCACATGCTTAAGTGGTATATGAAATCAGAGCCCTGATCAGCATGTTGGCCCATCCTAACAGTTTAAGACCAGGGGCTACTAGTGGTCAGAATTCATCAGAAAATTGCAGATAGAGGAAACCATGGCTCATGTATTTTCCCGCTTGCTTAATGGGTCTTTTTGTTGATTTTTACCAAACCAGATGCTGAAATTAGGGAGCTTGTTGACTGAGATCAATGGTGAGAGAAACTGTGTCTCAACAGCACAGGTTTCACCACTCTATCATGGTAGCAATGAAGGAAATCAGCTTCTGCCAGTGTAGTGCAAATAAGGTGGGAGACCCTTCTTGAATGTGGCTGTCACTAAAGGGAGAAAGGAAGCAGGAAGAGCCAAGGCCATATAGATTGAAGTCAGATATTGAGAGTGAAAGAAATAATCACTGTAACGAAATTGTTCATAACACCTTCTTTTTATAATGCTATGAAATATTAACATTCATTATACAATCACCAGGTCTCTTCTTGATGCTTCATAACAAACTAGCAAAAGAGCAACTCACCATGTACTCGAAGACCAATGTCAGAGTGTCCTTTGTCTGGATAATGTCGTGCAGGAGCACAATATTGGCGTGTTTCAGACTCTTGAGAAGAGATGCTGGTGAAACAGAAATGAAGCTATGAGCCCAAGAGCTGCTTTTGGCAATGGAAGTAGCATATTTATGGCCTGGGTTATACATGGCTTCATCAATCAGGCTGTCTGGAAAAATCACTGGGCCAGATACTCTGAAGCTGAGGGAGGGAGTTACATGGGCCTCATGAAACAGTCTGGCCCCTTGTGTACTGCAAGGGGGATTTCATCCTAAAGGAAGGCTGGCAACATTGTCACCACTTGCCCTCTCTCATGGTTTCTGAGAAGATGCGCTGATTCAGCACGTTCTATGACTTCCCAGGCTGCACATGGGAGCTGCCACCCAATTTTGGGGCAAGGTTGACTTTGTGCAGAAGAGGGTTTGTAGTCACTTTCAAGAAGTACAATATCAGGGAGTTTGTGCTGATATCTATGCCAGTGTAAACTGGTTTAGATGTTAGGCAGGATTTCGCCAGTTTCTGTTTTTGAAAAGCATATTAGTTAATTCTCACACCTTCATGCTCCACAGAACTGCTCTCTAATGAGTGCCAAGAGTGCCGTTATTAAGTTAACAGTACCTCAACTGCATTTATATAACTTCAGCATGTTTTTATTGCTTGCCTAACCAGCTGGCAGAGCCACTGCAAGTATACAGCCCCCTAGACTCAACTCTCCCCTGCGGGCATGCTTTAGCGTTTCTCACACTAGGGATGGGCTGCAGCTGACAATCTCATGAAGGAAACTTCCCAACAGGATGTCTCTAGAATTTTGAATGGACATTAAATGCTAGAGCAATTAGTATTTATTGCTTGTAATACAGTCCAGTCCAGGGACCCCAATCAGGATCAGCGTCCCATTGTGCTAGGCGCTGTACACACACATATTAACAGGCAATTTCTGCCTTAAAAAGAGCATTGACTCAACCATCAGATTCACAAGCCACATGTGGCTCAAGCACTGCGCATTCCAACTTGCGGGAGGCATCACATGATGTCCTAACTAGAACTGGGCAAAATTTTTCAGAAAACCCCTTTTTTTCTGAAAAATGCAGATTTGGGTTGACTGATTGAAACATTTCATAAATTTGTGTTGAATTCGCCAAATTGTTTCCATTTAAAAATATAAAACAAGTTGAAACATTTTTGAAATAAAACAGTTTACATTTTTACTTGAAACAACTTTTTGATTTGAATTTTACTTCAGTTTTATTTTTTTAAAGGTAAACAACCCCATAAAAATTAACCTAAATGTTTTGTTCAAACCTAAACAATTTTATTTTATTTTATTTTTCTACTTTTTGGGTTTGCCGAAAAATTTGAAAAAAAATTCATTTCAGGTTGAACTGAAATTAAATATTTTTTTGATTTGGCCGCTGAACCGAAAAGTTACTTATGCACAGCTCTCATCCTGACACTGTGGTGGTTAGCTCCAGAGGTTAAAATACCAATTTAAAATAAAACACAGACAGGTTAAATCTTTATGTTGGTAGCCAACTTAGGTAAGTGAAAATGTTTGGTTCATGGTGGTGGTTCCTCCTGTAACTTGCGCTGATGACCGCAGTACTTACTACTATAAAACAAGCTTGTTACACTCATCTTTGTATTCTGAGGTCTAGATTGCCTGGCACAGCAGAGACAGGCTGGCAGGGAGAGATTGCACAAAGTCTCAGCACTTTGTGCCTTGCTTAGGGGATAGTCACAATCAGGGTACGTCTACATTGCAATAAAAACCTGCTGCTGGCCTGTGCCAGCTGACTTGGGCTAAGGGACTGTTTAATTGCAGTGTAGATGTCTGGTTCACCCTGGAGCAGGGTCCTAGAGCCCAGGCAAACTGGGAAGGTCCCAGAGCTCAGACTGAGGGCCTTGGTCAAATGTCAACACTGCAATTAAACAGCTCCTTAGCCTGAGCCCTGTGACCTAAGTCAGCTGGCACAGGCCAGCTGCAGGTTCGTAATTGCAGTGTAGACATATCCTCAGAGGCCTTGTTCTGCCTGAGGCTTGAGACAATAATAGCTTTCCCAATGGAGAGGGAGGAGAAAGGATGTATCAGAGGCTGCTAGCCTGCAGATCTCTGGTGCTCCAGAGATTTTGAGTCCAATTCTTGCACTCGATCAATTTGTGCTCAGTCCAGGACACCAAGAGGTCGGCAAAAGCAGCCTTTTGAGACTCCCTGATTCCAAGGCCATCCAGGGGTTAGTCGAGCCCTTGACATAGGGTAATAGACTCAGGGCTCCTCTAAAAATTGTATCTGGCTTCCTATGGACCAAATAAAGATGCTTTAGCCACATCCCTTATGCTGTGGAGGGGAGAGATATAGTGCAACTATACTGGCTGTATGCTACCCAGAGATTTTTCTATCATGAAGGAATTCCCAGCTGGCCAGATCCTGTGGGTTTCCCACCCTTTTGTACCAGTGGAGCAGCACAAAGGCTCTATAGTGAAATGAAGAATCAAGACTATTGTGTCCTGAGTTGGACATAGTGCCTCTTAGAGGTCTCAGTGCCCTTCAGCTGGTGCATCTCAGCATCCCTCTACTGTAGCATTACAGCCATAATTGTGCCTTAAGTATGTTTAATCCTTTTGAGGCTCTCTCAGATAAATTACCCCTTTGGCTGTTAAGTGTTTAGTGCCACTCCTTTAAGGTAACATAGAGTGCAACATGTTAATAAATCTAAAGCTTTGTTTAATGACACTTGCACTATTGACTTACATTGTAAATTTAAGATGTCAGATGTCACAAAGCTCAATACAACACAAAAGAACTATTTAAAATAGATCCTTCTTAGGAACTTCTTAGTTTTATCTGAGTGAATGGGAGTTAAAGGCTCTTGGCATTTCAATTAAGGCACCTCAATTAAGCAGCTAACCCTAAATTAGGGCAACCTGATCTTTTGAGTAAAGAACTAGCATCAGAGTTCTAAGCAGGTAAATGTTGAAGGGATTCTCTTCTAAAGCTTATTGTATTGGTAAGGTTCTTGTGGCAAGTAGATCAGCAAATGGTCCTACTTTGAGTGTCAGCAGCCCCATAATATGAGCTTCCCTGAAAATAGGGACAGCTCGGTATCTCGCTTTGCTTTCACCCAGAATTGGGGTAAAGTGTCCAATTCTGATCTTGTTTACATTGGTGTAAACCTGAAGCAGCTCCACTGACTTCTCTGCAGTTACTCTGGATTTAGACTGGTGTAACTGAGAGCAGAGTTTGGACCTCCTTCTCTGTTCTAGGGTTGTCCTGTGAATGCGGTTCCATCTGGTCTCCCCCTGCATACCACTAATGTGAGCACTGGCAAAATCAACCCCAGCTTTGAAGTGCAATTCTGAGTGGAACTATAAAACTGGAGTGTCATGACCCCTTCCATTTATAGATCTTACTTATATTAGACAACAGACTGGCAGAAAGGTTACATATTTCTACTTCTATTCTCCTCAGCGTAAAAAAGAAACTGGATTATATTTCCTTTGGGATCTTATACTAAAAAAGCAGCCTTAATGGTAGATTAAACAGGCAGTTTGGGAAATTATGTTTGTAGGGGCATCTAAACCTATAAGACAAAAAAAGACAGGAACTTAAGGAAAGACATAAAGGAAAGAAATCAAGAAAGCTGCAGACATTTAGCCCAGTGCTCTGTGAGGTCTCATGTTGAGAAACATTTCTTGCCATGTTGAAATGGTGCATTTTCCCAAAAGTCAGCTGTATCTAAAAATGTCTGCCATCAGACCGGAATTTCTAATGCTCCTGATAGCAGCAGCCATCAGTATGATAATCTATTACATACAACATGCCATGTTAAAAGAGTATCAGGGTCTCAAAGCCATCTCCCTTGTTCATATGCATGACACAATCCTTAATTATACGATCGCATGCTATTTTTTCTCCCCAGGCAGTCTTGTCTAGTGGTTAAAGCATGACTTTGATTGTCAAGAGACTTAAGTTGTTGTCCAATTTCTGAAACTAACTTCCTGTGCAGCTTTGGGTAAATTACTCAGTCTCTTTGTGCCTCTGTTTCCCAGCTGTAAAATACTTAGTAATAATACCCTTTATATAAAGCATTTGGGATCTTCATCAAAAGTATTACTGTATTATTAAAGAATCACTGTCAACTCATATATTTTTATTGCCATGGACATTTTCAATTATCTACAATTGTTATTATTTATTATTGTAGCACCTACACATTCCAATTTATGCTAAGCACTGTTCAAACAAGAGTAGTTGTCTGCCCTGAAAAGCCTGCAGTCAAAATCTAAAGACAGATAAAGAATGCAAGAAAGGAAGTCTTATTATCCATGTTTTACAGATGGGAACCTGAGGCCCAGAGAGATTAGGTGATTAAGTGACACACAAATCAGACCCAGATGTCTAGAGTCCTAATGCCAATGCCTTAATCACAAAACCAAACTTCTGCTTGTTCCTAAATCCACCAGTGGCAAACAGAATTACACTAATGCTCATAATAAAGTATAAGCAGAAGAGCAGAGCAGGCAAGAAAATAAAAAGAAGTTAGGAAGTTGCCAGATATGGAGATTTTAAATTAAAATACATGTTGAAAAATGATATTCCCACTCTCTCTTCAATGTTTGGATTGACTATATGTCCTTACCTTCTCGGATGGCGGTAAAAGGCACTCCTTCCTCTGTCTCCAGACTGATTACTTTCAAAGCCACCAAGTGGCCATTTATTCTAAAGGGTCAGAGTGAAAGGACATAAATGGACTCAGAAGGTGCCCATCAGTGCCTAACATGCCAACTAATACTAATTCACTTGGGACTATTCTGCGCTTTTCTAATAAGGCATTTAAAGGCTCAGTCACACACTCTGTCAAAGTCATGCTCAGCACAACTGTGAAGGGGCAGCAAAGGTGATTCAAAACCACCTTAATGGCTCCTCTAATCCTGGACAGGTTGGTGGCCATTTGGGCACTGGCACAAATTTGAGTTGGCTAAAATAGTCCCCTAAGAACCATCCTGTTGGCTAAGTGTCAGTGGAATGCATTGTACTTCCACTCTGCCCTCTCCACGTGTCAAAACACACCCTCCTTGCCTCCTGGCAGCCCCCCACAATGAAGACTTAAGCAGCTTCACACCATCCGAGGATTCTGCTTTGCCAGGGGAATCTAGAGCTCCTCCTTTGGAACAGCTTTAAGATGACCGCACAGCTCTGATAGGGCAAAGCACCCTCCATCTTAACAAATAACTTCTCTGAGAAATTGAACGGGTCTCACAATTGTGTGTAATATCCCAGTAAAGGGAAAACAAAACCTTTTATTTGCTCCTCTCTCGTTTTGAATATTCAGAATCTTCTAATTTCAAATTCACTTCTGGGAAGCTCCGCTGGTTTCAGTGAACTAAATGAATGGCAAAATGGCAGGAAGCTCCCTCTGGAACCTGCTCACCTGCTAATCCCCTTGTAAACTGTAGAGTAAGAACCTTCGCACAGCTTCTCCAGATTCAGGTAGGATGAGGCCGTTCCAAACGGGAGGCCCTGTCTCTGCTTAGATGAGGAAAAGGCATTTTTTTAGATCCTTTTCCCCCCCAGCAAAACAAAGGCTATTTGCATGACATCTGTACACAATGCTGGATAATTATACTGTGATTCATGGCTAATGATCATCTCTGGATAAACATCTTATAATGGCTGTATACATACTGCACACTCACCCACTGAAATCTCTTCACAAAATCCATCTCCTGGGAAGGATCGCTGTTACTCCGTAGTCTCTTTCTCCCAGACTTTTGTAGCTGGAGTGTTTGGAACCACTGTGATTGGAGTGAATCCATGGGATGTGGCACTCTCCTCAGATCTGGTAACTGAGAGGGAGGAAGCAAACTAAATCAAAGACAAATTCCTCCTACTTATTGATGATTTTCTCTCTTTTCTCCTCATTTTTTCTGATTTTCAGCTCTTGTTTTTTCCCCATCTCCTTTCCCACACTCATGTGCCCATCTGCTGATTCTCTAAGTAGCCATAATGGGATCAACTGTTTAAATTTTACAGCTTTTGTATATGGTATAGCTTGTGAAGCTGGTATTTCAGAGTGCATCAGTAACTGGGCTGATTTACCCCTCTGTTTTGGCTGTAATCTGTTTGGGGCAGGGACTGCGAAGCAAATTCAGAAGAGAGGTTTACGGAAGTCTAAATTTACACCTTCTTCTGCTCCCTTCCCCCACAATTACCCTTCATACTGACAAGTTTCTGAGTAACAGCTGTGTTAGTCTGTATCCACAAAAAGAACAGGAGTACTTGTGGCACCTTAGAGACTAACAAATTTATTAAAGAATAAGCACTGAGACTCTCTTACCACTATGTAACTGACACATTTTTATACATCATCTCTGAACTTGACCCATATGTCTTTTTATTGCTGTAAAACACCATGCAAAGTTATGACATTTATTTAATATGTCAACATTAAATAAAAATAATAATTAGTGGTGTGCAGCCTCCAAACACATATAGCACAACTGCACTGGGTTGGATGCCTATATACTATTTAATCCAGATGTAACAGGATTTCTAATCCACAGCAGGATTCCTCCTTTAGCAAGCTGTAAATCTTTGGCTCCCCTTTCTGTCTTGCACAGAGATAGCTGGAGTGGGACTTCTCCTGAAAACATCAGATCGAGGGAATTCTTCACAAGCTAAAGCATGGGGCGATTATAATTCCTCTCAGCAGGGAATCCACAAGACTAGAGCTGAGATAGCTAGAAGTCCTCTGTGTGGTTTCAATGGAAAGTTTGACCCTTAGTGAATTAGAAAAACACAGCAGACATTTCCGACTTCCAAACAGAATGGCAGACTGAGCTCCTTTATTTATCTCTCTGCTAAAACGCTGTCTGGGATACTGAATACCTCCATCACAGACTCCACTTCCACAGACTGGGTACTCTGGCTGCGTTGAGAGCCCTTTCTCTCTGAACAGCAACAGCATGATCCAGGTTTGAGAGCATTTACACACAGTGCTTCCCCCATGTTCTCCTGAGTTTGGTAAAAAAACATTATCTCAATCTCTTTCTTTCGACTCTCTGCTCCTCTGTTGCTCGAAGCGTGTTATGCCAGAGTGTTCATATGACTCACATGAGGTTTGTGCCTCAAGTAGTCTCATGATTTCAGCAGTTTTCCTCCATCAGTCCAACACCCAATGGGTCAAATTCATCCCTGGTGTAACTCCATTGATTTCAGTTAATTTGGCCCAGTAGCTTCTAAAAACTGCCAATATTTATGTACAAGCTCAATGGGAAAAGAAAACCTCTGTTAATTCAATAGTGTTTTAATGAACTAATTCAGTGTAATTTACCGAGTAATTAAATGTTCTGGTTCCCCCAGCAACAGTGTCTTGGTTTGCTTATACATATATAATAGCTTGCATTAATTATAGTACATGCTGTTAGGTTTTATGCCATTTTATATGTACAGTGTGGGTGAGCTATGGTTTCTGCAGAAACTGTACATTTGAATTTCCTCACTTCTGTGCATCTAAGTTGTTAGCCATCATGTAATAATAATGTAGGCTTTGGGCACTGCATGTCCTTGTTTGGTTGTTTTTTTTGAAGGACAGAGCACACTGTGATTGATGGAATATATTCTGGGCTATGAGCACAAAGTAGCTTTAGCAGAGTGATGAATCCAGCCCAAAATATATCCCATCAATTGTACATTGCATAATCAGTGCAAAGTGGCCTTAAACTGGCCAGAGAGAGGGTGAAGAATCTCCCCCTTTCATGGGAACCCTCTGCCAGTGGAAGTGGCTCTGCTGCCTCTTAAACCAACTTTCCCCCTCCCACCCAGCATATAGGGTGGGAAGAGGCATGTCATGGGTGTCCTGGGGGCAGAAGTTATGGCACACGGAAAGCAGGTATCTCATTTATATGGACTTCCCTTCCCAATCCAACCCAAGCAGTTCCCCAGTTAACAACCTATTGAACATCCTGTTTCTTGAGCATTTATCACCTTTCTCTGTATCCTCTGACTCTTGTTGCTCCATTATGATCCTAAGTGTGTATGTTTGAGTCAGAACTTGTCTAGCTTAGGGAAATTAGAGAGGTACACCTGTACAAACCCCAGTGAATGGAAACTGCCTTTTAAAATACATTTAAGCATAAATACCAATGAAAGATGTAAATTTATGATAGATTAGATTAGATTAGAATTATTTCTCCATGACACACCTCATACTACATCACAGGAAAAAAATCACTTTGTTATAACAAAAATGCTAATGTCACTTCTCCCAGCTCGCTGAAGCAGTGAAACGAACAAGCATCACAATAGGTCTGTACTTCAAAGTACTGAATAAAAATGGAGTATTCAGCCCACGTAGCAGAGGTAGACTCTCTAATTTACTGTTATAATGATTACTGTGAGGGAAGGTGAGAGCAAATACTGGACTCCCTGTAACTGCTGCATTATGGCACCTCAGTATCTAAAGAAATGCTGCAAGGTAATATAAAAGACATTCTTATCACTACACAAATAATTACACAGAAGAGCACATTATTTTAAAAACATTAAAGTGTTTTAAATATAATTTAAAAAAAAAGGAAACAAAGGATGGCTTTGCAATTAATGCCCTGGAGTGGGACTTTGGAAATTTGGGGCTTTATTCTGCTCCCATTGACTTCAATGGCAAAACTCCTATTGACTTCTGTAGAGTAGGATCAACCCCCCTGGGTTGCTTACTAGACCTTCCACATATTTCCTGTGTGGGCTTTATCATTTGTTTGTTTCTTCAAAAATGTAAATGCATCCATAGGTGCCCAACTGGCGGTCTGGGTGCCTATCAGTCGTGGTCTTGCTCAAATCACTTAACCTCTCCATTCTTCAGCTTCCCCATCTTCTAAGTGAGACCGAGCCTCAGTTTGAGTATGTTCTTTAATAGTTCTCTGGGAGAGACTGGGTTTGGGGTTTTCATCTGTCATCTGGTACTGTAGGTCATAGACAGCTATCTTTGCCAGAAAGGTAAATGGCAAGTTTAATTTTCCCACCAAGCCAGAGTAGGCTGTGTAGCCACGTTTAAAGCCATCTAGACTTTGTAATAGCAGCTGTTGCTGCTAACTGAGACAGTGTGGTTTGATTTCAAGAAGATTTTCATTGTCTTAGTAATGCTGCAGGTTTAATGAGTTTATGTTAGATCATAGGTTCTAATAGCTCCTAAAAACTGTATTCTGTCTGCATGCTACACACACACACACATTCAGTTTTTCTGTAATTCTAAGCACCATGCTATATAATTTGTATTAAAGTGACTATTAATTTACCATTATGGCTCATTATTATGCACTTGAAGTTGGTAAGACTTGTTAGTTATTTCCTTGGTGACAGGGTCCCTGCACCATGGTGTAGCAGGCTGCAGTTAAACTGTCTAACATATAATGGAGTTCTGTGGTGCCTCTTGAGCAAAACTCTGATCCAGCTCCTCATAGCGTCCACATGTACCAGGAGTATTACTGCAGGTCTTATTTTTGTCTTTGGTGTTTTTGTAATTATTCTGCAGTTCATTGGCTTTGGCGTGGCACTGGCATGAATCCGAGGAATACCCCTGCATTTGCTCTACAAGCCACTGGTCGATTTTTGCATTCTGGTGATTACTGGAAAGATAAGACTGAACTTTCCCCAGAGGGGAATGAAATCCAGGATATCCTGACAGGACCATGAGGAAGGTGAGTATAATGGACTCAGGGTCTGTGAATTTGTCATAAGCCGGTTTGCTTAGGTGTGTACCAGCATTCAAATACAGGGAGACATCTGGTCAAGATGACCCCGAGCAGTGCAGATAACAGGTAATCAGACAGGTCAGTCCAGATATGAAGCAATGAGGTGTGGTATTGCTATGGAAGGAGTACCTAAAGTGGTATAATTAATTTGAAATAGGGCTGCATCCATATGAACCTTATAGTGGTATAACTCATTCCAAAATATGTTGCTTCCAAAGTGGAGTAATTATATATGTATATAGCAGGATAAGATGCAAAATAAGGTAGAAAAAGATTATTTGTGTGCAGATGCAGGTACTTACGCCAAAAAACCTAAAGAGATATTGAAAAATCTTTCATATGTAGACAAGGCCCTAGAGCAGACTCTTGTTGATTTTATGTAATGTTTAAATAAAAATAATTTAGTTGTTAATTACAAGCTGGCAGTGCCTTAATAAGAACAACACACTGTTTGTAAAGAGTAGCTTTCAAATTCCCCCTCTAACTTACTTGTTATCCTTTCCTACCTCCTTGTTTTCAGTCATAGCCCCAAACCAATTAACTCTATAAACATAGTAATTATCTTCTCATTGGACATGCCAGTGGACTCTCACATAAGAGGTTGTGATAATTTGTGAGAGGGTTGGATCAGAGGAAAAGGAGTCAAGTCTTCTGGTGTCTGTTCTCAGGGGTGCCACTGACTTGTTGTGTGAGCTTGGATAAATTTCCTAACCTCTTTGTACATCAGTTTCTCCAGTAATAACGCTTGCTATTTTGCAGGGGTATTATGAAGCTTAATGTTTATACAGTGCTTAGAGAGCTTCAGACGAAAGATGCCATAGAAGTATAAAGTATCCCTGTATTAAGGATGTTCTGTGAGTTGAGGAAGGATTGGGTCTTTTATCGTATTTTGAAGGCTTCAGAGTAAAACACAGTATTTTTTAAACATGTTCAAAAAACGTGTTAGGCCCCAAAATCATGAGATTAGTTTAAAAATAATAAGATTAGTTAAAAATTTATAAATATTGAATTATTTTCATTGGTCTTCTAGTTTTGAGCCTTTATGAACTTTTATCACTTTTTGAAACTTTTCTCTGCGCTCCTAAGGACTAGAAACTTACTTTTTAAAAAAAAACGAAAGCTCAGAAAGGTTCTAGTCACATGACTCCAAGAGCTGGGACTTTAAGAATAAAACCATATTTCATGAGATTCACAATAAAACTGTGAGAGTTGGTACTACTGAAAATATAACTTCTTGCTTCTCTTTTGACACACTGCAAATCTTGGAAATAAGGTGGGTGAGAGATTCAAGTTTCAATAATAATAGTAATAATAATAATATGAAAAAATGGTCATGACTTTGCTTCTTAGCATTTATTATATGATGTAACGTACCCAATATTAAGTTTTACTTTTCCTGTACCTTCTCATGGTTTATATGGTAATGAACTGCAAGTGTGTATGTGCAACACTGCCCTCTACTGGATGGGATCAGAAATGATCCACTGTGTGTCTGCTATTACTTACCAGAAATTCTGGCTTTAGTAAGTGGTAGTTAGAGTCTTGCAATGTGACTTGAGTCTGATGGGACCCAACTACAAGCGTCGGGGTTGGGTCAGCCCTGAAAACAACCAACACTCTCAGGCACAGGTTCAGTGGTCTCTTATCACCTCTTCCTGCCTGTGGGGTTGGCACGGTGGTCCAGGCTGTGTGAGCCACTCCTACTGGTTGCCACAACCTCACTGCACCTCTCACTCTGTAGCTCACACAGTGCAGTGAGGTGTGGAGGCTGTCAGGAGTGGGGCATGCAGCTGCTGCTGAGCCAACCCCACAGGCAGGAGGCAGCAGGAAATGGATTGTGGGCACAGGACCTGGGGACCAGGAAGCCCCATCAGGCCAAGCCCCAAGGATGAGGTGGTGACCCTGAGAGTCTACATATTACATCCTACAGAGGAGGACTGTCAGGGTCAGGTTGGGTCTGAAAACAACTCGACACTCAGGCTTAGGTTGGGTTCAGGTCGTTTGTGGGCTAGTTGGAGTCGGGCTTTCAAATTAGGTCCAAGCAGACGTCTAATGGTAAGATAAATGAATATAGAGTTTGGAGCTCCTGAGATCTAAACCCAGTGCTGTCATCCACTCTCTGTGATCTTGGGAAAGTCCCTTTGCCTCTCTTTACCACCACTGATCCATGTGTAAAGTGGGAATAATAATGCTGAACCCCTTTACATCGATGTTGCAAGTAATACAAATCCAGTGTTTTGAATGTGTAAAACTCTGGGTTTTATTGGTGTTTTTACCGTATGTGTCAAGTTCCAGTACAATGTTATAAAATGGTTTGCTGTAGTACAGAGGTTCTCAGACAGGGAAGCAGGCAGGGATCCATCAAAATTCCTAGGAGAATGCGGCAAGTCTTCTAATAATTCAGGAATTACATGGCATGACAGAGGAGCAGATTGGCCAAATTTGAACAGTGTTATGACCCTGTGCACAAGGTTGCGAACCACTGACTCAAATCTATCACTGACTGGCATTATCAGCACTAATACAGGTAAGGGTGTTTTTATAGTACCATTTGACTTGCATTTTTGAGTAATTTGCCTGGTATCTCCTGAAGAAACGCATTAGCAATGATAAGTGGCAGTATCCGTCTTGCTATTGTAACGGGGGCCTTCAAGTTAAAAAAAAAACAATACTAAAATTGGGACATGATTCAAAAAAGGTTGAGAACCCCTTTCCTAGCACTACAGGAGTGAGACTGGAGTGGGGTTGGAGGAGATCCCGGCATTCTGAGGATGCAGAATTACCAACTCTCACAATTTTATTGCGTCACTATATCTGGTTGTTTTCCCGAAGCGCCAGTTCCTGGAGTCATGTGAATACACAAGATTCTCAGTTTAAATTTTTTCTAACATTTCTAACCATTGTGGTGACAGAGAAAAGCTTGAACCATGACCCAAGTGCACGTCAGAGACTCAAACATCAGAAGGCAAATAAAAAGAACCCTGAAGTTTTGAGGGGCTTGACATGATTTTTGAACACATGGCTGGTTGTGGCTGGCAATGTGGGGGATGCCACCTATGCAGGCCGAGGGCTGGGAGGCAGGAGGATGATATGGGGTGCTATGGGGCGATGTGGCTGAGGCCTGCCCTGTGCTGGTGGGTGGTGACCAGTGCTTGGGGTGCAGGGAAAGGTGCATTTACCCCGGCTCTATGGGATCGGTCTAATGTTAGGGCTGTGCCGTTCCCCTCGGGGGGGGATGCCCCTAGCACCACCGCCTCTCCACCCCCTCATTGCACCGTGCGGGCGGGGGAGGCAAACCATCCCCACGCGGTCCGCCTTGTGCTAACTCTCCCTCCCCGGCGCTCACATCCCGGACGGTTCTCTAACGCCCCTCATACTAGTTTGTCCCAAACGGACGCCCGTCTGCGCGCTCAGTCCAGCCCCCGCCCCTCAGTTCGACCTCTTTACCAACCCGCCCTGACTCGGAGGGAGCTGGCGTTAGGCTCCGCCCCTTTGCCCCCGCGTGAATCAGCTGATCTCTGAGCCCCAGAAGCCGGCGGCGATCCGGCTGTTAAGGCGAGAGCGGTGCCAGGTGAAGTGGTTCCCGGCCGGCTGAGGTAGCGCGAGCGCCGGCTTCAGTGAGGAGGGCGCGAAGGGCTGGAGCCCGGCTGGGAGTGAAACTTGAGTCACGTGACGCGGGGAGGGGGGGGGCGAGCCGCTCCAATTGCCCAACCGCCTCATCTGTTCCCCAGGGCGCGCAAGGCCCCCATCTTTCGCCGTCCGCCTGCCCGTGCCCCTCAGAGCTCCGCTCCGCTCCGCTCCGCGCGGGGACCGAGAGCCGGGGGGCTCTTGCCGTGGCACGTCCCCCGCCTGTGCGCGTCTCCCTCACCGACCGGGTCGCTGGGACGTGACTGCCTGGGGGTGCCAGGTGCCGGCTGGGCACTCAGCGCCTCCCCGCAGCCCGGAGCGCTTCTGGCGGGCGGGGATGGTCCCCGGCCACCCCGCTGAGGTGAGGCTGCCTCAGGCCCTTGCATCCTCTCCGAGGAGGGCAGCGGGTTGGGGTCTGGGTGCAGGTGACCTGCCAAGGGGGCCGGTGGCGTCTCGGAGTGGGGGAATAACTAGGGCTGTGAGATACACGGAAGAAAGGGGCCAGCGGCCCCGCCGGGCAGTGAGATGCAGCAGCCGGCCCAGCAGCCTCTGGGGCGGGAGTTGTGGCAGCCCCTCGCGCAGTTAAAGCTGGAACGGCCAGAGGCTGGGCTGGCCAGTGGCTAGCTCACGGGGTGGCAATAGGTCCATGGACCAGTGCAACCTCTTTGGGTCGCTGTGTTGAATTCAGCTCCCTCGGGCGTTAAGTGAAGGTTATCTGGCGGCTGTTCAGTCACCTGTGTAAAATAAGTTTGGTAATGTCACTCCAGTTCCCAGAGGATTAGTGCCCACCATGAAGGGGTGGAGGGAGTCCAGCTTGACTGGTGCTCATTTGACAAACGTGTTGATAATGTCAGAAGAGAGACCATGGGTTGCTAAGTAGTAGTATTTATTAAAGGTGGCTCTTCCAGGGCCAGGCTGAAGTGTGCTTATGGAGGAGCATGCACTATTGTTAATAGTACTGTGTGGGTGTGCTTTTTTGTGACCAATTATATGGCATAAACGTCAGATGAAATACATGCACAGATCAAATATCTTAATTTAAAAAAAAAATCAAATAGGTGTAAGGGTGCACAGATCTAATTTCTTTTTTTGTTCGTCAGTGACTCCCACTCACATGCTGTCAAACAGAAGGGACTAGCAATTCTAGCCTGAATATTTTATTGAAGGTTTGTTTACTCCTCCAATAAATTCTTTCCCCTTGTGTTGGAGCTGTACTATTGCTTTTCAGCATTTCAGCCCAATTACCAGATTCCTCCTGATATTAAGCTGTTCACATCTTCTCTGTTTTTTCTCTTCTGTGTCTAGATGTTTCTCTTTTTTTAAAAAGTTCTTTATTTTAGCTGGTCTCTCCTCCTCCCTCCTACCCTGTTTTTGGTTTGCTAAAATCTTCTTTTTCCCCACTCTGCTTACTTTTCTACACTAGGTCTCCTAGGATCACATTTCCAAAGGCCATATGTCAGCGCTTTCTGCAGTTGCAATTACAGGTTCACCTGCACTGGTGTTAGCAACATTGGGAGCCCTAATATAGATGGACCACCTGCTGCAGCCCTGCTTCATTTTGAACATTATGTCATTTAACCTGGCTTAGGGCAGACCTAATTGGCACAGTGTTAAAAACATTGTTGGCAACTAGTGGTCCATATACATGGGGGCTACCTGCATTGCTAATACCAGTGGACCTGAACCACTGTTAGCAACAACGTGACAGTTACAGAAAACTTTCCAAACATCAGCAGGGCCAACTTTTGTCTGACTTTATGTACCTGACTGAGGAGGGCTGGATGTAACTTCCTCCAGAACCCCTGCTGCTGCTTCATCAGTTTGACAGAAATATTGCAAATTTATGTTTTTGTTAATATACATTTGAAGCATATGCTGCAACACATTTAGTTAAAACTTCCTTTGTGACTATTTAGCTAATTGTGTTTTGTATAGTCACTGAAATGTGTGGTCCAGTTATTAAATGGAAATGGTAAGTAAATCAAAGGGGGACGTACCTATAAAAATGAGGTCCTTTGTTTTGGTTGAGTTTTGAGTGTAATGGGAAATGTACTGTGGCATCGAATATGTGTGATTTTATCACTGAATGGTCAATAAGGAACACAGTTCTATAGTAACCAGCATACTATATATTGTATAATATTGTACTTTTTTTTTCTTTCTTGAGTTTGAAATTATTCTTACTAGGTTATAGGATAGTGCACTGATGTTTCACTTCTTGGAGCATTTGGGCTAAAATCCGAGGTTAGGTCACCAATGGAAAGTATAAGGTCCATCTCTTGATAGTCACCATCTGTCCACAAAACAAAACCATCCCATAATTTGGCTCTATTCAGCATTATTTCTAGTTTTTGTTCAAGAGAGGCCTAGGTTTGGAATAGTAGGGATGTTGCATGTCAGGACTGCGATGTGTGGGCAGAGCTACATAAGTACTGGCATAGTGTAAAGTTCTCACGTGATACATGGCTTTAAAAGTCTGCACCTGGTGGCTCACTTTCATGAGCATTAAACTCATGGAGACAAGTAACATTTTTAAAACCTTTGTAATCTAATATAATGTAGAGATGAATTTAAGAACATATGAAGATAAGTAAAGGAAGAAAATTTTTTTTTGTTTTTAAGGTAGCATGTCCAGTGATCAGAATATAGTTAGAAATTGGGTATTCCCAAGCTCTAATCTGAGCTACTCACTATGGCTTGGGCAGGTTATTTAAATTTTGTCCTTCAATTACCTATCTGTACAATGTAATAATAACGAACTGCCTCACAGGAGTGATATAAGCTTTAATTAATCCTAACATAGAATTTAAAGGTTTTAAATACCTTAGAAATGACATTGTTTGTTGTTCCCAGGAGTCAAGGTCAGTGAGGTAATATCTGTTATTGGACCAACATCTGCTGGTGAAAGGGACAAGTTTTTTAGCTTACACAGAGCTCTTCTTCAGGAGCTTGGCTGTTTCACCAAAAGAAGTTGGTATGATAAAAAGTTACTACCGCATCCACCTTGTCTCTCTCTAATGAATGACAAGGTATTGTATAAAGATAACTTAGGTAAAACGGTTAATGTGTAATTTAAATAATACTTTCTAATCAGTATACCTAGTAACTTTTTAATTTTAGTATACGGAGTGTGTTTACAAAAATTAAAACACCACTTACCTTTTCTATTTTGCCTAGTCTCAATCCATGTTGTAATTTTTTCATACTTAACTACATCAACTGTATAGTGCCATTCTTCAGATGAGTGCTAGAAGAGATCTTGCCAGATATCTAAAACTTAGTCCACTGCTCAGTTGTTTTTAGCACCTTAACAAAAACAAAACTAAAACTTTGTAGCCTCTGATGTTACAAAACATGTGCGTGCATGATCTTGAGTAAGCTTAGTTTCCTGCTCATGACTACAATCTAATCACTGGGTGTTTACCATTATCTGTGTAAGTCTTCCTTCATTGGAGTCATATTTCAATCGTATCTGTATCTCTGAAGCCTGGGTTGCCCACAGTGATGGGGCACTGGTGAATTTAAGCATACGTGAATCTTTGAGTCTGACACTTTCTAACCCTAAGAATTTGTGTTTTTTTAGTTTCTTCACTGTAATGTATTATTATTACGGATAAGAATATTTCACATGGCTAGAGGTTCCAAAAACATTTTGTGACTCATTTTAAAAAATTTAAGCTGTGGTTTATTGATTTTTCTCAGGTATTGCATATCATGACTTTGAGATTTTTAATCAAAGATAATTTTAAAATGACTTTTTGCAACAGATGTTAACTGTAAATGTAACTGAGGCAGTTAGTAACTGTGTTGTGGGAAATATGGCTTAAGTGTCCTATTTCTTAGAGAATGGGCCACAATATTTAATCAAGGTTATCTAATTTATTTTATCATTGTTTTCAGATTGTATCATATTAAAATAAGTTGAGCATTTTTATTTGATGGCTCTTTTATTTATCTCTGAAAAATGTCATCACGTGGACTTAGTTTTTATTAGAATGACTGCATGTGACAAACAATATGCATCAGTGTAACATCTTTGAGAGAGACAAGGTAGGTGAGGTAATATCTTTTATTGGACCAACTTCTGTTCGTGGAAGGGACAAGCATTTGAGCTTCACCGAGCTTTTCTTCAGTTTGACACGTTGGTTATCTTCAACAGCCCTGAAGAAGAGCTCGGTGAAGCTCAAATGCTTGTCTCTTCCACCAACAGAAGTTGGTCCAATAAAAGATATTACCTCACCTACTTTTTGTGTCTCTCTTATTCTTGCACCAACATGGCTACAACAATAGTGCAATGTACTGTATTTGAACAACTGAACACTTTTATGCCACAGCCATTATTACCTATCAACTTTATGTACCTGAAATGTCACCCTCTCTGCCCCCCTTCTCTCAAATATGTAACTATTTGGGGTAATTGGATTTTGTGTCTGGTTCCCCAAAACTCTGTTTTTTCCCAACTCAATGTACGATATTTCACATTTATCTAATATTTTGTTAAATTGTAGAATGCTAGATGCTTCTGTTCTAGTACAAGAGGTTATCTACACATAACTAAACTTCATGAGTGTGACTGACAGAGTTTTAGTTCTAATCTTTCTACAGTAAAAGGCTTACAACTTCTCCGGGTTCTGAGTCTTTTCTCTGTTTCCTTTGATGCATAAAAGATCCATTCAATCAAATTGAATGCTTTTTCAGCACACCTCCCTGTCATAATAAACCCTGTTATCTTGTCATAATATTGCAAAACTTTCCAAAGATCTCTTGTACATAAAACCAAATTGATTTGAATGGATAAGATATCACCAGCATGCACTGCTGTCATTTTTATCAAGGATTATTTTTAGTTCAGTGTTTAGCCAGGCATTTGGCCAATAAGAATCAAAGTTTTGAATTTCTGGATGTTGATAACTGAGTGAAAAGTCATTGGTAACTGTTTCTTATAAACAAAATTAAAATTATTTGAAAGACGTACTGTGGTTTCTTTGCATTCAAAAGGCCGTATATAAGAATCTTTATGGGACCTGGTGTCTTCAATAAATATAATATGTAATTGCATCTTTAACTTAGTCTCTGCTTTAGGAAGGTTTTACAGTAGAGTAAATGATGGTCTAGGTATTCTGTCTTTGACAAATGGTATAAAATTTAATGCAGAGCAGAAAGGTATACAATTCTTTTAAATCTGTTTTTCATCTCCAGTGGATTTGAAATCAAATTGTTTAGCCTCCTTCTACCTGAATTGCAACCTGCTGCACTGGAAGTGTGTTTAAGGGCTTCCATCTAAGATTTTAAAAGTAGAAATGGGAAATTGTTGTCCTGGGGTGGGAGGGCTGGGAGGAGAGGTGATAAGATGGTGGGTGGGGTGGAAGAAAGACCAGGGTTTGAAAGCTGAAAGGACAAAAAGGTTGGAGACAACTGACCTTGTCAGTTTTAAACTCTCCCATTTCTCTGTGAATTTGGCTATGCTGTATGCACACTCCTTTATCAGGTTGCACAGTAAAGAGTCTTTAATCTATAATTTAATTCTTGCATTATTAAATTCCTACTATAGCAAAAGGCCTAATAACTGTGCACTTTAGTAGTAGTATGTATTTTATGATTTGGGAATAAGTTTATGGATTCAGCACTCCTAATTGTATGAGCTGATTGCAGTAATGCTTTATTGCTGTATTATTAAGTCTGAGTATAGAAGTATATTATTAAACTATCAGACATCAGTGAAAAAGTTGCTGTCTTGCTGTTAAATTTTTGAATGACATCTTTCGCGTATTATAGAGATGTTGGTATAAACTACCTTTTTGTCCAGGAAAGAGAAGTGTCATTGCAAAAGCAACACAACACTTTCCAGAGATTTCTGAATCCTAAATACTACTTTTTAGCAGTTTGTAATAAGGATGTTGCTGGTTGGGAAAGCTCAAACAGCCTGCTTATAGGCTGAGTCTATTCTGTCTTAGAAATAGCTTTGTTCAATCTGTTTGACGCCATTGTAGGATGAGTGGGCAGAATATGTCTGACTTTTGTTTTGCCACTCAGTATGAAATAGTCTAAATACTTTTAAGCATTGTTATAGTGTGTGGATGTTCATTTATTGGACATCTAAGATAGTGTGTATTCAAAGCTTTATCTCCTGTCTTTTTACAGTGCTTACGGGTGATGTGCAGTTCTATAGCCTATTCATCTTACAGTTTCACGGAACAGTTGACAGAGCTGTCCCATACGTTCTGCAAAGAGGAATGATTTGGTGATGGAGTGCTTCCACTGACTGATGGACCAACAAGAGAGAAGGTAAAAACATGCTGAGACAATACAGACCCCATAAAACCATTTCAGTTAATAACTGCCTTTAAAATTAATTTCTAAGGTCTACATTAAAGTTGGGCAAAAATGTTTGGACAGTTTTTTTGGGGGGGGACAAAAAATGCATGTGTGAGTCAACTAAAACATTTTAAGAATTTGTATTTAATTCAGCAGATTATTTTGGTAAAAAAAAATCTGGAAAAAAAAATTTTTTTTCACTTTTTAAAAAAAATGTAGATTTTAAATGACTTTTTCTTTTGATTTTTAGTTTTATTAAAAAATTTTATTTTGCGTTAAACAAAACATTTAATTCGACCTGAAACAAAAGTGGTTGTTTTTTTTTGTTTGCTGAAAAATGTTCATTTTGTGCCATCTTGAAACAATTTTTTTCTGTTTATTTTCCAATTTGGCCAGCGAATCAAGGAATCAGTTTGCACAGCTCTAGTTCAAATGTTCTTTGTCAATATAATTTTTTAGAATACTGTACAGTATTTTAGGCCAAAGTAAAAAAAATGTAGTAGCTTAATCATACTTCAGGATTTTGGGATGATTGGTATTCTCCATGACTTCTTGCAACTGTGACTATTTTTTTTAATTTTTTTTTTAAGTTAGCTACTGAAACTTCAGAATGTCTGTTGAAAGGTTGAAAATATGAATTCACCAGAAATCATTAACACTTGTGTACAGTAGAATTTACTAATTTAAAAAAATTGTGTGCATGATTTTCAGTTCTTATGAACAGCACTGGATTGACAGGTCTGGAGACTCAAACCCTCTGATTATTCAGAGAAACACATGCAGCAGTGGCTGTATAAACTTTCACTGCACTGCCCTCCTAATGTGCTTTAGCCTGCCCTAAAGGGGTGAAATCTTAAGTGAAAGAGAGAGTTCATTCTTCATATCCTTTCACTCCTTAGCTGCTTTACTGTGACTACCAACAAAGGGGTTGGTTAGTGTCAGTTGTAGTTATAGTTTTTGTAATGTGGGCATTTACACTCGGGCAATAAACCCACCACATTAATTTCACAGAGGGCTATTAGATGGTCAGTATCCATTCGTTAGCACTTTCGGCTGAATATAACATGGTACGGTGATGAAAGGCTCTGTATTCCATTATTCTGCCCCCTAGCAAAATGTATATTATAATTTTAGTAAAATGTGTCACATTAATTACTACTTTTCTTAATTGGATAAAAATCCAGTTAGTTAATTTTCAGCAAATTCTATTTTAAATAAAATTTATCTAAAGTAAAAACTGTCTTTAAATTTAAATGTTGGTTCTACTAGTTGGACCAAATGCCGTACTTATAACTTTACAAGAGCTCTTGTCGGTCGTCGTTGTCCTTGTCCTCAGCTTTCTGACATGGAAACCCAGCAGAAAGAAAAAGAACTGAAATAAGACAACATTCCATCTGAACAACTTAGTCTCACCTGATCTTGGATATTCCAGAGTTTCTCAAAAATAGACTTCCTTCATAGTTAGAGATGGTTTGATGAGACTATAAAATGTATGAATATTTGCTGCAGCCACCCTCCAACAATAATGGATGTACCATGCTCAAATGGGTGCAGATCACCCCTTAGCAGTAGGTTAATTGTTTTTAGGTTCTTTTAGGTTGGAGGTGAGATGTCACTTCATACTCTACTGTAGGCCCCCATTACCATAGTAACTGAGCATCTCACAGTCTTTAATGCATTTAACTTCACAACATCTAGGTGAGGTAGGTAAGTGCTATTTTACATCAAGGAAACAAAGTACAAAGTAAGTGATTTGCTCAAGGTCACGCAGGAAGTCTGTTGCAGAGTAGGGAATTGAACCTTGGTTCCAAGTCCAAACTTTAGTACCTTAGTCACTGAACCGTCCTTCTTTTCTTTCCTATATGTAAATGAAAAGTAAAAGAAAACTACAAGCTGATTCTTCGATTCTTCCTTTTCTTTATAGCTCAGCAGAGGCAGAAGGAGCCAAAGAGAGAGGCCTGGTCCATATCTGGCAGGCTGGTTCCCTCTCCTTAACACCTGAGAGACTTCCAGGCTGGAGTGGAAAGACAGTACTGCAGGCAGCTCTCGGAATAAACCATGGGTTGCTTCTAACAGAAGGTATTAGACAGTATTGTTTTAGGTCTCAGACTATGAAAAACTTAAAATTCCGGTTAACACTAGATTGAAATTAGTGTAAAATTCTAAAACAAACTTTAAAGAAATATTTTTAAGATTTGTACCAAAATGTCTTCATTGTAAAGCCTGAGTAAAAGTCAACTTTTCTGCTTTATTTTCATCAGTCATTTTAAATTGCACTAGGCTAATTTTTCTCTTTAATAAAAAGTGGCTCAAAGTTTGAGAAGCCTTACTTATAAAATGGCAAGATAATCTGGAGCTACTTCACCCTCTGTGTTACCTCTAAATGCGTGTTACAACAATGTATTGGATTTAAAAAATACAACATTACAAAAAGTCATCTTGATATGGGATAACTTTGGGTTTTTTTGTGTTCTGAAAAATTGCAAGCAAGTAGATGCAGCAGTGAAATTTGGTTTGATCAGTTGTCTCTTTGAATCAAAAAATACTTTCCAAAAGACAATTCCTTTGGTTGTGATATATTTTGCCACTTGATTGTACTGATCAATTTACCGTTGTAAAGATTAGACTGGAAGTAATGTCTTTGATATTTCTCTGATGTTTTCAAAGGAAGAAAATAATTTCACACCTTTTGTATATCACTGAGCTGCAGGTAAAGAATGTTATAGTTTAGGGGAATGCCAATTAGAGCCAGTTGTAATTTGTCTGACCTGATAGACCTGTCTAATAGAACATTTCTGAGCTAGAAAAACTTTGCTTCTGTGCACATATGACTTGAAGTGCACTGTTTTATGGATATGACTGTAGTGATCACTGGTATATAACTATCAAAAAAGTGTTAACTAAATCAGTCCTTCTTATAGGATTCTATTTTTTTGTCTTTTTTTGTTGCTTGCTGATTCATTTCAAATGAGTTGGCACTGTTACCACAATCTTGGACAATGTTGATGAAATTCCAGAGAGACTATGTTTAAAAGGTCAAACCAAGTATATTTTTCCCTAATTAAGGAATAAATAGTAGGACAAACTGTTTACTGTTTTATGCACTCTTGCTACATATCACGATCCAGCACTTTGGCATGCTTCAGGGACACTGAATATTTGTACAGCTAGAAGGCAACCATGCTTTAACCTGCTCCTCCAACATTGTTGTATTTGTAGAGTACATGGTAGGCCCACAGTCTCCGTGGAAGCCTCAGTTTAGACTTTCCTTTGTTATATTTCAAGTCTGATACTACAATATTAATAATGGTACAAAATTAACTTCTACTGAAGATGAACAGTGTAAATATTAAGAAATGGAATATGTTTTATGCATTTTAAGAGAATTTTATGCAAATTCTCTTGATATTAGTATATCAGAATGATTAGCACTGGCAGGCTGAATTACACTCATTCATGAAGGTATTGACTGAAAAGCCCTCTTTTGAGCCCATAATAGATTAGCAGGTTGCTCAGAATAGATAAAAATTTAAATTGGATGTACTAGAATTCATTTCTAAAGGCAGCATGCAATACTAGGTCAAATCCCCACTGTATAATGCATCCATGCTAGTGGTTTACTAGAATGGACCAACAGATAAATCAGTATCAAGTGTAGGACTTCTTGCCAGCAGTAGCACAGAGTCCCTAATAGTTATTGAAACCAGATCTCTCAGATAATTTCAGTAAATCAACAACTGCAGTTAACACTGAGCCCAGAACAAATTAAAAATGAAAATCTGATTAAATGAGTTCCTTAGTTGTTTATATGGTTAACTTCATTAGAATGATGCTGTCTTTCAGGTGGCGAGGTCTACAGCTTTGGAAAACTTCCCTGGAGGGTTGGGCTAGAGGAAACTTGCACTAAGAGCCCCATCTTAGAAAATGCTTTGGTTGGACAGCATGTTACTACTGTGGCAGCTGGAAGCTACCATAATGGAGCAGTGACCGAGAGTGGTGTGGTATACATGTGGGGAAACAATTCTGCTGGACAGTGTGCAGTGGCTAACCAGCCCTATCTGCGAGAACCAAATCCTATTAGTATTTCTGACTCTGAAACCAGTCCTCTGCTGTCAGTCAGGATTTTGCAATTGGCATGTGGAGAGGAGCACACCCTGGCACTTTCACTAAGCCGAGAAATATGGGCATGGGGAAGTGGCTGTCAGCTAGGTCTCATAACAACTACTTTCCCAGTGACCAAGCCTCAAAAGGTAGAACACCTGGCAGGACGTGTTGTGCTCCAAGTTGCCTGTGGGGCGTACCACAGCCTGGCTCTTGTACAATGTCTCCCTGCACAGGACATGAAACCTATCCCAGAGAGATGCAATCATTGCAGCCAGCTCCTGATTACGATGACAGATAAAGAAGACCATGTAATCATATCGGATAGTCACTGCTGCCCATTAGGTGTGGCACTGGCTGACTCCCAATCAGCAAACCATGTCTCCTGTTCCTCATTGGAGACTCTTGAGGGGAAAAGTGCTACAGGTAGCCAAAGTGAGGATTGTCAGAAAACCTTTGTAGAAGATGAGCCAGCTGCTTCAGAATCAGAGGTGACAAGTGTGCTTTCTAACAATGATGGACAGGAAGATAGTGGAATTTCCAGTCCTGGAAATGTTTTGTTTCCTGATAAAAAAGCAGTAAAAGAGTACTTGGAGAATCTGTCAGATCACCCATTAAATGACAGCCAGGAGAAAAGCATCAGTACAGAACTTGAACAGGTACCAGCCATCATTGGTCTATACTTTTTCTCTTAATATTTGTACTGTATGCATGACATCCCATAATGTGCCCATGAAAACTAAAGGATTCTCAATATTTACATAATTTTGAACCTATAGCTACAATTCTGGAGTTATCACAGTGTTTCTTTCACACTTTTAGCAATCAAACACAAATACAGAAGTGATTTTGGACTGAAAGTAGAATTGTCGTCATGCTTGTTCAGTCCTGGGCCTCTATATGAGCAGCCTTGCCAGATAGTTCTCTAGTCGTGTGCTGTGGACTATGCAGTAGTGAGAACCCACTAAAACCCATCTCCCGTTCCCTTCTCTAGTTCCTTAGGATATATTGGTATCCTGTTCAGCTAGATCAATATTCTGGGATTTGGCCAGCTGGTATAATACTTCTGTTCCTGTGAAGAGAGACCCCCATCACCCTCACAATTCTGTCTGATTCTTCTTGATGCAAGCTAAGGATTTTAGCTGGATAGTTAACTTTTATTGAAGGATCCACATTTTTTTCCCTATTTGCCCCACTTTGGGAGACCGTGGCAAGTGTAATGAGTGGCGAATTAATCTTCCACATGTCAAACTTATGACGGTCCAAAGACAGCAGTAATCAGCAGACCTTTTAGTAGCCATCGGAAGGGAAACTCTTGATTTGAGTTATCAAATCTGCTGTAAAATGTGTTGCTATTTTGGAGGGTTAGGGGAAGAGGAGAGGTGGTCTGACATGTAAAGAAACAACCCATTTCAAACTTTTTGCCTACATGTCATCTTTCAAACTGAAATAATCACTTGGTTGACTTAATAAGAATATTTAAGTGATGTAATAGGTAGATTATTCTGTAGACGACCACACCAGATTTATCTGTCCAGCAGTGTTGTCTCCCCATCCCTACCCAAGTTCTGTCCCACTAGATAACTTTATGCTAGGGAAGTTTGTTTCTGCTTGGAAAATCCTTTGTACTGCTAGTGGCATCTTACTATACAAGCAGCATGGTGGCTTCACAGATGAACTTGGAAAATTACTGCAGTAGCTGCAGGTACTATGTATGAGTCACTTTCTTGAGTTTATATTTTGTAAGTATGTGGGATCTCTTCTAGAGAGGCCAGTTCCATCCTCCCACGCTGTTGGATTTTGGGAGCTAAGGAAGAGGAGGTGGTAAAGTTAAAACCAACTTTTTATTTTCAACAGTTGTGGACTCCTCTGAGGAGTAGAAAACAAGTAGTCTCCTGCTCATTTTCTTCTCTTCCTCTCTTCCCCCCCCCCCCCATGTTTCTGAAAATACTTTCGCATGCACAGTTCACAGAAATACAGTATAGTATTACCTCAAAGCCTTGAAGACTCACTGAATCTTAACACCATGCAATATATGGATGCTGTTTGAAGGGGAAAGATGAGGACGGAAGGTGATTGTGTAATGTTTCACTTACAGTGGCAGTTAGAGGTTTTCCCTCTTGATGTAGCTTCTGTTCACAAATGGATTGTGTCTTTCTGGGTTGCTTGGAAGTGTTTGTAGCCTGCTAGTATATCCTTCAGGGCAACTGCACCTGTATTCCCCCTCTATGGTCCACCATGGTCATTCACACTAAGCTCCCAGCTCCTTAGTTTTCTCCTCTCTTGGGCACAGGTTTGCATCTCTCTGTCTCTCCTTACTCGGGTTTTTGCAGACTGCACCATTCCCTGCTTATACTGTGAGTTCCCTAGCAACCATTCCCTCAGATTGCCTAAGCAGGCCTGCTCTGCCTTCTCCTCAGAAGCTATCAAAAGCATAATTGCCCACTGTTAGAAGTTGCCACAGAGCCCTTTCTAAGCAAGCATATTTCTCCTGAAGGTGAAAGTATTACAGAGAGAACATATTAAAAGAAATAAAAGAACTTACCTGCAAGCTAGTAAGCTTACCAGAGATCACTCCACTGCAACCAGGGCTCTAGCAGATGGTCAGACCCTCAAACCCCACCAAAGAGTTTCTCTGTGGTTACACATTCATAACATCTTTTGCTCAGAACAAGAACCCCCATGAATCTGAGAGTCACTCCTTTAGACAGGTTGGGCCTTTGATCTTGGAACAGGTAATCAACAGACAGTGGGGTTCTCCTCAAGGTGTATCTTTAAAAGGTTGGGTCTGGAGGTTAGAATTTGCATTCCTCCCTCCGGGTATTTCCTAGGAAACCCACTCAACTAAAAGTTCATGCTTCTCTGGTACGTTCTTTAAAAGAGTCCTTTGAAGCTCATAATACTTCTCAGGGTTTACATTAGTCATATCTATCTTTTCCCCCTCCAGACATTATATACAATCCTACAATAATATATAAACATTTGCATTTTTAGTATGGTACACTCCTAAAATACTTGAACTTAATTCACTAAGGTTTATCCACAGTATTACAGGAAATTGTCATATCGGTCATATTTATATTTCATAAATAAGAATGATTCCAGTATCTTAGTCTTCTTTATTCACAATGAAGATGTCAAAAGGATCCCTTTTTACAGGGAGGCTATAGGAAGATGTGTATTAAGGGACCTATATGAAGAAGGGAAATGGGGTTTACTGCCTTTTGTATTTGATATCTGTCAATAGCTTGAAAGCTGTTTTCAGTAGGGTTTTAGTATACTGCTTTTTATATAATGACTGGTTCTAATTGGCTGACTATAACAATAAACTTTAGAGGACTGTCTTCTGATCTACACCAGAGCCATAATTTTTGAGGTCTGCCTGACGAAGCCTCTCTGGTACATTCCTGCTTATGATAGTGCTGTCTGTATAAAGCTTTATTAACAACTTAACTAGATGTCTGTCAGTATGAGCAAAGTTAATAATTTGTTTTCCTTTGATAAGCTTTCCCAACTGTCTTCTCATAAAGGTAGCATGTTTGCTGATATACTGTAATCAACAGCAGAGACTTGAACTTAAAGGCACATAGTCAAGGTTATAAGCCCAAAATGTAACCCCTCTTTTTATATTTGTTCGCAAGTTATTTTATTTTTTCAAAACATGCATTCTTCTCTTAAAACAAAACAAAAAACAGAAACAAAAACCCACTGTCCCAGCACTAATTAACAGCCCTTCTCTGCCAAACCAATATGCAACAGAGAACCTGTTTTATTACAGGTTTCAGAGTAGCAGCCATGTTAGTCTGTATTCGCAAAAAGAAAAGGAGTACTTGTGGCACCTTAGAGACTAACCAATTTATTTGAGCATAAGCTTTCGTGAGCCACAGCTCACTTCATCGGATGAAGTGAGCTGTAGCTCACGAAAGCTTATGCTCAAATTTGTTAGTCTCTAAGGTGCCACAAGTACTCCTTTTCTTTTTGTTTTATTACAGAAACAGGTATTGATTTCCAGCTTCCAACTATAAAGGATTATTATGAAGTGTAGACTTAAACTACTAAAAAGTGTCTTAACAGTGTCTGATAAATGCAACAGAGGGTGTAAGAGTACTAGAATTATTTAAGGTCACACTGTTGCCCTGGGTTGGGAATTATGATAGGTTTCATTGATTTCTCTTTCTGTTTTTAGCCTTCTCAAGAAGAACAACTCACTGCTTGTCTCCCTGGCCCTCCAGGTGTAAGTACATCTGCCTTGAACAGCTTGGTGGTCTCTTGTGCATCAGCAGTTGGTGTGAGAGTTGCAGCTACATATGAAGCTGGGGCGTTGTCTCTGAAGAAAGTAATGAATTTCTATGGCACAACTCCAGGTGAACTAGGATCTCAGTCTGGTAGTCCTTCCCCCGGTCCTGAGGGGCTGAAGGACACTCGGGAAGAGCAAGTCAAACTGGAATCAATGCAAGGAAAGAAGAGTTCTAGCCTAGTGGATATTCGAGAAGAAGAATCTGAAGGAGTCAGTCGAAGACTTTCCCTCCCTGGCTTGTTGTCCCAAGGTAAGATAGTGACTAGGAGGAACCAAGAGGCCAGGGAGAGTTAATGTTGTGTGGTAATTCCTAGATGTATGCCTCATTTGACAATATTACCTACAGTATGAACACAGATTCAACCCCCTGCTGAGATGTGTGTAAGGAAGAGTCCTTCAGACCTTATTGAATGTGGAGAGAGAGGGGAGAAGACTAGTGGGAAATGCATGCTATTTGAGCAAGACAAAGGACTTAAAATAAGGATTATTTCAAACCCATTGTGGTGCTGCTTTTGGTGATATGGATGTTTGTTCATTACAAAAGGGACTGGTAACCACCAACTCACTTTATGTAGTCTGCATAACAGATGTCAGTTGGTCTGACCCTCTGTCACTACTGCTCTTGATTGATTTGGAGCCAATGGTTTAGAAAAATTCCCTGTCCCATTACCAAACTTCTTAGCCAGGTGGTCTTCTCCTTTCTTGTTTTTAATGTTAACTGTTCTGAATATGCAGTACTTTGTGTAACACACAGTAGTAAGGTTGAGTTCAGTGACACTCTTTCCAAGCTGAGAGAAATTATCAGAAGGTGTATGATCTCTACAGGGTAGTTTTTTATTTCAGAAAGAAAAATCTTATTGGCAGTGAACATCACAGGTCATATTCACTTCAGTGTAATTACATACTTTGCGTTTACAGCTATTGAAAGGAAATAATGGGTAAGCTCTGTTTAAGACCTAGATCTGTATCAGCATATGTGCTGTTACAGCTGCCTTCAGCTATGTACCTTTTTTCTCTCCAGCATTACTAATTCTTAAGTAAAATACCTAAGAGGACACTTTTTTTTCAGTGAAGTCAAGTGACTTAGTATATGGTACCCATATCATATAAACGTTAGCTCTGAGTAAATGCTGTGTTTAATTTAAAATAGGGATAAACTAATGTTGTCCATCTCAGTTTCTGTGTGGAGCTTTTTTAAAAAATAAAATAAAATAAAATTGATTGTAGTTTCTCCTGATCTGCTTCTAGTTTCTCCAAGGCTCCTAAGAAAAGTAGGACGGGCAAAAATGAGGACCGTGGCTCTGACCCCAACCTATAGTGGAGAGGCTGATGCACTTCTCCCATCTTTAAGAACTGAGGTGTGGAGCTGGGGGAAAGGGAAGGAAGGACAGTTAGGACATGGTGATGTCCTACCAAGGTAAGATTTCAGTGGCAGAAAGCTAATCTTACCTCATGGGACAATAGTTTTTGGGTGCTCAGAACTCTTGAAAGTCTGTCAACTGCCTGAATATAGTCTTAGGACCCCAAAGGTAGGCTCCTGTTTTTGAAAATCTTGGTTTTAACTATTACCGCTAATGTGATTTATGCAGGCTAATTAGTGGACTTGAAGGGCAAAATCCTGGTTCAAGTGGCGAAGTCAATTGTGAAATTATACCTAGAGTGTCAGTGGAGTGGCTCAATACCCTTCTTCTGATGACTAAGCTGGTTTATCACCCTAGAGCTTTGTGATTTCTGGTGCTATGGTGTATGTTTGTTCTGTTTCAAAAATATACCAAATGTTTTATATTTGGTGTTCCCTGCCTCTTGTGTTTCATGCTGAGAGTACCCCTGATTCTGGGTTGTTTTTTTTGTTTGTTTGTTCTGTGGGGTTGTTACAGGCTTCAACCATTATGTGTAAAAAGTCTGGACAGTAAAGAAGTGATACAGCTTTCGGCTGGTGGCCACCATTCCTTGGCCCTCACTGCCAAATCACAGGTATGAGGATAATGGTCACTTTTATCATGCATCCACAGCATAGTTGACTTGTTCACTGTTTTCTGGATTGCTCTTTATTTTATGTGCTTCCAGGCTCTGTATTCGTATGTGGAATGAGAGTCTTGAGTGGTGTGCATGATGAATTTTTGTTTGATTTTTGCATTAACTTTGTGCATTTTGTATGAACATGTGTCCTTGCTGCTGTGCTTACAAGAATGTGATATTTTGAGTGTGGTTACCCCCCACACACACACGAGGAAATGTAAGAAGGAAGAGAGTGGAGGTAAGGAAGCACTTCCCAAAGTTCTCTTCAGCTGCCCCTTCAAATATAGATTTTTGTTTAAAATTTTTATCCATAGGGATATTATACATACGTGCATAAATGTCTTGTTTATATATGCTGTCTGTCACTGTGGTTTTATTATTGTGTACTCTGTGCATGCAAACTATTTTTTCCCCATGTTTTTACACAGGTATATTCGTGGGGTAGTAATACCTTCGGCCAGCTTGGTCACTTAAATTCTCCAACTACTGTCCCTCGTCTTGCAAAGGTACTGTCTTCATATTTATGGATTCCATATCTGTTTTATAATACAGACTCCTCCCAGAGCAGAGAGTTTTAAGGAATTTTGAAAAACTGTCTGACCTTCTCTTTTGTTAAAATACCCCATGAAAAGCTTTTGATAGTGCTCTAAAGTTGCAAAACCTTTTGGTTTCCATTGTTACCCTGATCCTCAGATGATCCCATGGTAACGGGTAGCAGCGTTATTTAAGGAGGCACTGTTAATGTAAAAAAAATCACTTTTACACAAAGTTAAAGTCACAACTGAATTATTTATAAGAATTGTAACATGGGAGTTACAAACAGGGAAAGTTATCTTACATTTCTTTCAAATAAGTTTCCTTTCTGTTAGCAGTTTTCTTTTTCACATTCTTAATGCTCCAGTGTTCTGACTTTAAACTCTAATTTGTTTAGAAACAGAAATTTCCAGCATATTTAGTCTTAAATTTTAAGTTTCTTTTTAAAAATATATCTACCTCTTTGCCCAAATCTAAAATACTATTCCTTGAAAGATAATTTTCAGATTTGATGTTGATAGCATAACTTGTCTCTCCCCAGTTATTCATCTTTTGCCTTCAAAGTTCCAGTAATCTTAGTTAAAGCTGTTCATTCATGTTATCCTAATCACTAATTTACCATTTTTGTCCTTTGTCTATATACTTCTGGACATGTTAGTTATGCCTTACGAAGAATCAGTTTGTCGTGATCGGCTTTAGAAGCAAATTCTTTGATCAGATATGTGTATCCAAATGATGAGTGTAGGTTCAACTAAACCAGTGGTTCTTAACCAGGGGTCTGGGGCTCCCTGGGAGGCCGTAAGAAGTTTCAGTGGGGCTGCCAAACAGGGCCAGCATTAGACTTGCTGGGGCCCATGGTAGAAAGCTGAAGCCCTACCGCAAACAGCGAAAGCCCACGGCCTGGAGCCCTGCCACCTGGGGCTGAAGCCAAAGCCTGATCAATGTAGCTTCGCGGGGGGGCCCTGTGACGTGGCCCCACACAGTTTCCCGGCTTGCTATCCCCTAACACCTTTGCTGACTTTTATATTCAGAAAATCAGTTATTGTGGCACAGGTGGGCTGTGGAGTTTTTATAGCATGTTGTCGAGGCCTCAGAAAGAAAAAGGTTGAGAACCCCTGAACTAAACCACTTGTCTGTGCCTTTTGATGTTTGCCTGGCTGAATGAAACACTGACACAAAGCTAGGAAAGTTCTGCAGCTCGCCTACAAACTAGTCAATAGGAACTTAAATGGCTGTCTCTTATGCTGTTGGAATGTGTATATAGACAGCAGCATCTGAACCATTTCCATATTTGTCTGTTTGCTTTTACATTACAAAGCAGATGAATCTTACAAAGCATCAGCCATGGGGTACAAGGATTGAGACATGCCAGATTTTCGACAAGACACAGGAATTTTACTTTGTTACGGAGACTGATGTCTGTCTAAAGAATGTCAGTCCTTGTAGGATTCTTATTGATACTCAGATTTCTTTCTTTTGTGCAGAAACATCATGTGTGAGATTAAGGCTCCCTTCTCTGATAGGTGGTGGATACTATTTTTTTTTTTCCTCCTAAACTACAGGTGTGTGATGATAGTGGAGTCTGGAGCACAGCAGCAGGACCAGATTATTCCCTCTTCTTAGTGGATGGAGAAGACTTCCAGCCTGGATTATATTACAGTGGTCGAGAGGAGACTAGGGAAAATAATTCACCTGGAAACAATTACACTAAGCTTCCAGCTCTTTTGCTAGCCTGTAGTAAGGTGAGTACTTCTTGTTCCTTCTGTTTGGTTTAGATAGTACTGGTGCTTTCTTGAGATGGCTCATTGTTTCTTCTAAGAAGCTCTTTGAGATTTAACTAAATGGGAATTAAAAGTAGAGATCTGAAACACTGTCACTATATATAGCTGAAACTGAGTTAGTATTGGTGGAGCTCCACAGTAAGTCTTAAGAGCTCACAGTGACCTTGTAGTGAGGCATCCTACAATCATTACCTAACTGATAGAGTAGGAGTAGTAATGCAGCCTGGATGATACAATTTAGCGTAGACACCATAATCAGCACTGTAATACTACTCCTACTCAATCAGTTAACTGATGTTTTCCACATCAGAAAGGGAGCTGATTGATATAGCTCTGAAAAAATGAGAAAAATGGAGCAGCGTGACTCCCAAACATTGAAAAAAAGAAAATCTTCTTTCCTCCACTAAGGAGAAATAGCCTAATTAGTTGAGAGATTGTTTGGGAATGGAATGTGGTGTGTATGCATGAAGAAACTGAGGGAAAGCTAAAGCAAAGAAACATTTTGCTGTTTTGAAAGTAGCTGAATTCATGGTCAGTATCTCATGCATGAGTGACAGCTGCATGAGGTAAGGATCATCTCTTGTCTCCCAGGCCCTGTTGACACTTGCAAAATTACCAGTGGTTGACAGTGGATGTTAAATATGGGTTTCTGACTTCCTCCTTTCCATCATGCTCCAGTCAGACAGTTTTGAAAATGGGTTGGTTGCTAGCATAGATGGGTGGGGAAGAAGGGGAACAGATAGCTGACACCCAACAAATGAGTAACTTTCCTAGTATTGGATACACTCTTGGACATCAAATTATTTAGTACCAGCAAAGATCCTAATCTGCCAGTCTAGGTTTTTATACTGTGCTCATCACCTTAGGTTACTTTTCATTTTGTATTAGGATACTGTGTTTAAAGCAGTTTCTATTTTTTTCTTTCAGTTAGGGTACATAAGCAGCGTGACAGCAGGTGGGGACAACTCCTTGGCCTTGGTGGACAGAAACATTATGGGATATATTGCAAGCTTGCACGAGTTGGCTACTACAGAGAGAAGGTTCTATTGCAAACTGAGTGAGATCAAATCTCAGGTCCTCAGACCCCTCCTAGGTTTAGGTAAGAGACAATAATTGATTCAAGGAATTATCTTCACTTCCCATGATGAAACTGTGTGTGTGTGTGTGTGTGTATGAAGGAATTGCATAGATTGTGGACCCCAATTGGTCTGAAGACATTCACTAGGTGATAGCATTCTTTGAAATCAAAAACTGTAATAGCAAATTAAGTGCCTGGATTAATTCCCATTATTAATATAACTGTTACTGTTCTTTTGGAAATGTACGTTATATTGCTTTCTTGTTTTTTACAGATAACTTGGGCACTACAACTACAGTCCAGCAGTTGCAGGATATGGCAAGCAGGTTCAGCAAGCTGTGTTATCTGATTGGTCAACATGGAGCTTCTCTGAGTAGTTTTCTTCATGGGATAAAGGAGGCAAAGAGCTTGGCCATCCTGAAACATTCTAGTCTCTTCTTGGACAGTTATACAGAGCAAGTATTAACATCTGTCTCATACTGAGTGTCTGCAGGTTTATTCTGTAGAGCAGAATATCTCTGTAACAGAGAAGAATATATCATAGGGAGACTGGCATAAGGAAACCTCAGTTGCCAAGCAGAATCCTAATGTTCTGCAAATTTAATATCTTGCAATATAAGGGCTGGTCTACAGTGAAAACTTACATTGGCATAGCTACGTGTCTCAAGAATGTGAAAAATCCACACCCTTCAGACATGTAGCTATGCCAACCTAAACCCTCATCTAGTCTGTGCTAGGTCAATGGAAGAATTCTGTTGACCTAGCTACCACCTCCTGGGGAGATTGGCTACAGCGATGGGAGAACAGCTGTAGCGCTGCAGTTGTGCCACTGTAGCATTTTAAGCATAGATAAACCCTAACTCAAACAATTTGCAATAAGATTTAAAAAAAAAAAAACCCTCTGTGTTAAACTACAGATTTCAAGTCCTTTGTCTATACAGTGGCCTAGACCTTTTTGATACTTAAAAAGAAAAATGTGGTGGTTCACTTATTCACATTTGATTGGCTGCTGCACATACATCTGTAGGAAGTAATATTGCAAAAAAGTTTATTACAGAACAATTTATCTCCACCGTCAATATAATACGTATACTTGTACTATAAAGGGTCTTACCAGATTAATCTGAATGCTCTTTTTTTGGAGATAATTCTGTCTCAAAGAGGCTATTACACAAATATTTTTTTTAAGTTGCCCAGCACAGGAGCAATATTTAACTAACTAGGTACATACATTTGATAACTGCCTCAAACTTATATCCAAAAGCTGGAGCCATTCTAGTTTCTAGAATAATTATTTTTAAATATCCTAGCCCTTTTTTCCCAAAGCACTCGTCACCATGATGTCCACCATATAACAATTAAAGATAGCACTAAGTATGCAATCTTCTGTATTTTTATTGAATGTTCCATTAGTTGACCTCTTTAAATCAAGAAGTGTGAAATAGGAACTATATTTAATTATTAAAGGTCCCCATCTGGTAAGTGATTGTACAGAGATCTATCGTCAGAGCCCCATTTGAAGTCCATCAGTCTTTGCACTCGTGCAGATGGCTGCCCATGTAGAATTTCTGGGATTTTGTGGCACTGCAGTCTGCTATTGCACCTTAACTTGTGCATTTTAAAAGTGACGAAAAGTGAGGCAGCTTCAGCCTGAAGTTTTAACTGCCCAGTGATTGTAATATTTGTATAGGGGAATGTGAATCCAGATCAGAAATAGAAGATCATAGGCTTGCAACACCACATACAAGTTTAAAGAGAATCGTTCAGTTGAATTTAGTATTTAGTTCATTTCCAAGGGGATAGGTATTACAACCCACCACAGTTGACATCCTTTTTGGCCTCTCTGTCAAGATTACCAAAAATCTTGGGCACAAAATGTGTCCTGTTTTCAACCAGAGAGATTGCCTTGTTACAGGTGAGTATTGGAGTACACTGGAGAGACTCTAAGGGAACTCTGCATGACAGCTGCCTGTATTGTACCTGTTTTTGTGGCTGAACTTCAGTCACCAGGACAGTCAGTACATCACCTTTCCTAAGTGTGAGTCACACAAATGTTTTTGTTTTTAAATATATTGATTAATTGGAATAACCAGTTTCTTTCCCTCTCTTTGATGTCTAAGATGACAATTTTCATGTTTCTGTCTGCAACAGTAAATGACACTTGGTTTCTCTTAATGAGCTGAACTGACAATACCAGTGGATATTTTTTGCTCAGCAAAAAAACTATAACATATAAAAACCAAAACCTCATCATGCATTTAAGTACATCCCATAAGTTATTCAGCGACAGACATCTCCCCACCGTCTCTATTCCTGTCTGTTCCAGGTACAGCTTTTCCTGTGACTTGGTTTCCAGAGCCGGTTCTTACTATTAGTTTGCTCTTATGTAGTTGGTGCTTTCCACATTATTGGTGACTGAAACAGAGTGCTGCTTCTGGCGGGGTGGTTTTTCTTGGTTTCTCTCCCTGTTTTTCCTTCTCATCTGGGATCTCTGCATATTCTTTCTTAGTCTCCTCTTGTTTTTCACCTCCTGTCTGCTGCTGTTTTTCCTCACTGCTGTCTTTCTCTTCAGGTCCTTAATGCTTTTCTTCATCTCCTCTGCATATTTCTCCATCCATTCTATTCTCTGTAGGTTCTTATACTTCATTAGTCATGGTTGTATCTGAGTGCCTTCTAGTAGTGCATTAAGCTAGTATCTGTCATGTGTTCTGTCAACTTCTCTCCAGGTGGAGAAGTGCACAGTGGAGTGTTTTTGTTTGGGATTTTATTTTTTAATTTATAAAAATATGGTGTAAACACGTGCTGCTACATATTCATGTTGAAAAAAGCAAGGTCAAAGGCATGTGCCTTGCACTTAGAGCAGATGTGGTGAAGTTTATGGTGGTCCTTTGTTCCAGTGGAAAAGCTCTCTCCTGTGGCCCCAGACGCTGCTGAACTTGCTACTTCCCAGCCAGTCTTTCTATGCTGCTGCCTTAAAGCCGTTTTCTGTCTTTTCCTATAGTGAGTCTTTTAATCTAGATATTCAAATGTAAAGTGCTGGTCTGTAGAGACTACTTTCTTCCTGTGCCTGCTGCAATGTTTATAAAGTTTGGTGTCACTGTTGTAGTGGAAACATTGAACCTGAACTGATGTGGTAGATAGGTGGAGGAACTGATGTTAACATCTCTGAAAGTGCATTGATTTGTGATCTTCCTTTTTTTCCCAAGTCTACAGATTCAGTTTCTGATCTGAGGTTTGAAAGAGACCTTAAACTCTTTTGAGTTATCCTTGATTGTTATACTACAGCATTTGCCACTATAAGAATGACAGACGTGGTAAAGAGGGGCTAGCCTGTTGTCAGCCAGATTGGGGGTTAAGGACCAGTTACTCTTTGGCTTCGGTTTAAATCCTATCTTCTTGTTCCTTGCCATATTATTCTCTCTCTCTCAGCAGGACCTGGCTACCTTCAGGCCTCCCACTTTGCAGAGCATAAATAACAGCAATTTTACCCCCTAAAAGGGGCATATATGGCAACTTACTTAAATTGATAAATTAGCTTTTAGGAGTCTTCTGATAATTAGCACCTTCTTTTCTGAAGCACCTCACAGTGCTCCTTCAGTTCTAGGTAGAATCGCCAAATGACTGAGGGAACCAATTACAAAACTAAAAGGTCCTCACAGTACCTCAAAAAGTGCACACGTTGAATACTCCAGTTATATATTGAGGGGGACTTGTGCCTTTTTTAAAAGTAGTGCAGTCAAAGCAGCAGAGCTAGAGGCAACCTCCCTCTCAGCCAGGCATCACCCAGGTTGGAGAACAACAGGAGAGGGAAGCTGAATTTTATACCTCACAAAACTGTTGATTATGGCAGACATCTCTGTGGCCTGCCCTGCATCTCTTGCAGTTGGTGAGAAGAAAAAGATTGAGTATTCAGGAAGGTTACAGTTACTTCAGAGGCCTCAGGTATATTTGTCTTTGGGAAACAGGAAAGGTTTGTGTCAGTGGAGACCTCTTCTTACTGCCTCACCTCCTTTCTTAAGGGCTTTTCTAAACATAAAAGTTATTGGTATAGTTAAAGCTGTATAGCCCTCCTAGTGCAGGCAGAGTTATATCAGTATAAAGATACTTATTCCTGTGTGGGGAAGGGGAATAGCTATACTATTATGTCACCTGTATACTGATATAAGTGTATCCACAGTAGGGCTATTACTGGTATAACCACCTTAGTAGTGTGATTTTTTTTTTTTAAACCAAAGAAATAGTGTTATACTTCTAAGTCTTAGTTGTAGACCAAGCCTAATTTTTTATGACCTGTAGAGCTTTTTAAAAATTTGCTTGATTTTTTTTTTTTTTTTGGCCACAGAAATCTCAGGAATGTTGTCTTTTAACGAAGATATTCTTTTGTTCCAAATGTTCATTGGGTACTGATGTTACACCCATTTTAAAAAAACAGTTCAAAATAGTAAGATTAAAATTGCCTTTCCTCTCAATTCCTATGATATCATAATTTGATTAGTTCTTCAGTCACCATAGAATCATCTTCTACGGTAGATACAACCTGATTTTCTCATTTGTGTCTGGGAGTGAGAATCCTTTCCAGTTTTCTTTATAAAGCCTAAAAAAGGGTACATGCTAGGTGACTTTTTAAGCTTTACTTAATGCTTCAAAGGTAGGGCCTTTCATTCTGTGTGTTAAGATATAAATCCCCAGGCTCCTATCTCTGATCTGCAGGAAAACCAAAACTGTCCTCCCTGATCTGGAGGAATATTTTTGTCTAGCTGTACAGAAATGGAATTTCTCCTTGGCTTTAGAACTGTATGTCTCTAAACATAAACAAAGGAAGAAGCTCAAGAAATTTTTTTTTAAAGCAGTCTCTCGTTTTTTAGTTTATCTTTTTTCCTCTCCGGAAGAGAGTCTAGCAAGGCACTAGTCTGAGAGTATAAGAAGGCTCATAGTTCAAGATCTTCATCCAGCAGTCGTGAAGATTCAGACTAAATGTTTTCTTCCTACAGCAGCTCCCCTGTTGCCTTTTTGAAGAAAGAGCAAGTTCTGAATCTGAACCTGAAGGTTTGGAGGACAAGGTTTTATGACAGGTGGTTGTTCCTGAATATTTCAAGGTCATATGAATAATAAAATAGTAATCAACAGAACCCTGCACGGATACAAAATTTGTATCCACATCCAATCTGCAAAAATGGTCTGTGGAAATCAGCATCTACGGATATAAAATATCCACAGATTTACAGGGCTCTACTCATCAATATACTTAACATCCGGCCTGAGAGACAGTAAGAGAGAGGAGAAGAGGATTAAAGAAGGAGGGGGAGGAAACCAGCAGAAAACTAAAATCCCTTCAGGTCAAAAATGTGAACTTTTGTATTCCTTTACATTCACCACTTCATGGTATCACTGAGGCTAAGCAGGCATGCTCAAGAAATGCCAAAAGATTCATTGAACAAACAAACAAAAGTTCTTGTCAGGGCAAAAATGGAAATCCTACCTTATCTCTCTCTTCTGAAGATCAGTACTGCTCAACAAAAGCCCTTTGTGGCATGGACAAAAGATGAAGTGCAAAATCAGTTTTCCAATAAAGAAAAGCTCAAACCGACACTGCAGAAAATATCCCATATGCATGCTGTTTTTGGTTTGGTTTGCTGACAATTTGTTGTATTAAATACTATGGCCAAGAGAATCCTTTTGGTCAGATTGTAGAAGGCCTGTCCCTAACCACTCCAGAGGAATGTTTGTTCAAATTTCCGGTTAAAGGAGTGGTTAAAATGGCAAGAAAGAGATCCTATTGTTTTTAATATAATAAGAAATTAAACTAGCCCATTGTGTAGGACCAGATAGCCATTTCATGGATACACAGACGTCGGGAAATCCAAATGCTAAGGTTTCTATAGCAAAGTAACAGAGCTACATGGCACTAATGGCCAAATCGGTACTTTGGGATGCAATGTACACGGTGTTGAATGTGGCTGAGTTAATAGTTTGTTATGGAAACCTTGACTTCGGAGCTGCATTATTGTTGAGAATGTAAATGTGCAAGTGTAGCGTGCGTGCATGCGCTCGCTCGCGCTGTCTCTCTCTCTCTCTCTCCTGACCTAAAAGCATCTTTCGAGCACTCTTGTAATAAAGTGGGTACTGAAAATCTATTATTATTTGGTAAAAATGCTGAGAGATAAAGGAATTCACTGCCCTTCTCCCCAGAGATTTCAGAAGGTGGTTTTTTAATTTGAAAATGAGGTTTGTTTTTTCTTATCTGTTCTAGGTATTGCACAGCTGTAACAAACTTTCTGGTGATGGGAGGATTCATGCTTCTTGCAAAGCCAGCAATGTAAGTAAATCTTTTCTAGTGTTTGTTTCCTTAATCAGAAGGACTTACTTTGTGTTAACATATATGCATGATAATGGACACGCAGATATATGTATTTATTTATTTTATTTTCCTGGCTTTCACATAATCTTTCAGGACTTTTGGGTACCGTAATTTCTTTCCCATCAGGTGAAGAGAAATTTCAGTATACCTGTCCTCATCTGTGATATATTATCCCTTTTTATAAATAGTAGTGAAGGTATTTAGTTAGGTCTGCTTTCTTGAAGGTGGAGAAAGAAAGAGTAAACAAAAATTGACTGACATTATTTTAAATAGACTTGTCAGATCATGGTTCATGAGAGCTTAGCTGAAGGCTAAACCTTCTATCACCCATTCACAATGCCTATAAATATGATCCTTATATAGATTACTCCCAAGTAAATCCATGGCAGCTAACTTTCTTCAAGAGCTAATAAGCTTAGATAATACTGCTCCTAACTTATCTTTGTTAATTTTGCAGTATTTAATAGTACAGCATTTTGAGGCACCTCTTTTTTTAAAAATATTATTCTTTTCTTATTCTTGTCAAGGAGAACACTGTCCCTTATTAGGTGAGTGGAACTCTTGTTTGACTGGAAGGAAGAGTAATTGTACTTTACTCTCCATAGTGTTGATCCTCTCAAGCTGCTCTGAATGATGTCACTGACGTTTAGTGTTTATTCTTTAAATGATGGTTATCAGTTGTATGATAACAATTGAAAATAACAGTTCATCTCTGTCAATGCAGAATTAACAACCTAATACATCTTTTGGCTCTCTTCATTCTTTGGAAAAGTGATTGCAATTTGGGGGTTATAAGTTGGTGTCCTAGGAGTTGCAGTCTTGCAAAAGTTTCTTGTTTCAATTCTTCCAGTGATATGGGAGTGACTCAGTTAGTTGTCCATCCTCTGGTGTACAAAGCACTCCATAAACCATGTCTGTGTTACCTCCTTTCAAAGTGTCCTAGGAGCCAATGCAAAGAATTCTAGAGTGCATCTGAGGACCATCTGTGCCTTGCTAAATATGAAATCTTTCAATGGAAAAAGGTTCAGACCCATCTACCTATGCATTGATCAATTTTTTTAATAGTGCAGTGTTGCAAGCTCTAAATACAAACTCCCAGTACAGGCAAAATTTCTGGGACAAACTGTAGATCCACTGACAATTTCAGATACTGGAGCTACTCAGCATACTGAAATCTTTATCTAGTGTCACTGTCAGTAGTGACAGCTTCTAATACTGACACCTAAGTCGCATTAGATAGCTAACACTTTTTCAGGTTCTGAAACTTCAGGGAGGAAATGAGTTTTAGAAATTTGGTCTGTTCCTTGTAACAAAAAACAAGAAGGTTTCTTTGCAGATAATTGTCGTTAGAATGATTCATTCTATCTGTGAGCGCTTTTCAGCAGGATAGTCTCTGTCAATGGTTAATGTAAGCTGATCTCCTATAGATATTTCCCAATATGGACATTTTAGTAGTCAAACCTTATATATGTAAACAACAAAAAAACTCAAAGTATGAGTTTCACCAGGAGTCCTAATTTGTTGGCAGACTCTTGGGTATTTCTTCTGAGACAGTGGGCAAGACCTGTGGGCATGAGGACTCTATTACTTGATACTGCTACAGAGACTTCCATGTGAGGATCTCAAAGCACTTTAAAAATGCAATCTATCCAGATGGTTAGTCTTGTGTCCTAAGAAAAGCAGTCTTATCTCCAAAGAAGGCTTGTTTTCCCCTTATGCTTATTGAACAAGAAGACTCCTAAATCTCATGGGCAGAACGAGGCAAGGTATATTCATTTGATATTTGTGCGACAGCATCTTGCTGATCATGTAGAACTCTTAGATGTCCTGCTGTGCAAGTCTCCAAGCTGGTTCTTTGTTCTCTGTTGCTTGCTTTTCAGATTGCTTGAGCCTCACAGAATTCCCTGTTCAAATAGCTTCTGTGAATAATTGCGTGTGTGTGCACACGCATCACACACACACACACACACCCACCCACCCCTTTGTTGAAGGAAAGGAGAAGTGTAGTTGATTTTTGTGTGTGTGAGGAAATCTTGTTCTTGCTCCCAAATGTAGTATTCTCATAACTATTTCCATCCTCTTACATGAACTAAATTAATCCTCCATTTAGGAAATCAGACTGAGGATTGACTTAAATTCCCTGTGTATCTTTGAAGTAGGATATGATTTTTTCTAGCTGGGGGAAAAGGCTGTTCAACTTCATTGAACAACAGTGGTGGGGAATAGAATACACAAAGGTGTTTAGGGAGGTACATTGGAGCAAAGATAGGGACTTTTTATTGCACTTTGTTATGCAAATCACTTTTCTCAGTATTGGAGACACATTAGTTTAACAGGTGGCATGGAAACCCATTCTCCTTATATATTTTCACCTGGCTACTTAGAGATCTAATGGGAAAAAGGCAAGTAGCTGTCTAGTTTCCTCCTTGGAGAGTAACTGTTCCTTCAGCAAATCTGCGCATACATGCACAGTCACTAAATTAACTGACATCAGCAAACAAGTCCAGTACTGAAGTTAGCATAGAGCTATGTTGCTGTGTTATAACTAAATCTACTTAAACCATAATGGGAATGGATCCTTTGTGCTGTTCATCTTGCTCTTTTTAATCTCTGCTGGTTTGATATAACCCCATAAGGGGAGCTCTGTAATAGTACTTCAAAGCATTACTAAGGTTTTGTTTTGTTGTATCATTCTTTCACCTTCAGTGACTTTTTAGGTAAAAACCAGGAGTTGTTACAAGATCTAGCTGAAATGAAGGAGGAAAACATACAGTTGGTCGAAGTGCTAAATACCCTGTTTTTCTTGCCAGTCAGACGACTTCATAACTATGCTAGAGTTTTGCTAAAGCTTGCTACATGTTTTGAAGTGGTAAGCCATCTTGTCATGTATGAACCTTAATTGGTAGGAGATTTTGGGGGTGGGATTGCTTGTTTTTTGATTACACATTGGTATCACCAAACCATGAAATCACTAAACTAATATTTGTTATAAGACTATACTACAACAATTTGATTAAAACCCTTATCTCTTTAGGTTTATAAGTAGGCTTGGCAGAATTCTATTTTAATCACTGTCAGTACACATTGATTTCAGCTGACATGCTGAAATTGATGAAAAAAAAATTGATTGGTAACAGTTGGTAGGTGTACAGCCTCTTCCTCCCCCCCGGCGCGCGCTCACTTGTGCCTGCAGAGATTCAGTGTCACTGGCCTTGCCACCATGCAGGGAGCCTTCTGTGGCCCTGCTGTCATGGCCCTGCTCCCTCATGCCTGTGACAGCAGGGAGGAGGATGAGCCCCGGGACATGGGGGAGGCCATCCTATTTCTAAAGGGCTGTGCCCTGGGCAGGAGCAGTTTAGTAGTGGGGTAGTCTCCCTCATTGTCAGGGGCTAGTCATCCTCCTTGCAGCCTTGGCTGAGGGTCTCTGCTCTGCCAGGCCAGGACTGCAGCCTTCTCCACACCTGCAGGGATCATGTGTCACTGGCAGCACAGGGAGCCCTCTGCACTTCTGCTGTCACAGAGGGCCTGAGGACAGAGCCACTCAGCAGCAGGGTGGCCTCCCCTGCAGTCAGGGGCTCATAAGTACTAACCCATTGTGGTTGGTACAAATCCTTTGAAACGTTGCGTCTCACAGAACCACTTATTTTTGTTCGTTACCCTTTAGACATCTCCAGAATACCAAAAACTACAAGATTCCAGTTCTTGCTATGAGACTCTTGCTGTCCATCTCAATAGGAAAAGGAAGGAAGCAGAATACACACTAAGCTTCTGGAAGACCTTTCCTGGGAAAATGACAGTATGATGACAGCTAAGTTGCTATTACCACTAGCATCCAACTGCATGTTTGTATAGGCCTGGCTCTGAAGTCACTACTTTCCTCTCCCTACATTTCCCTGCTTTATGATGATGATCTACTTGAGCCTCTCTAATTTTTGGAAGTTTTAACCCAATATCTCAATTTGGCCCTTTTTGTAAACAATAATCATAACACAGACTGCACTGAAATTCAGACACTCAAGCACATTTAATAATTTTTTTTTTTTTTTTTAAATCTTAATGGTAGGATTCCTTGAGGAGACCAGAACGTCGGTTAATCTGTGAAAGCAGTAATCGAGGGTTGTCCCTACAGCATGCTGGGAGATTCTCGGTGAACTGGTTCATCCTCTTTAATGATGCTCTTGTCCATGCTCAGGTGAGCCAGCTCCCATAACTCTCAGAACTGAACTATTTTCACCCCAGCTGGTTGAAAGCATGTGACAATATTTCCATATGGTGAGCCTAAAGAAAAGGAGTACTTGTGGCACCTTAGAGACTAACCAATTTATTTGAGCATAAGCTTTCGTGAGCTACAGCTCACTTCATCGGATGCACGGCTGTTACTCTGAAACCTGTCATATGGTGAGTCTGTCGTTCTTAATCTAGGTTTTTATATTTTGTCTCACGATGGTGCTGGGATACCTAAAAGTGAGAAGTGTTGCCTGTTTCCAAAGAGTTGAAATAACCCTGTGTGTCCAGCATAAAAAATATTCATATGTCAGAGTCTTCATTATGGCTTCACAGGGGTCATGGTTTGCAGCTGGCACTTGTAGGAACAACTAGCTTTCAGGGCACAAGTCTCATGCGCATTCTCAGCTGCGGGGAGACAAAACTGCAGGGAAGATACATCATAAGGAATTTGGGCTGGGGCAAATGGGGGTATGAGCAATTTATTTTTTGTTTTCCCCCTTCCTTCCCCTTGCTACAGTTTTCAACACATCATATTTTCCCCCTTTCCACGCTGTGGGTGGAGGCTCTTTCAGAAGAAGCTGGTAATGTGTGAGTATTCCTCTGTAACTAGGGTTCATTCTTTTTTTATTGCTGAAATAGTCAGATGCCTCTAAATAATTAATAATAATAATAAATAAAATTTGCAACCATTTGGACTAAGTCTTGTAAGCCAGGCATGGTACGGGATGTGTCCTTGGTCCATATAGTCTTCTAATGTAGTTCTATTTATTTATTTATTTATTTATTTTTGTATTTCACTGTGCTTGGTTAAAATAGCAGAATCCTATATTCTTGTTTTGTACTTGTTCATGCACTCATGTGATTTACAGTTGGGGTGATGAGGAAAAGTGCAAAAATTAGCAATTTCTGAGACTCCTTGTTACTGTTCTTTTAAACCAGCAGTTAAAGCTAAGTGATGCTCACTGTAACACTCATTTAAAAAAAAAAAAAAAAAAGCTAACCTATCCCTCCTTCGGTAAGAAATCCTAGGTTATTTTTCCAGGCTGAAAATTTCACCAGCTAGTGAAAGGTCTTTTCTTGAAGGGTTTTATTCTTGTTTCCACTTAGGAATGGTTTGAAGGTTACTACACCAGAGGAACACTTCATTCTTCTTTCATCAACACCACAGGAAAAGGTAGGCAGATGCAGAACTTCTTAATTCCCTCTGGTGACGCTAGAGAGACAAGGTGGGTAAGCTAATATCTTTTATTGGAGCAACTTCTGTTGGTGAGCGAGACAAGCTTTCAAGCTATACAGAGTTCTTCAGATCCTGGGAAACATAGAGTGTCACAGCTAAATACAAGATTGAACAGATAGTTTAGAATAAGTAAGTAGTTATCACATATTCTATGGGACCAATCAAGGTAGAGTGGACTGTTAACATCTCTGTAGTAACAGGACAAAAACAGAGGGGTGGGGGCGTAATGGCTTATAGATTACTGTAGTAAGACATAAATCCAGTGACTTTATTAAGACCATGAATTTTAGTGTCTGACAAAGTTAAGAATTTAAACTCCCAGTCTTGTTTTTTGAAAGTGTTGTGCATGTTTCCTTTAAGGATGAGGACTGAGAGGTCAGGTATAGAGTGAACGTTTTGTGAAAAACGTTCATCAACAGGTGATACGATGTTTTTGTCTTGTATCATTTTCCTCTGTGAGTTCATTCAAGATTGTAATGATTGTCTGGTTTCACACACATAAGCATTTAGTGCACTGGGTGAGGACCACGTGTTGTGATAGAAATGTGTAGGACCCTAGATCTTGAAAGGTGTGTTATGGGAGGAGTTGATCTTTGTAGCAGTGGAGATATGTCTGCAGGTTTTGCATCTGTTGTTCTGGCAGGGTCTGGTACAGTTTTGAGTAGGTGTATCCCGGTCTGTGGGTAGCTAGCTTTTGATGAGCTTGGAGAGGTTGGGGGGATGTATGAAAGCCAGAAGTGGGGGGTTCAGGAAAGATTTCTTCAGGATGGGGTCCCCATTGAGTATGGGTTGTAATTTGATACCCCATATGGGTTTCATTGTGGGGTGGTAGGTATTGAAGCAGGTTCTGTCAGAGTACTTGGGTGGCCTGTTCCATGATGTGATCTACTTCTCTGGTGAAGCGTGGGGTTTTGGTTTTTTTTTGTATTGTTTTTTGTTGTGAAGGTGGTCTTGTGTGTTTAAGGTGTGTATCCCGGACTTGCTTCTCAGAGCATCTTCTGTGGTGTCTAAGTGCCTGGCTGTAGATAACAGATTTCTTGGGGTGGTTGGTTGAGAGGTTACTGGATCTAGGAAGATAGGTGTGGTGATCTGGGAGGTCCTTGTATATAGTTGTCCGTAGGGTTCCATTGTTTGAAGCTGATTGTGGTGTCCAGGAAGTTGATGCATGTGTCCCACAGAGAGTTTAATGAAGAAGTGGTGGTTGCTGAAATCTGAGGGAATGTAAGTCGTCTGTCCAGATGATAAAAATAGCATCAATATATCTAAGGTATTTCATTGGTTTTGGGTGCATTTGTCCACAAATTCTCTTCAAGGGAGCCCATGAAGAGGTTGGCATATTGGGAAGCAGTCCTAGGACCTATGGCTGTTCCCATGGTTTGGACAAAATGTTTGTTGAATGTAAAATTGTTCTGGGCAAGGATGAAATTGGCTGAGTTTGATGTGTTTGGGTGGCTATCTGAGGGTTGTCCATGGTCTTGTAAATATTTGAGGCAGGCAGCTATGCTGTCACTGTGAAGGATGTTGGTGTATGTTAAGGATTTCTCACCCTCCCCCCCCGCCCCCCGCCCCCCCGGAGCAATCCATGTAATGATCAAGAGTGTTGTTTTGTCCACTCTGGTATCCAGTCAGATGATTCTTTCTTTTTTCTTATGATTGTCAGTGAGGACATCATAGTTGTGAAAGAATTCTTCAAGGCAGAATCACTGGAATAATTCTTCTGGTTCTCCACATGTTAGTGTGGTATCAGGTTCTGTGGAGGGGTAGAAGTTCAGTCCCTTAGACAGGGGTGAAAGTAACTTAAAGGACTTACCTATGCTGGAGTCCTGAGCAAGGGGCGTGGCCTCAACCGGAAGAGGCAGGGCCTTTGAGTACCTGGGCCCTTTAAATCAAGCTTTAAAGGCCCTGGGACTCCAGCTGTGGTAGTGGCGGCTGGGAGCTCTGGACCCTTTAAATCACCCCCAGAGCTACCAGCTGCAGAGGCAGCTGGGAGCCCTGGGGCTCAGGGGCAATTTAAAGGGCCCAGGGCTTTAGGCCTTTTAAATCGCCGACGGAGCCCTGCCGCCACTACCCTGGGGCTCCTGCAGCGGGGCTTGGGCGATGATTTAAAGGGTCTGGGGCTCCCCGCAGCATCTGGAGCCCCTGGCCGTTTAAATCGCCTACCGAGCCCCGGGGTAGTGGTGGCAGGGCTCCGGCACTGATTTAAAGGGCCCGGGGCTCTGGCTGCTGCAGGGAGCCCCGGCCCCTTTAAATCACCAGCATGGGAAAGCCGGTCCAGTCTGGCACAGGGTACCAGCTCTTTCCGGTACGCCGGACCGAACCGGACCAGCTTACTTTCACCTGTGCCCTTAGAGTAAAGATAATTCAGCTCCAGTTAGGGGTAGTCTTGATTAAGTTTGATGACGATCAGGTGTCATGTAGCGTCCAAGTGGTAAGTACTGGTGCCATGTTTTTTCCTGGAGGTGGCAGTCTGTTGTTGCAGTTTCACTTTTTGGTTTTTTTTCTGTTGGATGACTGTCATGAGATATAGATATTTATAGTTGTTTTGGATTTCTTGTGTGATTTGCAGGTAACTTTCCTTATATATTTTTCTTCTGTTTCTTCCTCCTCCTCCATGGTGTGGGAGTGTGTGGTGATACTAAGCATCCTTCTATACAGGGGATATGGGGAAAATACCTGAGAGACAAGATACACCTCTGTTATGTGAATAGGTATCACATGTTAGCAGTATTCATCCAAGGAACTAAAAAGTCTTATATTTTTATCTACATATGTCCTGCAGTAATACCTGTGTAAAGAGAGATGGATTAGATTACTAATAAACTCTTCTATAAACTGTCTATTTCAGACAAAGTGGCTGAGGGCTATAAGCCAAGCTGTGGATCAGGCCCTAAGGGGGACATCTGACTTACCACCTTATGGAAGTGGTGGGAATATTCAGAGGCAGGAGCCCCCTATTTCACGTAGTGCAAAATACACCTTTTACAAGGACCCTCGGCTTAAAGATGCCACCTATGATGGGCGATGGCTTTCTGGGAAACCCCATGGCAGGTAAAAGCATTCAAACTCAACATTTGAATGGGATAGGAAGAGGTAGTTCGGGTGCTGTGCAAAATAATCATTATTTTCCTTGCATAAAACATGAAATACTAGTGAAACTGGCTTAACTGTAGTGGGTGTACGTGTGTTCCAGAGGGATCCTAAGATGGGCTGATGGAAGGAGGTATTCCGGGATGTTCCGAAATGGCCTGGAAGATGGGTAAGAGCAGAGTTCACTACCCTCTGAGCTAGAGCACAGAGAAAGTGTTTATGGTAGATAGTGTTATCTCTCTTTTTAGATCAAGGTTGTGTGTATGTAAAAAGCTTACTGTCTGTAAGTAAACAATACAAAAACAAATTAAGTTTGGAAGTGGAGGAGGGGATGGTGAGAGATGGGCAAGCGAGTCTGTGTCTTCTTCCCTTAAGAAGGATCAGTCAACTGCAAAAATCGGTCAACTTTCTTATCTTTTAAGACTAACAGATTTATTTGGAAATAAGATTCCATGGGTAAAAACCCACTTCTTCAGATGCATCTGAAGAAGTGGGTTTTTACCCACGAAAGCTTATGCCCAAATAAATCTGTTAGCCTTTAAGGTGCCACCGGACTCCTTGTTTTTTTTTTGTGGACACAGACTAACACAGCTACCCCCTGATGCTTTTCTTATCTTTGCTTACCAGGTAAGCCTTCTGTTGTATCTGAAGATTTTTTTTTTTTTTTAAATGATTCGGCTTCATTATTTTTATTTGTTCTTTCAAAAGGCATATAATGCCTTTATATAAGTTAGGAGTGCACCATCATCTTGAATAGTGTATTAAGTTCTGGTCACTTCGTCTCAAAAGAGTAGAAATAGAAAAGGCCTGGTGAAAAGCAACAAGAAATAAAAAGGCAAAGGATTCCATAAAGAGAAGCCTGGAGGTTAGGACTGCTTTTAAGAGAGTTGATGAACAAGAAAGGGTACATGATAGTGATATGTAAAATGAATAGTATAGAGAAGGAAAACTTAGATAAATAGGCATTCCCATCTCATAATACAAGATAAAGGAGCTATTCAATACAATTGAAAAGCAGCATTTAAAACTGATAAAAAGGAATAACTTTGTGTACAACATATAGTTTAACCCATGGAATTTCCTTCTACACTATATCATTGAAACCAAGAGCTTAATAGTTTTCAAAAGAGGAATAGACATTTTATATGGATAATGAGAACTGTGGTTATATTAGGTACTTAAAAGGAATTTATGGTTTCATAAGGGACTTCAACCTAGACATTGCAGCAGGATTTCCTAATGTATGTAATTGAACCTGTAGGGGCTGGAAGATTGGAATGTTTACAGCCTCCAGACAACTTCCTAAACTCTCTAGCTCAACATAACAGATCTAAGAGCCCCAACTGACCATTTGGTCATTCACAGCCAACAGTGTATCTCAGGAATATCCATTTAAAAAAAAAAAAGGGGGGGGGGGAGTTCTCTAGGTCAAAAACATTAAGCTGTAGTTAAGATTAGAAATACTAATTTTGTAATTAAACACCACTACACATATTTGGGAGTATGCAGCTCATGTGGTCAGTGTTGAATACTTTGCTGTCCATTGCTTCCTGTCTGAACCATCTACCCAACCACAAGCCAGTCTGGAAAGACAGCAGCATCAACATCTTGAGCCTCTGGCACTTCATAAGCATATTGAAGACCTGTGCCATCTTCCCCATCTAGCTAGATGCTTTTTACAATCCTTTTATTCCTTCAGATATTCTCAATGGTTATAAATGTTTAAGTCCATAGCCAAAATAACCGCGTTTGTGACTGACTCATAAAGGTAAAAAGAGATCTAAGAACTTAGCTTGCAATAATACTGAAGGCAGAGCTGTCTGTTTTACCTGAGCAGTGCACAGGCGATGGAGACAGACTTAGGGCTTGTCTTCACTACTGGTATAAGTCGACCTAAGTTACATTATTTACATCACTGGAGTAGTGTAGCTGGAGTTGACGTAGCTTAGGTCAACTTACCCCAGTGTCTTCACTGTGCTGCATCGCAGGAGACGCTTTCTGGTCAACTTTCTTTACTCTTCTCAGAGGTGGAATACCGGGGTTGACCGGAGAGCGCACTGCCATCAGTTTTTAGCAGGTCTTCACTAGACCCGCTAAATCAACCCCTGCTGCATCAATTGCAGCAGCATTGCTCTCCCCAGAGTGAAGACCATCCCGTAGGACAGAGGCAGGCAAACTTTTTGGCCTGAGGGCCACATCTGGTTTCCAAAATTGTATGGAGGGCTGGGTAGGGGAGGCTCTGTGCCTCCCAAAACAGTCAGGCATGGCCCGGCCCCTGCCCCATCCACGCCCCCGACCGCCCCTGGACCCTCTGCACCTGACTGCCCCCCGCCGCCCCATTTAACCTTTCCTCTCATTCCTGACAGCCCCCCCAGGACCCCTGCCCCATCCAACAACTCCTTCTCCCTGTCCCCTTACCGCCCCTGGAACTCCTGCCTGGCGCCCCCGCCCCCCCGTCTTGCTGCCCCATCCAACCCCCCCCTCTCCTTCCTGGCTGCCCCCTGCCCCCCCATTCAACCCCCCTGTTCCCCACCCTCTGACTGTCCTGACCCCTATCCACACTCCCACCACCCTCAACTCCCCTGCCCTCTATCCAACCGCCGCACCCCCTTACCTAGAGCACTGGTGGCTGGCAACGCTACAGCTGCGCTGCCCAGAGCAGCAGGACAGGCAGCCGTGCTGCCCAGCTGCAGCCAACCACGCCACCACACAGCACAGAGCACTGGGCAACTGTGCTGCCCAGCAAGCGCTCGGGGGAGGGGGAACAGCAGGGGAGGGGCCAGGGACTAGCCCCCCCAGGCCAGGAGCTCAGGGGCCGGGCTGGAAGGTCGTAGTTTGCCCACTTCTGCCTTAGGATCTGAAATAAGAGAGATTCTTGCAAAGAGTAGACTGAGGCCTTGCTACACCACGAGTGACTTGAATTTCCATAGCTTTACTGAAGAGTTGCAAATTGTTGTGCTGCAGGGATCCACTGTGGAGGACAAAAAGCCTAAGCACTGATGGAGCAAGAGAAGACTTACTTCTAAGAAGAACTAAATGTGTGGAAAACAGTACACAGTAAAAAAAACAAAACAAAAAACCTAGTGATTTAGAACTTCTTCCTTTTTTTCAGTACAAAAAAATTATTTCTAACTGCTGGAGCTGGAGACAGAGCCACCCAGTGCAGTCTAATGTTGAAATATGTTGGTTTTGGTTCTGTGCCTGCTTTTGTAAATAACTGAGTTTGGGTTTATCTGTACATTTGTATCATGACTGCACTTGTTTGATCTTCATGCATTGGCAGGTATGGTGAATACAAAATACCAAACAAAGTATTGACCAAGGATGACCATTATGTGGGATACTGGAAGGAGGGCAAAATGTGTGGACAAGGAGTCTACAGGTAATGCCTTCTTTCATTAAGATAATCTGTGCTCCTTGCAAGAGTATGGTTCAAGAAGGAACAATAGCTATTTGAACTTCAGCTAACATATTTAGTGCAGCTTTCAGTAGCAGTTTATTCCCTTTTGGTTGGTGCACTAGATCTGTTTTCTTTCCAGTGGGGAGGGCTAATGTTTCAGGTCTCCACACCACTAGCATTCCTATTGCTATTTTCATATTCCCAAACTCCTGGCTGCAGTTACTATGGCTTAATTTCCAGATTTCTTGGGAGTTTTCTTACTGTACATGTGCGCACACACACACTCTTGATAGCTGTTACACTGTCTCTGTTTTAATGTTGCTTCCTTCTTTCAACCTGCAAGTTCTCTTGAAATGCATTGTGACAAATGTCTCATGGTATTGCATGTCTCACTTAAGAAAGGCTCTTAACATTGTTATAGTGACCCATAAGCAGCAACCCTTTTTTATTCACCTCCTAATCATATTTGTTAATCTGATTCCAGAATTGTGCTTGGGTTTAGTGCAGTCTCTGAAGAAAAAGGGAAAAATTCAGTATCTATTCCAGAAAACCTTGGGATGAAAGAATACAGATCATAAGAACCATACCCATTCTTTTTGTCATTACAGCTATGCCACTGGTGAGGTGTATGAAGGATGTTTTCAGGACAATGTGCGTCATGGGCATGGTCTCCTGCGCAGTGGCAAACTGACATCTTCCTCTCCCAGTATGTTCATTGGCCAGTGGGTGATGGATAAGAAGACTGGATATGGCGTCTTCGATGATATCACAAGGTAATGTGTTTGATAGCAGGAATTCTAAACTTTTAATCTGACCCAAAACTACATAAACTTGGGGGGAAAATGTTCAGTAGATATCTCTTTGTGTTTTCAGTTTCTGTAATTTGACTTTAGTCCATTGTAGGCTTTTGGGGCTGATGGGGGATGATTAGGAGCTCAAAGTATGAGTTCCATTCCACTGCTTTTGTTTGAACCAATATTTTTACATGCTCTCCATCATACTTCTGCTTGAAGTGTGGCACTGACTGTGATAGCTTCTTCAATACCATCCGTACATCTGCATGCTTTGCAAATGGCATATGTAGTGTTCTCTCATCCCATCAGCCAGAAGGCTGAGTTGCCCATTGATTAGAGTAAAGATTTAGGAACTAGGTCATCTTGGATTCTAATCCAGGTAAAGCCACTGATTCATTCTGGCAGCTGGGGGCAAGTTACTTCATCTCCTCATGAATGAGCAAAATGAAAAGATGGGGTAAGTAGCAGGAGTGTACTTAAAACCCCTGATTCTATATGAGCAGAGGTAAGTAAATAGGAGCCACCTGTACAAAACACCTGAACCCTCTCTGCCAAGGTCTCCTTTCTCCAATCTAAGAGCTTTTCGTGGAAGCTAAGGTGGCTGGTCCTAGTTCAGAGCTGAAAGCCCATCTACGAGGTAGAAGAGTAAAAAGCCATGACCCAGGGTCTGGGTTTCTAATGAGAGGGAGAACTGTTCTGGCCTCTGTAGTTTGTTCTTAACATCAGTTTCACATTTGGTCCTGATCATAAGGTACTTTCCTCAAAATTCTTCAGACTTCCATAATACTTAACCACGTATCAGGCCTGCCATTCTTGCTATTGAAATACTCTTCACTTGCAAGTTCAGTTTTGGCTTTATGAAAAGCTAGGAATTTTGGAGGAGACTTCAGAAAGTAGCTTTCACTGCCACCTCTGTAGATAATTAAAAATCAAAGGCAATGTGGAATTTTATATTTCTTTAACTTTAATTAAACATTGGTTTTTGGGCAGGAGGATTTCTTTCAGTATGTTTACTCAAGGCACTGTGAATAAGGAATGGATAGACTGCTTTCATCCATTAGTGTCTTACTGGGCAGCGATAGTGACTTTGAGCAAAGCCCGAAATTTACCTCTCCCCTCCTCCGTCCCAGAAGCTTAGCCTGCTGCATCTTCTTCCTAAGAAGTCCCAACCAGACAGGAGTGGCTGAAACCATGAATCAAACCAGCATCTCCCACTAGGCCATGGTACTAAGTGGCAAGCAGCTTTTTTTTTTTTTTTTTTTTTTTCCGGGTAAATACATTATTGAGCTTCCTCTCTATCATGGCTGTATTTTCTTGAGTGCCAAAGCAAAATATTCCATAGGCAAAATTATATTTGTTTAGTCGTCATTGGGCTCCCTTGGTTTTTTTTCGTTTGTTTCTTTTGGTTTTTTGGTTTTTTTTAAGTCATTTGTAAGTTGGTTTCACTTACTAATTGAAGACCATGAAATACATAAAACCATATGCCTTTTTATGGACAGTTAAAAAATGAAGAGAGTGTTCGATCTACTTCCAAGCATACAATTAAATTCATACAGTCTAAGCTGATCCCTTTTACTTGGAAAGGAAAGGCCCCTTTGCGTGTGTCTTTCAGTGGCCTTGAAAGATTCATATGTTTATGTGTAAGAAATAACTCAGATCCTCTAATCTATTTATGACAGCAATCAGGTTTAGTTGTTATCCAAAATATCTTTCTTTCAGAATGGCTCTTATTTTCTCAATGTTTGTTTGATACTGCAGAACCCTCAAAATGAATGTCTGGTTGATTGGTTTATTTCAGCCCTTTGCTTTAAATATAATTAGTCCATGAACCAAATGACTATTCTGACAGTGTTTTTTTTTTTTCTCCCCCCATACCCTCTTGAATTTAACTGCAGCCTGTGGAACTTGCCTTCTTCCTCCCTTATTGGTCCTACCCCAGTATATAATGTGGGCCCGCTCAAGTGAGGGCAGGTTAGTTTGTCATGGAATCAAAGATTCAGTCAAGAGGTCTGGGTAAAAAAGATTGTAAGGAAATCTTATTTTGTTTCATCTAACCTTCACTCACCCTCTGCACATGCCTCACATCAGTAAGGATCTCCTTTTATGTGGCTCTTTCCAAAGCTCAGTTTATGCTGATCCAGATCAGCCAGCAGGCTTTTCCCTTGTTACTTCTGTAGCAGTTGTTTAGGTCTACTTGCTTAGATGTTGGCTTATTGTGTTCTGCTTTATTAAAACTTTCAGTTTCTGAAAATAAGAACATAATGGGTCAGACCAATGGTCCATCTACCCCAATATCCTGTCTTCTGACACTGGCCAATGCCAGGTGCTTTAGAGGGAATGAGCAGAACAGGTAATTATTTTGTGATCCACCCCCTGTCATCCAGTCCCAGCTTCTGGCAATCAGAGGCTAGGGACTCCAGAGCACAGGGTGGCATCCCTAGCCATCTTGGCTAATAGCCATTGACAGACCTATCTTCCATGAACCTAACTAGTTCTTTTTTTTTTGAACCTCATTATAGTTTGGGCCTTCAGCATCCCTTGGCAATGAGTTCCACAAAGTTGGCACAGAATTCCCCAGGTTGACTGTGCATTATGTGAAGAAGTACTTCCTTGTGTTTGTTTTAAATCTGCTGCCTATTAATTTCATTGGGTTGACCCTTGGTTCTTGTGTTATGTGAAGGAGTAAATAATGCGTCCTTATTCTTTTTCTGCACCAGTCACAATTTTTATAGTTGTCTATCACATCCCCTCTTAGTCCTTTCTTCTCCAAACTGAAAATTCCCAGCCTTTTTAATCTCTCCTTCCGTATCCCCTGTAATTTTTGTTGTCCTTCTCTGTACCTTTTCCATTTCGAATATATCTTTTTTTGAGATGGGGAGACCAGAACTGCGTGTAGTATTCAAAGTGTGGGTATACCATGGATTTATATAGTAGCATTATGATATTTTCTGTCTTATGCGCTGTCCCTTTTTTCTAATGGTTCCTAATATTAGTTTTTTTGACTGCTGCTGCACATTGAGCAGATGTTTTCAGAGAATTATCCACAATGACTCCAAGATCTTTCTTGATTGGTAACAACTAATTTAGACCCCATCATTTTGTATGTATTGTTGGGATTGTGTATACTTTGCATTTGTCAACATTCAATTTCACCTGCCACTTTGTTGTCCAGTCACCCAGTTTTGTGAGTCTCTTTGTAGCTCTTTGCAGTCTGCTTTGGACTTAACTATCTTGAATCATTTTGTATCGTCTGAAAATTTTGCCACCTCCCTGTTTACCCCTTTTTCCAGATCATTTATGAATATGTTAAACAGTGCTGACCCAGTACAGATCCCTGGGGAACACTGTTAATCACTTCTTTCCATTCTGAAAACTGACCATTTATTCCTGCCCTTTTGTTTCCTGTATTTTAACCAGTTACTGATCCCTGATTGATTACTTCGCTTCTCTCTTATCCCATGACTGATTACATTGCTTAAGAACCGTCAGTGAGGGACTTTGTCAAAGGCTTTCTGAAAGTCCTAGTACGTTATATCCACTGTATCCCCATTGTCCATGTCTTTGACCCTGCTCAGAGAATTCCAATAAGTTGGTGAGGCATGGTTTCCCTTTACAAAAGCCATGTTGACTCTTGCCCAACATGCTGTGTTCATCTGTGTTTGACAATTCTGTTCTTTACAATTGTTTCAACCAGTGTGCCTGGTACTGAAGTTAGGCTTACCAGCCTGTAATTGCCAGGATCACCTCTGGTGCCTTTTTAAAAAAATTGGTGTCACGTTAGCTATCTTCCAGTCGTTTGGTACCGAAGCTGATTTTAAGGCTAGATTCCATACCATAGTTAGGTCTGCAATTTCATATATGAGCTCCTTCAGAACTCTTGGGAGAATATCATCTGGTCCTGGTGACTTATTACAGTTTGTTTAATCAAAACCTCCTCTACTGACACCTCAATCTGGGACAGTTCCTCAGATTTGTCACCTAAAAGAATGGTTCAGATGTGGGAATCTCCCCCACATCCTCTGCAGTGTAAATCTATGCAAAGAATTAATTTAGCTTCTCTGCAATGGCCTTATCTTTCTTGAGTGCTCCTTTAGCACCTTCATCATTCAGTGACCCCACTGCTTGTTTGGCAGTTTCCTGCTTCTGATGTACATAATTTTTTTTGCTGTAGTTTTTGAATCTTTGGCTAGTTGCTCTTCAAATTCTTTCTTGGGCTGCCTAATTATACTTTTACACGTGACTTCCAAGTGTTCATGCTCCTTTTTATTTTCTTCAATAGGGTTTAACTTCCAGTTTTTAAAGGATAACTTTTTTTGCCTCTAACTGCTTCTTTCATTTTGTTTACCCATAATGGCACTTCTTTGATCCTCTTACTATGTTTTTCAATTTTGGGGTACACATTTAATTTGCACCTCTATTATGGTGTTTTAAAAAAGTTTCTATGTAGGTTGCAGGCCTTTCACTTTTGTGACTTATACCTTTTTAATTTCTGTTTAAATAGCTTCCTAATTTTTGTGTATTGCCCTTTCTGAAGTTAAATGCTACTGTGGTGGGCTCTTTTGGTGAGTTGTTTTTCTCCCCATGAAGATGTTAAACTTAATTATATTACGATTGATATTATCAACCAGTCCAGCTATATTCACCTCTTGATCTGATCCTGTGCTCCTCTTCGGACTAAATCAAGAATTGCCTCTCCTCTTGTGGGTTTCGGGACTAGCTACTCCAAGAAACAGTCCTTCATAGTGTCAAGAACATTCATCTCTGCATCCCATCCTAAGCTGACATGTACTCAGTCAGTATGGGGATAGTTGAAACCCCCCATTATTATTGAGTTTTCTGTTCTTTATACACTCAAATCTCCCAGAACATCTGAAATACTAAATTTCATAATAACACTCTTGCCACATCCAGTCATTTCAGAGTATTTTTAGTTAAGGTTAGTTTAGTTAAGTTAGTATTTTAGTTAAGGTTTATATATATTTCTGCTGGTGAGAATCCTCTTTCCATTAAACTAATTAAACCAGATTAAAAAACACCATACAGAGTTCAAATGTATGGCATGTGACTTCCTGAACTTGTGACATCACATTTTCAATGTCCTAGTGGAGCCCAATTGAGAGCAGATATAATAAGCACTTTTTCCTGTAAAAATTAGGCTATTTTATCTAGATATACTTTCCTATTTCTGCAGAGGAGAAAAATATATGGGAACATGGCAAGATGACCTCTGCCAGGGAAATGGTGTTGTGGTTACTCAGTTTGGACTGTACTATGAAGGAGCCTTTAGCAACAACAAAATGATGGTGAGTTGGACCTTAAACTATATATTCTTTTTTCCCCAGCTGTTTATCCTGTGCAGCACTCTACATATCACTATCAAAATCTAACACTTCAGTTCTGTCCTGTAATTTTAAAATAGTCTTTGTAATGACTGGTCTACATTTTACTGCAATCTCCTATAGTAGCTGTCACTTTAAAAAGTCAACAGTTGCCAGTGGATATAATCTGAGATCTCCTAGGATATCTCTATACCTAGAATGCGGTCTTTTTAATAGTGACTACTGTATATGCCATGTGTCCATAATTGCTCTGTTGTGTTAATTACGGGTTTTTTCCCTTTATATAGGGGACTGGGATTTTGCTTTCTGAAGATGATACAATTTATGAAGGAGAGTTTTCAGATAACTGGACCCTTAGTGGAAAGGTTGTAATTATACTTTTTGGGTACCTTTTTGTAAATTTGTTCTCTTCTTTGAATCATTTCTCAGTGGGATTCAGTTTAATTCTCTTTCTCCCCCACAAGGGAACCCTGACCTTGCCAAATGGAGATTACATTGAAGGTCTCTTCACTGGAGAATGGGGATCTGGGATAAAAATCACTGGAACCTACTTCAAACCCAGCTTGTATGACAGTGAGAAGGACAGACCTAAAGCATTGTGAGTTATGGGTGGGGAATCGCTGCTATTCTGATAGTATAGAGTAGTGCGTTTGAGTGTAACTGAAATCCATTACCAATCTCATTCAAAGCTAGCTACGTTCAGGAAAAAACATTTGATCTAGAACAGTGTCTTTTGACTTTCTGTAGCTTTCCTAGGGTCATTCACAGCAACTCTCTGGTTGGAGAAGGGTCAGGGCATGGCATTACTGCATTGCATTGCTGAGCAGGAATTGCGGGCCCTTGAAGACAAGGTGCAGGATGGTGGACTTTGGGAGGCTTACTTTTCTCTCATGGTTTTTCCTTTCTTCTCCCAAGAACACTAGCTGGGGGTGAAGATAATGACCGCTTCAGAACGCAAGTTATATGACTGTGTTTAGAGACTGCAGGGGAAAAGAATGGGATAGTTTATATTTGCAGGATTGTTGGCCACAGACCTTTTGACCTGTCATTAGTTCTGTGGAGAAATCTGTTTTTAAAAAAACCCAACATATTAGTAGAACTAGGGCTGTGCAGAGAAAGTAGCTAACAGCAACTGGAAATGTACTGGGGGAACCTCCTGGATCACAAACGATGGTGTTTTCACACCTTGGCAAAGCTAATTCTAGAAAACATCAGGAACAAGTGGCACGTTGGGTTAGTCTGCTGACTTGTTGTCTCTAAGACCTGTGTTTGAGTCTCTTTTTAAGTCATAACGAAGATACATTTTGATTTCATCCTTGTTCTCATTTGTCCAAAAATTCATTGGCAGAGCTGTGGATGAAGCTTCACAGTATTTACTAGCATTGTGCCTGGTTATACTTGTATTATAGATTCTTCAGTTTCAGGATCACTAAAGCTCACTCTGAAATTTCAGAAACGTATGTTAGAATGAGAACTATAACCCACGTGTATTTACTTGGCTAGCTTGTCACTGTGCTTCCTGAAGCATTCACTGGTAGTTTCTTTTGACAGCAGTGACACCTACAACCTAATGCAAAGTTAAACAGGCATCCCTGCTGAACTGAACACTTGCAGTCTTAGCTAGCTGTCTGCTTTTCACCCCAGTAGGGAGTCTATGAATAAATGTATGTACACACTTGTGAAGACTGGCTGTGAAACAACAAGAGTTCTATCTCTTTTTTTTTTTTCCAAGTTGCCTTGATGTTCGTAATCTATTGGTATCGTTGTGAAAAGGGCTAGCGCCCACCTTTTGTGATAGTATGAAACTAGACAAAGTTTCAGTCAAAGTGCTGGCAGTTCTCATTGTGCTTAGTTCTCAAGTGCTGTGAAATAAATTGAATACTAATAAAAAACTATCCATATCGATAACATCTTAATGGCTATACATAAATCTGTATACAACTGTCGATCACTGGTAACTTTTGTTCATTCTGGGGATCTCCAGGCTTTTTTTCTGGGAGTATCAACAATGGTGAAAGTAGACACAGCCAAATGCAGCACATTCCTTTGTCTCAAAACCATTTATTACATCAAAGCAATGCATATTTGAGGAACCACATGTGTTCCATATTATAACAGATTATGTGTCTCATAGGAAGACACTATTAAAAAGAGTAGACTGACATTTCTAGCTGTGGAAGGGGTATCAGTTTCTGTTTAATCTGTTAATGTTATTAGGTACACAGATTGCTGTACATTTCAAGGCTTCTCTTTGCAGTGAGAAACATAAGGGCCATGCTAATCCTTAAATGAACTCTTCAGAAATTTTTGATAGTCAAACTACTCTAGATCAGAGTAGTTCTAGATTCAATCCTAACGCTTAACAGAAAAGATATTTTATATACCAGGTCAGTTTACAATGGTCCAATAATAACATTAGACACAAGACTTAATATTCATATAATCTTAAATGTTCAGATTTCCTCAAACAAGTGTGAATATCTTACAAGCACACAGATATAATTAGGTGCAGTTTCACACTGGGTTGTGTTCCAAGACTGTCTGAAATCAGAGTGGCATTTGGTGATGATTTTATCAGGAGGAAGCTTGGAAACCTAGCCGTGCCTGCTGATGAGAAATGGAAGGCAGTGTTTGAAGAATGCTGGCACCAGCTGGGTTGTGAGAATCCAGGCCAGGGAGACAGATGGAAGGCTTGGGACAGCATTGCTGTGGCTCTGACCACCAACCGCCGTCAACACAAAAACAGGTTAGTGTCCAGAAGTATAGTAGCCAGGATGAAGAAATTATTTCAGAAGAAGCTGGGATCACACCAAGGGAAGACTAGGAAAACTTCTTTGAGATATCTATAGTTAATGAAAATTTCAGAAGTGCATTGTTTAACTTCACCTCGTAATGCAAAATCTCTTTTTCAGAACAGATCCGTTGGTAGGAGATAGTTTAGATCATTACAGATGGTGTTATACATATTTTGCAATATATGTGTGAGTGGATACAGGTGTCAGAGTGCAGGGCAACTGCACCTGTATTCACTCCCTCTCGTCCTTCATCGGTACCCACTCATAAGCTTTCAGCTCCCTAGTCATTGCCTCTCTTGGGTGGAGAGACATGTCTGTCTCCTGACTGACTGCACGGTTTTCAGGCTGCACAGTTCCCTACCTTCACTGAGTACCCCAGCAAGTCAGACTACCTAAGTAGGCCTTCTTTGTTTTTCTCCTCAGAGGCTGTAAACCGCATAATTGCCCATAGGTATAAGTTAGCTACACCGCCCTTTCTAAGCAAGTATATTTATTCTTAAGGTGAAAGCATTACAGAGAAAACATAAAAAAAATCACAAACAAAAGAACCTACCTACATGCTAATATGTTTACCAGAGATTACCCTAACTATAACAAGGGCTCTGGCAGTGGCAGGTGAACAGTTCTTCAAACCCACAAAGGAGTCACAAGTTCATAACAGCTGTTAGCTCAGAAGAAACACATCTATGAATCTGAATCTTTTCTTTATAGAGTTTGGGTCTTTGATCTGCGGAGACCCTGAATAGGTAATCAGCCAGACAATGGGTTTCTCTTCAAAATGGGTCTGGAGGGCAGAATTCCATCCTTCTTCTTCAAGTATTTCCTAGGGGGTACCCATTCAACTGAAAGTTGTCTTGTCTGATTCATTTTTAAGAGTCCTTTTGAAGCTCATAACACCACCCACTCATATCTCCCCACCACTAAAGACCATACATACAATCCCACACTAATACATAAACATTTGCTTTCGTAATAAAATGAATTCCTAAGATATTTTAACTTAATTCAGTAAGGTTTGTCCAGGATATGTTGGGAAAGTGCCATATCTGTCACAACAGATTGATATGTATTAGAGATTTTCCTTAAACATATTTGTATATTTACATAAGTGTCTATATCTTAAGTTATTTTAAATCATGTTTAGAAACAGTCATGATCTGTTTTGAAGTATATTTAAAATATACAGTACAGTTGCATCTGAAAAAGTGGTTTTTTACCCATGAAAGCTTATGCCCAGATAAATCTGTTTAGTCTTTAAGGTGCAACTGGACTCCTTGTTTTGTGGATAACTAACACAGCTACCCCCTGATACTTGACAGTGAAGTAAAAACTCTGTAATAGAGGATTTAGTTAGTACAGAACATAATCCAACTTTTATACTTCTCAGAATGATTCATAATGTATTTGAAAAGTTCAAATAAGAAATAAAAGCTGCGGAGAAGAGACGCTGAGGTAGAAGCTAGGGAGAAGATTTGAAATTTGGAGATCGCTAATAAAGAAAATAGGTACAGAAAGGCTTTAAAGAGCTTTAGGGAAGGCTCTTGTACCAAGTGTGTCAATTGTGCAAAGGAAAAGAGGAAGTTGGCATTAGATGAAGGTGGGAGAGATCCAAGAGACAGCTGGAGCAAATCTATGCAGGGTTTTTCAGACAAGTAGCCATTTTGAACATGATACTGAAATCAGTGTTCAACTCCATGGATATTTCTACCAAAGAGATATAGTGAGGTCATGTTGTTTCATAGACATGACAAAGTGGGCAGCAGCATTCTGCACATCCTGGATTCTGTAGAGGTGAGATTTTTGGAAGGCCACAGAGAAGTAAATTGCAGTAGCAGAGTTGAGAAGAGATAAAAGTATGGATGAGGACTTCAGCAGAGATGAAATTGAGGCAATATTGTTCAAGTGGTGATAGGCACATTTGCATGTATTAGATGCAGAAGGAGCAAGAAAGTTCAGTGTGAACCACAGTGTCAACATTTAAGAGGTTTGAGAAGGGAAGTGTTTCCTAATATACCATTTATCCTCCCACCACACTTTAAGACATATAATTAAAAAAAAAATTTTTTGTCATATATCTTTAGACTGTAAAATCTGATTAAATATATGCACATGTACTGTACCTATTTCATGTATAATCCATACAATATCTCTGTCCTTATATCTCTACAGCCCAGAACTATTGAGTCGTTCACACACTCAGACACTGGAGAGTTTAGAGTTCATTCCACAACATGTTGGTGCCTTCACACTAGAGAAATATGAAAATATCAAGAAATATTTAATAAAGGTATCGTGAGCATCATCTAATATTGCTGGCTGTTGTCTATAAAGCATGATTTCAGGTGTCGTAACTTGTTCATTTCCACTTAAATTATCCAGCTGATTTCAGTCAGTATCAATGTACAGTGTCTTACTCTCTGTAGTAAGGTCCTAGTTAAGTTCTTGCTCTCTCAAGTAATTGCCAAATTCACCTAACCAACCAATTATTAAGAAAAATATATGGGTACTACTTTCTCTAAAGTTTGAGCCCTCATGGTCACTTCTCTGGTAATACCAATCTGCTCGTGGAGTCTGTTCCTTGCTTCTTATGTTTCATCACCCTAAAAAGTGTTTGGGTCCCAATAGAGCATTCTGTAGAATTCTGAAGTGCTTGTGAGGTTACTGAAATATTTTGTGGGTTTTCTGTATAACTGCATAGATGATTTGCTGAATTACCTGAGGCGGCTGTAGTGTGAATTCTTACCTAATAGAGGAGTTTGCTACACTTTTCAGCTAAGTGTAAACTTTACGGTCAAAATAAAGTTTTGACTATTTCTGAAGTTAGTTTATATGTGTAGTATGTTGTATGTAGTTGATATGCATGTATAACTTTTTAAAAAGGTTAAATTATTGAACCTTGAGTAGTTGAACTGAGACTCCTGCTTGCGTCTCTTGTACTCAAGTTTTTTATTCATAAGGGATAACATTTCTGTCTCTTGGATCTGTCTCTTACTGCTGCATAGCTGGTGACTCTGATTAATACCTCTCCAAACAGGCCTGTGACACCCCTCTCCACCCTCTGGGGAGGCTTGTAGAGACATTAGTAGCTGTGTACAGAATGACTTACGTTGGAGTGGGAGCCAATCGGCGGTTACTACAGGAGGCAGTAAGAGAAATTAAATCCTACCTCAAACGCATTTTCCAGTTGATCAGGTAAGAAGCATCACGTTTTAAGTTAGATTGCTTCTGGATGTACTGAAAAACATTTCATTCTCCTAATCTGGTTAGTATTAATTTGGCTCTGTGTACCAGCATTCCTCTTAAATTTGAAAAGAGTCATGATAGGATTCTGTGCTTAGCTGACTTGATGAATCTGGACAGAAAACCCTTTCCCCCTGAAAGCTCTGTCCACAGTGGAACCCATTAAGGCTCTGTCCACAGTGGAAGGCATTCTTCAGTGTGGTTGTTTCTAGCTGGGCGCTAAGGGCTTGTCCACATAGTGCATTAGTCAGCACTAGAGGAGTGTAAATTCTAGTGCACACTAGCATGTTGTGCACTAACTGGCCTGTTTCAAAGAGTGCTACAGTAATGCAGCTTTGTAGTGGATGCCAGCCCAGTTAGTATGCAACACACTAGAATTTACGCCCGTCTAGTGTGGACTAGTGCATCATGTAGACCAGCCCTAATGTCTGATTCCAAACCAGTGTGTACAGGGGATGTTTGAGGGGATGGTATTCGAGCAGTATATAAACCAAGCTCAGACACATAGCACAGGGTTCACAGAGTGTGTTCCGTAAGAATTCTTGGTAGTAATCTCCATTCACACTAAAGTGAAGAGCTGTGCTTAGATTCTTGCTAGCTGCTATAGTTATAGTACAGTAAGTAATTTTCAAAGCTATTATTCTACCATGGATATCTGCATTTTTGGTGTAGATGTAGATATTAATATAGTTAAGGTTTGTGCAAAACTGCATGTTTTAGTTTAATTTTGACTAGGAAAACAGTACACCAACATACACTGAGACTTTTAACTAAATCTTATGGTTACACATGTGGACGCATACTGTGAACCCTAGTGTAAGCTTTTTAAAGATCGTGTATTTTAAATAAGAAATCTGAAACTCTGAATAAGAAAACTGTAGGATATTCAAACACATTTTAAGTTTGTTTGTTTTTTCCAAGCCAAACAGTAGTTGCACTCTGCAAACCTTCTGACAGTGTGCTACTCTGTCCAGGTCGGTAGTTGATGACAATTTCAATTATTAACTACTAAGGAGAGGATGAACTGTAAAATAAGGATATGTGGGATGAAAATCTTCAATTAGGAGAACAATTCTCTTTCAACTCCAGTATACCCTAATTCATTCTCTGTGCTATATCGCATAATTTCATACTTGTTTTCTGTCTCCAAATTTTCCAGGAATCTGACTGTTCTTGAGCACTCTTGTGAGGTTGTATGATGTCAATAGTTTATAGTTTCTTAAAATTACTGGTCCCAGATGTAGCTTAATGAGATTGTCATATCTTAAAAAAAGACACTATCTTCCCTGAATAGTTAGCTAATTAAGAGAGGAACCAAATGAAAAAGAAGCTAGGGAAAAATAACCTAATTAATGTATATCAAGCTGTTTCTGTTTGTGTCATAAGCTTAAGTAATTGGATATGGCTTTGCTGCTAGGCTCACGCAGGAGAAATCACCATGTGCACCTTGTGTTAGAAAAATGTCTCTCAAATAAATAACTTCCCCTGCTTTTCCTGAGGAGTATGAATATATTAGCTATTTATGGACTCTTCTAATAAATCAAGTGATGCAATTATGATTTTATTTTTGAGGTTCTTGTTTCCTGATCTTCCTGATGAGGGCAGCACAATTCCACTCTTGGTGACTGAGACAAAGAGAAGGAAATCCTTCTGTAGTGGGAAAATGGACTCCAGATCAGAATCTCCTGAACCAGGGTGTGTAGGGGAAAAATCATCTCCAATAAACTACTCAGTTCATAAACTAGTACCCAATTCATAAAGCAATCCCTTCTTAGGAAAGCATTTAAGTATGTGCTTAAGTGCTGTCCTGAACTGGAACCTTAGATTTGTACCTATGTTAAATCTTTTTTCCTTGGAAAGTGTGTCTAGTAAGGAGGGCGGAAAAATAGCTTTTGGCTCTGAGGACAGATTGTCCTAAGCAAACATCCATGTGAATTCACAAAAAATATTTAATTCTGAGTGGCCTAAAGTAGAGACTAAATGCAAATACCATACTTGAATGGCTTGGAGAGGAGTGTTACATTATAGTTCAAATTTTACATACAAGTTTTGAATTAGAATTGAAGGAACTGCATGCAGTTCTGATCACCCCATCTCGAAAAAGATACATTAGAACTGGGAAAGGTACAGAGAGAGGCAACAAAAATAATGAGGGGTATGGAACCATTTCCATATGAGGAGAGATTAAAAACACTGACACTGCTTAGCTTGGAAGAGACAACGGGGGGTGGGGAATATGACAGAGGTCTATAAAGTCAAGAATAGTGTGGAGAAAGTGAATAAGGAAGTGTAATTTACCTCTTCACATAACACAGAATCCAGGGGCACCCTATGAAATCAATAGGTGGCAGGTTTAAAACAAACATAAGGAAGTATTTCTTCACACAACGTACAGTCAACCCATGCAACTGCTTACCAGGGGATGATGTGGAGGCCAAAAGTATAACTGAGCTCAAAAAGTATCAGATAAATTCATGGCTATAGGTCCATCAATGGCTATTAGCCAAGATGGTCAGGATCATAACCCCATGCTCTAGGTGTCCCTAAACCTCTGACTGCCAGAAGCTGGGACTGGATGACAGGATGGATCACTTGATGCATTGCCCTGTTCTGTTCATTCGCTCTGAAGCATCTGGCACTGGCCACGGCCAGAAGACAGGATACTGGACAAGATGGATCTTTGATCTGACCCAGTGTGGCTGTTCTTATGGCCTTATGTAGGAAAGTCTACTTGGTACCTATTTGGTGTTACAGCATTGTACCTGGACTGTGTTGTTAAATAAAGGATCTTACTCATAAGTGTAACTTTAGCACAAGTGTTAATTCCTTAACCTGCACCCTCTCTAATCCTCCTCCCCCAACTGAACATACCCTGAAATGGCTATGTATATGTTCTAATTGTTTGGCTCAATTCATTTTCTATAAATGTGTGTCTTGGTTCTCTCCCCCCCCCCACCCCTTTTTTCTTTTCTGCTTTTTTCAGTTATGTGGTAACCAGTTCTGGGCTGCTGCTTCCTGTGTTGTTACCACGACTCTACCCTCCTTTGTTTATGTTATATGCCTTAGACAATGAACGCGAAGAAGATATTTACTGGGAATGTGTTCTTCGTCTAAACAAACAGTCAGATACAGCTCTTCTGAGCTTTCTTGGAGTTCAGATGTGAGTATGCTGTTAAAAGTAATGGCCTTAACACTAAAACAAAAATGTGATATTTGGAAAATGATGGCCAAGTGAAGGCACTGTACCAGAAAACTTCCTATGACAGTGGCTCTCGACCTACTTATCATTGTGGGCCCCACAGACCTCTATATCCAGTGCCTGCCACCCAGAGACACCTCCACAGAGTGGAGCCACACGTGGAGGGCTAGGTGGCAGCCCCGACCCTGGACCTAGGTGTGGAGCCGGGCGGCAGCCTGGACCCTGACCCCGCAGGGCCATCCGGCAGTCCCGAGACCAACCCCGACCCTGACTCTCTGGGGAGCTGAATGGCAGCCCCGGGCCCTCGCCATGTGGGGCCAGCAACTCCAACCTGGCTAGGCAGTCGGGAACCCAGACCCCATGTGTCTCGACGGCCATTAGCACACAGCTGGGCCCCAGTTGTGTGCTAATTGAGCTGCGGTTTGAGAACTGCTGTCCTTTGCGCTATGAATCTCTCATGGGCTGTTCTATATTTCCTTTTCTTTTATTATCAGAACATTTATATGTAACTGTATCTTTGCAGTAAATAGTATGTGAGGGGGCTGATCACACACGCTCATTTTAAACTAATATGGGACTTGGTCATAGGAAAAGAAGTAGCCTGATAACTTTTTAGTTATGTAAAATTTGCTTAAGCGGCATGGCAATTCTTAAAGAACTCGAGGGTAGTGTTCCAAATTATAGTATTTTCCACTATTTCTGCTAAGTGTAGGTAATCATGTGGTGGAGGGAGGAAATTAGAAAAATCTTGAGGGTCCCTTTCTGTGCATCAAGCAAAAGAGAAGTTAAAATCACTTTTTAAAAACAACAACTCATTCTGTTAATTGAATACATGTGGTTTCTTACAGCAAATTTTGGCCAGTGACTGTGTCCATCCTTGGAGAAAATAAAAAGGTATATCCACTTTTTAATGCAACAGAGGAATATGTGAGCTCACATGCTTGGCAATACATTTATTATGCTCTTATTTTTCCTTTGTGCTTACATCTTTTGTATGTATTTTAAAGCTACATTAGACTTCCTTACTGTAAGCAGCTGTCACTTCAGAAGTGCAGCTCTATCCAGAATTTCCTTATTCCATATATTAGAGGATGCATAGTTCTGAGAACCTGTAATATTTTAAAAGAAGCCTGCATCTGTTTTGTTTGGTCCACAGTTGTGAAAGAGGATGAGGTTAGAAACATCTCTTACCAGGATAAGCTGTAAATTGCATTTGATAAAGACTTTTAAAAAATAGAGTAATACCACTTTTATTGTAGATCATCACCAAAAAAGGCATTATTAATAAGGATGATAAAGGAACAGATTATACAGTTAGGAACAATAGCCACTTTAGAGTAGCCAGTTTCCGTTTTCTGCTAATGGTGGTTTAACAATCAGACGTCTCTTACTAGTTTAAGTATATGGCTAGATTTATGCTGTGGAGGAAGAAAAATGTGGAAGACTTAATCAAAAACGTCAAATTCAATTTTCCATGGAGATGCAGAGTCTTTCAGTTTTAGGTCATTACTTCAGTCAGCACAGGTCAGTAGTGACCAAATTTCTTTCCCATCAGATGGTTGCTATTATGTGAGACTATTTTGGTGGTCTCCTTCCAATTCGTTTTAGACAAGTATCACCATCTCAGAAATTTTCAGTATAATTCACTCTAATCAGTCTCCTGGTTGGTATCATGAGGAGTGAGGCGAAGGACTGAATAAAAAAAGACTGAATTTCTCTGCCTCTGGACTTGGCCCTTCCAGATGAGAGTTGAGATCTGTTGGTGGGGCAGTATGAAGAAACCTACGTAAACATTGCCCAGACAGGTAACAGTTTTGTTGACAGAGGACTTCAATTTCTTAAGTCAATCCAGCATCTTTTGTGAGCCCCAAAATCACTTTATAAAAATATACTTTTATTTTACTGCATTTTTCTCACTCATATGTAATACAGGTTTCAGAGTAGCAGCCGTGTTAGTCTGTATCCACAAAAAAGCCAGGAGTACTCGTGGCATCTTAGAGACTAACAAATTTATTGGAGATTAAGCTTCCATGGGCTACAGCCCACTTCATCAGATGCATTGAATGGAACATATAGTAAGAAGATATAGATACACACATACAGAGAAGGTGGAAGTTGCCATACAAACTATAAGAGGTTAATTAATTAAGATGAGCTATTATCAGCAGGAGAAAAAAAACTTTTGTAGTGATAATCAAGATGGCCCATTTAGATAGTTGACAAGAAGGTGTGAAGATACTTAACATGTGGAAATAGATACAATATGTGTAATGACCCAGCCACTCCCAGTCTCTATTCAAACCCAAGTTAATGGTATCTAGTTTGCATATTAATTCAAGCTCAGCAGTTTCTCGTTGGAGTCTGTTTTTGAAACTTTTCTGTTGCAAAATTGCCACCCTTAAATCTTTTACTGAGTGGCCAGAGAGGTCGAAGTGTTCTCCTACCGGTTTTTGAATGTTATGATTCCTGATGTCAGATTTGTGTCCATTTATTCTTTTGTGTAGAGGCGGTCCAGTTTGGCCAATGTACATGGCAGAGGGGCATTGCTGGCACATGATGGCATATATCACATTGGTAGATGTGCAGGTGAACGAGCCTCTGATGGTGTGGCTAATGTGATTAGGTCCTATGAAGGTGTCAGTTGAATAAATATGTGGACAGAGTTGGCATCGGGCTTTGTTGCAAGGATAGGTTCCTGGGTTAGTGTTTCTGTTGTGTGGTGTGTGGTTGCTGGTGAGTATTTGCTTCAGGTTTTGGGGGCTGTCTGTAAGCGAGGACTGATCTGTCTCCCAAGATCTGTGAGAGCGAGGGATCATTTTTCAGGATAGATTGTAAATTTTTGATGATGCGCTGGAGAGGCTTTAGTTGGGGGCTGAAGGTGACAGCTAGTGGCATTCTGTTATTTTCTTTGTTGGCCCTGTCCTGTAGTAGGTGACTTTTGAGTACTCTTCTGGCTCTGTCAATCTGTTTCTTCACTTCAGCAGGTGGGTATTGTAGTTGTAAGAATGCTTGATAGAGATCTTGTAGGTGCTTGTCTCTGTCTGAGGGGTTGGAGCAAATGCGGTTGTATCTTAGAGCTTGGCTGTAGACAATGGATCGTGTGGTGTGTCCTGGATGGAAGCTGGAGGCATGTAGGTAAGTGTAGCGGTCAATAGGTTTCCGGTATAAGGTGGTGTTTGTGACCATTGCTTATTAGCACAGTAGTGTCCAGGAAATGGACCGCTTGTGTGGATTGGTCTAGGCTGAGGTTGATGGTGGGATGGAAATTGTTTTAATCATGGTGGAATTCCTCAAGGGCTTCTTTTCCATGGGTCCATCAGCCCAGCAGATGATTTAGGATTACTTTCCGTTCAAATCATTGCTGATGCTCAGCTTGATTGAGGCCTGGGGACGAGATGTGACAATTTCCTGGACGTTCCTATACATTATGGATGTGCCCACCGCTGAGACGCTGGGGCTGTATAAACGTGGGCGTGCCACACTGGGACATCTCGTTTGGGACTCCGTCCGCTACTTAAGGTTTGTAACTGAATCCTGAGCTGTTTTGCCCTACCCTTGCCACAGGCCAGTGGAAAAACAGTCTGGCTGAGGATGCCACTGGAACTGTGAAAATGAGTTAATTGGTTCCACCTTAGTGTCTGATGGATCTTTTGTCTGCATCCCAAAACCATTATGTAAGAGTCTCTGGTCAGGAGCAGCTTTGCAAAGGTTGTTGCAAGTCAGGACTGAGAGGCCTAGACAGATCAGTGAGAGGTTTTTCGCAGGGGTGGGTGAGATTCTATGGCCTGCGTTGTGCAGGAGGTCGGACTAGATGATCATAATGGTCCCTTCTGACCTTAGTATCTATGAATCTATGAATCTATAAGATGTCATCAATGTAGCGCAAGTAGAGTAGGGGCATTAGGGGACGAGAGCTGAAGAAGCGTTGTTTCAAGTCAGCCATAAAAATGTTGGCATACTGTGGGGCCATGCGGGTACCCATAGCAGTGCCGCTGACTTGAAGGTATATATTGTCCCCAAATGTGAAATAGTTGTGGGTGAAGACAAAGTCACAAAGGTTAGCCACCCGGTTTGCCGTGACATTATCGGGGATACTGTTCCTGACGGCTTGTAGTCCATCTTTGTGTGGAATGTTGGTGTAGAGGACTTCTACATCCATAGTGGCCAGGATGGTGTTTTCTGGAAGATCACTGATGGATTGTAATTTCCTCTGTCGGGGACAGATCAAGAAAGCAAGCAATCCAACTCCTATAGAGTTAGTAAGTAATCTAGCTAGAAAATGCGTTAGATTTTCTTTTGTTTTTGGCTTGTGACATTCACTGTGCTGGAGGGAATGTGTATCCCTGTTTTTGTGTCTTTTTGTAACTTAAGGTTTTGCCTAGAGGGATTCTCTCTGTTTTGAATCTGACTGCCTGTGATATTATCTTCCATTCTAATCTCAGAGTTGTTCTTTTATTTTTATTTTTTTTGTTCTTCTAATAAAGTTCTGTTTTTTAAGAATCTGATTGGGTACGCAAAAGAATAAATGGACACAAATCTGACATCAAGAATCATAATATTCAAAAACCGGTAGGAGAACACTTCGACCTCTCTGGCCACTCAGTAAAAGATTTAAGGGTGGCAATTTTGCAACAGAAAAGCTGTAAAAACAAACTCCAACGAGAAACTGCTGAGCTTGAATTAATATGCAAACTAGATACCATTAACTTGGGTTTGAATAGAGACTGGGAGTGGCTGGGTCATTACACATGTTGAATCTATTTCCACATGTTCAAGTATCCTCACATCTTCTTGTCAACGTCTAAATGGGCCATCTTGATTATCACTACAAAAGTTTTTTTTTCTCCTGCTGATAATAGCTCATCTTAATTAATTAGCCTCTTACAGTTTGTATGGCAACTTCCACCTTCTCTGTATGTGTGTATCTATATCTATATATCTTCTTACTATATGTTCCATTCAATGCATCTGATGAAGTGGGCTGTAGCCCACGAAAGCTTATGCTCTAATAAGTTTTAGTCTCTAAGGTGCCAAAAGTACTCTTGTTATATTTAATACAGTTGCATAGCTAACTTTGCAATAGCCATGTTCGCTTTCTTGTGAGCTGTCAGAGGTATTTACTAGAAAGATTCTGATCTTCTCCTGATTACCTAGGTGATACCAAACACAAAAGATGTCTGCTTTGCCTCAGCAGTTGAATGTTTACAACAGATCAGGTAATCCTTTCACTTTATCCCTTTGACTTGCTTTTCCTGCTCAGAATACTGCTTCAGTCTAAGGCTTTGTCTACACTGGAACTTCATGGGCAAAAAAAACCCAACATCCCCCGAACAACAACAGTTTTACAGACAAAAAGCGCTGTTGTGAACAGCGCTTTGTGGGCAGGAGCATTCTTCTGCCAACAAAGCTGCTGCCGCTTGTTGGGGGTGGAAGTCTTTTTTTTTGTCGGTGGGAGAGCTCTCTCCTGCCAACAATCAGCAGCTACACTGCGTGCCTTTTAGCAGCACAGCTGAAGTGGCACAGCTGCGTTGCTAAAAGGTGGGTAGTGTAGGCAAAGCCTTAATTTATTTATTAGATTGTGATCTTCAGTTTGCCATTCACATTGTAACAAGAAGCCTTGAAAGACTTTTCCGTCTTTCTGCCAAAAATGTTAATAACTCTTCAAAGTGAGGAGGTGGGTGAGCCCTTTTGTGTGGGGGCAGTTGGTATCTTCTAGGCAGGTCTTTGTAAGCTACCTTGACAGAAACGAAAGGGAGAATATACGTAATCAATTGTGCACGTGCTTTTTTTTTTTTTTTTTTTTTTTTTTTTAAAGCAGTCAGGACAAAATGGCGTATTTATGGAGAGTTTTCACAGCTAATGGCTGGAAAAGACATCTCAGTTGCTGGTCGTCTTGTTTTAAAAATGTTTGAGTGGCAGTAATGAAGAAAGTCTTTTCGAACAGCAAGCACTGATTTAAAATAGCTTAATGTTGTTTTATGTTCAGTAATATCTCTTGATCTGGTTCACTTGCAATTCAGTATGCTGTGCAGGTGGTATATTCTTAGAAATGGGCAGCTTTTGATGGCTGTGATGCAAATGTGATCAGTGGCTGTTTTGAAGGGTGCTGTCTTTCTAGAAAAGAAAGAAAAAACACGAACAAACTGTCTTTTTATTTAGTTAAGTCGATTTGCGGCTATTCATTGTAATCCTGATGGTTTCCTTTCCCAATAGTACAACCTTTACCCCATCTGACAAACTGAAGGTGATCCAGCAGACTTTTGAGGAGATCTCTCAGAGTGTGCTTGACACTCTTCAGGAAGACTTCTTGTGGTCAATGGATGACTTATTTCCTGTTTTTCTCTATGTGGTGCTACGAGCCAGGTGAGCTGTTTTAAAGTAATGTGAGAGAACCCACAGACCAACTAAAATTGTTTCCTGAATGGGAATGGTTTATTAAAGTTGAAATAGAACTGTATTCAGTACAGCTGGAGGGTCTTAAGGTAGTCTGTTAGTGCAGGTAGAGCTGTTAGCAACCCTAACTAGTTCAGCTAAAACAGTTCAGCCATTTCTGAGAAAAAGGCTGGAAAAAACATTTTGCCCATTTAAAAAAGATTCTTAAAGTATACAAGGCTAGAACAAAATATAATAGTGACTTTTCCTCATGTGACAGGATAAGGAATTTGGGGTCTGAGGTGCACTTGATTGAGGACCTGATGGATCCGTATCTCCAGCATGGGGAACAAGGCATCATGTTCACTACTCTGAAGGTGAGTACGAAATGTACACATCAACTGTCTAAAATTCCTATTCTCCTTTCTCTGGCAGCTAATAATCTTTGTACTCTTCCTATGGCAATGGCCACAACTAAGCCAATTTACATTTCAATGAAAGTTAGCAACAAATTCTTTCAACCACTTCTAGCACCACCCACTGATAAAATTTCAAGGTAACAAAGCCCTGTTAATGCTGGTTATTAATAAAATCGCATGTACATGTACAAAATCACTTCATGTTGCTCAGACTTAAACTTAGTGTGCTGGTTCTGATCTCTCTGTCACCAGAAAAATCAGATTCCTGGTATAAAGAGATTTGAACATGTGGCTCCTGTGATTACTGAGCTCTCTAGTGTATGGTAACTATTGATGTTCTGTTCTAGTGTGCAAGGGTTCCAAGTGTGGAAGTTGGAAGTGGGATTGCTTTTATGTCCTGGTGCAGCAGAGGGGAGGTGAACACTGCAGTTAAAATTCTAGGTGAAATATCAAAAAAATCTTATTTTTGTTAAATTAGTAACAACACAATCTGTCTGGTTCTTCAAGATGTGTTGCTCATGTCGATTCCATTCTAGGTGTGCGGTCATCAGAGATTTTTGCCTTAGCTGTATCCATAGGGTCAGCTGTGGCACCCCCTGGAGTGCTGTGCTCATACATCGGTGTATATGAGGAGCCGCTGGCCCTACACCTCTCAGTTCGTTCTTACTGCCCGTGGTGGTTAGTTGGAGCGCCTTTCCTTGCATAGCAAGGGCTCACGGTTTCTCCTCTTCTGACTTCGAGCCTTAAGGCCTTGTAAATAGCTGTTTATAGTAGTTAGTGTTAAGTATTTGTTAAGTGTAGTTAGAAGTTAGAGTCCAATCGGGGACTTCGTCCCAGGCGGGGCATGACCTGATCCCCAGGTTTAAGCCCTGTGTGGACTTTAACAGGCCTATGCTTGTAAGTGACCCCCACAGCTGCTGCCTCAAGTGCCGTTCGCCCTCCTGCCAGTCTTCCTCTCAGCACAAATCTTAAGTCACCCACTCCATGGGAGCACTCTCCGTCACGATACCGGTCGCCCCATCACCAGTCCTCCCCAACACCAGCAACAGTCCTCCCATCCCAAGCACCAATCTCCAGTGGCAACAGCCAGCAGACAAACACAGGGGCCAATGGCCCCATCGTGGTTACCAGAAGGGGATTCCTCCAGCACAGAAGGGCAGTTTAGCCCCTCTTCAAGACTACACCGGCATGATTGGGCAGCAGAGGCTGCGTTGACTTCTATGGCACTACCTTGGTAGCATGGCTGGACCCCGGGTTGGTGTTGGAGGGAGTTCCCTTTGCAGCCTCGTCGCTGACCCTGGTCTCCATTGCTTCAGACCTGGGCTAGGGAGCCCACCTGGGCAAGCTCAGCACCCAGGGCCATTGGTTGTGGGACAAGCTCACCCTCCATATCAACATCAGGGAGCTCAGAGGGGCTCATCTGGCCTGCCAAGCTTTCTTACCCCACCCCACCCAAGGGCAAGGTAGAGCAGATCTTGACAGATAATACCACCGGAATGTATTACATCAACAGGCAGGGCAGAGCCAGGTCATCAGCCCTTTGCCAAGAAGCTCTCTGCGTTTTGGGACTTGTGTGCCGCACCATTCATCTGGTAGCCACGCACCTGACCAGGACCAGGAACATATTAGCAGATCACCTCAGCAGGATCTTCTTGTCTCGCCACGAGTTGTCACTCCATCCAGAGAGGGTTAGTATAATCCTTCCAGAGGTGGGGGACTCCCCAGGTGGACCTGTTCGCATCCAGGCAGAACAGGAAATGCCATGTCTTCTGTTCACTCTGAGGGATGGAAAGGGGCTCCCTGTCAGATGGGTTTCTCAGGGGCTCTAATATATGCCTTCCAGCCAGTGCCGTTAATTCACAGGTTCCTTGTGAAGATCAAGCAGGACAGGGTGGTTATACTAATAGCCCCTGTCTGGCCTCGCCAGCACTGGTTTGGCATGCTGCCGAACCTTTTAGTAGCTGCCCCACTGCAGCTGCACCTCTGGCCAGATCTGCTGTCCCAGAACCACAGCAGCTTTCTGCACCTGAACCTGGAGGCGCTACACTTGACAGCATGGCTAAACTCAGACCAACGAGAATGCTCCGCCCACGTTCAGCAGGTCTTGGTGGGTAACAGGAAACCCTCCGCCAGAGTGGCTTACTTGGCCGAATGGAAAAGGTTCATGTGCTGGGCCTCGGAATGCCATATCTGGGCCTCGCAGGCCTCCCTGCAGGAGGTCATAGATTATTTTCTGCATTTCAAACTTCAGGGTTTGTCCTTGTCATCAATCAGGGTCCACCCAGCCGCTATTGCGGCCTTCCACCCTCCATTCCAAGGCAGGTCAGTCTTCACTCATGATATGACAACCCGTTTTTTGAAAGGTCTGGAGCGTCTCTACCTGCATGTCTAGGATCCCGTTCCTCTCTTGGATCTGAATCTCATGCTGTCGAGACTCATGGGTCCCCTCTTCAAGTCTCCTACTTCTCTCCTGGAAGGTTTTGTTGCTGGTTGCAATAACGTTGGCCCGCAGGGTGTCCAAGATCAGGGTGCTTGCTTCAGAACTGCCCTGTATGGTATTCTTCAGGATAAGGTCCAGCTGCGACCACACCTGGTGTTTCTACGCAAGGTTGTTTCCCAGTTTCATACTGGCCAGGACATATACTTACCACATATGCTTACATGTCTTCTTTCCAAAGCCTCATACATCAGATGATGAGTGCAGGCTGCACGCTGTGGATGTCAGGAGGGCATTGGCCTTCTATGTAGACAGGAAAAGGCTGCTCCGTAGGTCGATGCAACTGTTTGTGGCGGTGGCAGACAGAATGAGATGTCGCGCAGTGTCTACTCAAAAGATTTCATCCTGCATCATTGCCTGCATCCGCTTACTGCTAGAGCTGGCAAATGTGCCTCTGCCAGCACTCATGATGGCTTACTTCATCAGGGAAAAGAGGTCACCAACAGCCTTCCTGGCACAGGTTCTAATCAGAGATCTGTAGAGCCGCTACCTGGACATTTGTCCAGATGTTCGCATCTCATTATGCACTCGGCAAGCTTCAGACAACACTGGGTTTGGCAGAGCAATGTTGCAAGCTGCATGACCGTGAACTCTGAGCCCACCTCCATTGGACACTGCTTGTAAGTCACTTAGAATAGAATTGACATGAGCCAAGTACTTGAAGAAAAACCGGTTACCTACCTTTTTCGTATCTTGTTCTTCAAGATGTGTTGCTCATGTCCATTCCATTACCCGCCCTCCTGCCCCTCTATCGAAGTTGCCGGCAAGAAGGAACTGAGAGGCCATAGGGCTGGCAGTGCCTGATATACTGATATATGAGCACAGCACTCAAGGGGTGCCACAGCCAACCCTATGGATACCGCTAAGGCAAAAATCTCCAACAACCATGCACGTGGGCATGTGCACACCTAGAATGGAATGGACACGGAGTAACACATCTCAAAGAATAATCATGACAAAAAGGTAGCTAATTGTGGGGGGGGTTGCCATTGGTATGAGTATTTTCCCAAAGTTTCCAGTTGCTACCCACCTAAACTATATATGAAACAGTTTTTTGGAACTGAATGGCTGCCTAACCTAGTTCTTTTTTCTAGCTACTCCTAGGACGTTTCATTGTAATGTCTGAGTATCCGGAGTCCCAAACCATCCTCCCACTCCATGAGGCGTTAAACACAATTTGAACTTAAAAGCTTAGACCTTCCCCCGATACTTCATGACATTTCACAAGATTGCCACACAGTGAATGTTGTCACTGCACAACTGATCACAGAAAGTCTAACTTCCTGGGCTTCTTGGGGGGCGGGAATTAAACCTATATATGTAGCACATTTTGTAGGTTAACTGGAGGGGGTGGGGAGGGGGAAATCATGGAAAGTAGTATTTTAAAATTGAACTGAATTTTGTTTCAATTCAGGCTTGTTACTACCAGATTCAACATGAAAAGCTGACCTAGATCGCCTCTGCAACCAAAGTAGATGAGTATCTACTGAGTGGAGCTTCAGCAACATCCATGTTCCTTAGAATGGCACTTACAACAGAGATATGTGGATATTGCTTCTGAACTCATATAAAGATTGAAAAAAACAAGTACTGAGGCCATCTAGAGGAAATGACAGAAGCAGAAAAGTAATACTTAAACTTGGCCTGTCCAACAGTTTCCAAGAAGAGAGACTATTTGCTGGTCTAAAGGAGGGATTGTTTGTTCTTCCCAAATTAGCAGTGTTTTTAAAAGGCATGACATCAACTTGGAGTTCATATGCAAAGAGTAGTCTGGGCATATGGCTTCTTAGACAATGGGTTTCTGGTTTTCCTGAATCTACCTGCACTGACCACAGATTCCTTTGAAAGGATTACATTGCATCATAGAACCACTCTGTGTCTTCCTGAATTAAGCTGCTAACTATGTTTGTTTCTGGAAAAGGGAAAAAAGAAGAAAAGTTACTATGTTAGTATTTATAATAGGCAGTTTACAGAATATCTGTCTGGAAGGGTTCTGATTGAATCATTTGTAGCAGGATTGCTGAAAGCAGCCCTTAGTTGCTGTTATGGAAATGATCAAATTGACATGGGCTCCTTTACATCTGTAGTGGTAAGAACATATCCTTTTTATTTAATTAACTTCATAAACAAAAAGCACTAGCAGGTTTGAATTTCATTGCTGAATTTGGTACTTCTAAAGTTTTTTTGCAGAGCTATTAGTTTAATTGTTCCTAGCCTTGCATTCTAAGGCCCAAGGATGAACAATGTGCAGGCTGTTTTTGGAACAGTTGTCTTGTGAAGTCCATGGTGCAGGAGAATGAGAATATGTTTTAAACTAAGTGACACTAGATTTGGATTGAGATTTTTGACTCCCTCCATTATGTTGTAGTTACTTAGCAAGGGAAAACTCACTGTTACATTCTCAAAGGTATTGTAAAACAAAAACTTAATCTCAGTGTTTGGGTTTTTGTGTGTGTGCATGTTCTTTTGTGGTTTACATTTATATTGATTTATACAAATAGTGCCAGTGAACATTTGGATACAATGGGTGCTGTTCTTTACCATGTCTGACAGAAAAGTGGGAGATGTATGAAATTTTCTCATGACTTACCTTGAATTAGCATAGCAAAGGCTAAATCGGTTTTTGAAATCAGAATCATGGCTTGTGTGTTGACCCTTTAAAAAACAGAAACAAAACTGTTCATTGAAACGCTGTTGGGAGCAGTGACTGTAACGTAGCACTTTTCATAATAAAGTAAAGAGTATTTGTCTTTGAGACTGTTTTTGTGGATGGTTGGAAAAAAGAAAATTAAAAGGTATAGCAAGAGTCTACTTAAAATGTCATTTAACACCTAACTGCTCAGAGATGATAAAGGAAGTATCTCTAGAGTCCCACTAATATCTTTTTTTAAAGGTGTCTCTTTAATGCAAATGATTGTTATCAAAGATGCACTTGCAGAGAAAATATTTAATAATTAAAATAACTATTTTTGATCCAAGTAACGTGTTTCCTACTGAATTTCAAAAACCTCTTAAGGGGAAGGAAGACTGCAGTGTATGGATTTTTGTTTTGGCTTTTTTTATTTTAAAAAAAAGTATCTTACAACCATTTCTTCTTTCAGTAGATTCAGCTGTGTGTTCCATGTGGTTGTGCGCATGCCCATAGCACCAAAGCTGGAGAACTTTGCTGAGCAGTACCCGTAGGGGTGGTTCTCGCACCCTGTGGACTTAGCCCCTCTCCTGGCAGCTAGGGTCCAAGATCTGTGCGGTGTTTTCACCTCATGTTTTTGATCTCCGTTTTCTGAGTTTTTTCTCTAGATAATAGTAGTACGTTAGGTTTAGTTTAGTGTTAGAGTAGTTGGCTGCTCTGTGTGGTGCCCTCACCAGGGTTGAGGCATTGTACTCAATTCCCACGCAAGGTGCTTGTTGTGCGTTGGTGAGGAATACGTTAAGGAGTGGTGCTCTGTCTGTAAATCATTCAAAAAGAGGACTTGGGCGAATGACTTTTATGGTTGAAGCAGCACCTTCGGGAGCAGGCCATGAGACCCGCTTCAGCACTGAGATCCAGTTCCAAAGACTACCACTGATCAGATGAGGAAGTGATGCTCCTCCACTTTTGGACTCTGGTGTTCCCCCTAAGAGGAAGAGGAGTTACTCTCCCCCCACTGGTGCAATGAGGAAGAGGTCCCATAAGACTAATTGGAACAACTCCACGGCTTGGGGAGATGCTTCCTCATCTTCTAAAAGGAATACTGACTGGCACCATGCTTCTTCTGTCATGTGGGATGGAGTAGGTCTGTCTAACTGCTCTCTGGTACAACGCTAAGATCAGGAAGAGCCCATACTGTCAACACTAGTTCTGGCGACGGGGCGCTTGAGTCCAGTACTGATCACGTCTGCACCAGTGCCTACTGTTTTGATGCTGGTGGCATATTGAGCGGCATCTGACCTGCTGTGTCTGACTCTCCACTAGTTCAGGAGTTTTCTTCAAGTGCTTGCACATGTCCATTCCAATGTAGGTGTATGCACACACCAAGCCCAGTCACTGGAAAATTTTCCAGTATTAGAGCTTCTACTGCTTCATCCTCTGTTGTGCCCTTGGAACCTTCTGGATGCATTGCAGAGCTATTGGTTTTGTTGGCACCACAGCTCTCACTGCCCTGGTCCCAGACTGGAATTGAGGCTGACGCTGTGTCAAACACCAAAGGCTCCCTCAATGCTGGTGTGCCCTTCGGCTCTGTCATTGCCATAGCAGCTGATCCCGTTATCAAGTTTGATACTGCCCTTGGCCTCTGTGCCAGTACTGCCTCCTAATATTGGATGAGAGCGTATCTCACTTGGTTCTGCCAATGCCGATTCTATATTCCCTCATTGGCATTGATGCCGCCCCTGTGTTGCAGTTTGGATGAGTCCAGTTGTTTGCTTGCCCCGTCGGGGCTGGTTCCTTCATTGTCTCTGAATCTCTGAGACTCCTTGAGATACAGATCAGGGTCGTATTCCCCTTTGTTGCCCTGATAAGCACTAGAGACTATCCTCGGATCGCCATTGGTATGGAGAATGGCATTGTTCTCTCAGTCAGGAGAAGAGCTGTTTGGCCTGGTGCCTACTGGCCACCAATGCCATATCTGTTTGCTAAGTATCCTCCTTTGAAGTTCCCAGATCTTTGAGGTCCCATTCTTAGACCCACTCCACAGTGAGATCGCCAATCCCATTGGGGGTTCCCTTTCTCAGATCAGTTACAAGCAACTGCTGAGCCTGTTCCCTCTGGGCTTCCAGGGTTATCCCAAATGGATCCTGGGGTTCAAGAACAGGACCCATCATTGACTCAGCAAACCACTTCTTCATCCTCTCTGGATGACTTTATTGTGCTGGGCTTTCCCTCGATGCCTGAGGACTTTAAGTCATATCAGTATCTCCTTAGGCATATGGCCACCACCGTAGGCATTCAGGCTGAATTTTCTGCAGGAGACTATGCATAAGCTGTTGCATATTGTCCAGTCATTCGCTCTAGAGAGAGAGTAGCCCTCCTGATAAATGAGGATCTCTTGGATCCTGCAAAGGCCATCTGGAGTGTTTCTGCTTCATTGCCTCCCTTGGCAAAACATGCAGTAAACGATACCCGTCCCTGTGATGGGGTGTGCCTGGCCCTTTGTGGCCTCCTGCTGGAGGCCCTGTAGTTCTTCTACACCCCATCCCAGGAAAGAGCATTGAAGGTGGGTCTTCCACCTCTGTCAACAAATACATCTGATATGTGAGATTCCCTAGGGTCACCCTGGCAACTATATTCCCTATGTTATATCACAGTAACTATTTTGCTGCCCTGACCATAGGCACTGACTCTGTAGGTGCTCCGGGGCTAGAGCACCCACAGGGAAAAATTAGTGGGTTATCTACACCCACCAGCAGCCAAGCTCCTCCCCCCAGCTCCCCACTTCCTTCTCCACCTCCTCCCCTGAGCATGTCGCATCCCCGCTCCTCTTCCTACCTCCCAGCGCTTCCTGCTCGCCACCGGCATGCTGGGAGGGAGGGGGAGAAGTGGGAACATGGCATGCTCAGGGGAGGAGACTGGGAAGGCAGGGCCAGGGCAGGGATTTGGGGAAGGAGTTGGAGTTGGGGTGGGGACTTTGGGGAAGGGGTTGGAATGGGGACGGGACAAGGGTGGAGTCGGTGGAGCCAGGGGCAGAGGGGAGTCCAGCACCCACCAGCGGGAGCAGAAGTCGGCACCTATGCCCTGAGCTTTCAGGACATTTATTTCCACATAGCAAGTCTGAGCCACAGGAGATTTCTCCAGTTTGTTGTGATGGACTGGCACTATCAGTACACCGTGCTCCCTTTTGGTCGGTCTTCTGTTCCTTGGGTTTTTACCAAATGTATGATTGTGATGGCAGCATACCTTAGTAGGAGGGCAATTCATAACTTCTTTTCATATCTGAACAATTAGTTACTGAGGGGCAAGTCCAGAGAAGAAATTCTCTCTCATGTTTAGTTCATCCTTTAGGTCTTGTCTTAAATAGTAGGAAGTCAACATTGGTTCCAACTCAAAGAATCAAGTTCACTGGGGCCATTATAGACTGAGTTCGAGAGCATTTCTGCCGACTGACCAATTCCACATGGGTTCGCTGTGTATGTCTGGGAGTGCAGTTTCAACCCTCAACCACAGCGCGCGTATGGCTGCATGCACACAGGTAACCAATATGTTAGGTTGTGCCTTCGTCCTCTTCAAATGTTGCTGAAGTTGGTCTATCATCCGAACTGTCGTCCCTTGGACAGACTGGTCTGACTTGCCCTGCCAATCCTGAGCTCCTTACAGTGCTGGATGGTTCAGGGCAATGGGTGGTAGGGTGTTCCCTTCATTGAATCTCCACCAACCAGGACTTTGGACACCAATGTCTCCTTAATAAGTTGGGGAGTGCATCTGGGATTGTTGAAAGTTCAAGGCCTTGATTGGAACAGGAAGCTTCTCTGCATATCTACTTTCTGGAGCTTTGTGCCAAATACAGTGCCTGTAACGCCCTTAAAGATTACATCAGGGACTAGGCAGTGCACATCCTTACCAACAGTACCACCGTGATGTATTATGTGAACAGATGTAGGAGCACTCTGCAGCATGCTGTGTCAAGACATGATAAGGGTCTGGCAGTTTTGCGCTAGGGAAAACATTACCCCCGTGGCCAATCATTACCTTGCAGACCACTTCAGCAGAAATTTCTCCCTGAATCACGAGTGGTCTCTGAAGTCCAGCATCCTGCAGTACATCTTGACAGTTTGGGGCATATTGATGATTGGCCTGGTTTGCCTCATGAAACAATAAGAAATGCTGTCTGTTTTGTTCTAGAGGGGATCTCAGTCCAGGCTCCAACTGATGCCTTTCACCTGAGCTGGGAATCAGCACTCTGGTAAACTTTTCTTCTAATTCTGATCATCCCTCAAGTCATTCTCAAGCTGAAATGAGGAGGAATGATGTTTGGAGGCTGTCTGGCAAATCTTGCCTAATAGTAGAAAGCTTTCCACCCGAGTGTCCTGTTTGGCCAAATGGAAGCAATTCTGGATATATTGTTAGCCTGGGGAGGTCAACTGATGCTGGTTTGTATTCAGAATATCTTGGAGAACCTGCTATACCTTTAGTCTTCTGGTATTGCACTTAGTTTGTTGAGAGTGAATCTGGCAGCAATTCTGGCTGGCATCTGGTAGCAGGTCTTCCACCCATCCATGCGAAGTCAGTGGTTTTCAAACTCCTTGAAGTTCTTGAAAGGCAACACTCATGTCCACGTGCTGGTTAAAGAACTGGTTCCTTTGTGGGACCTTAATGCTGTCTTAATGGCTCTCATGGGACTTCCATTTGAGCCTCTGGCAACTTTTCTCCCTTGTGTGTCAGAAAATTGCTTTCCCTTTGGTGGTATCATCTGCAAGGAGAGTGTGAGAGTTGCAGGCTTTGATGGCAGAGCTTCCTTACATGCAATTTTCCAAAGACAAAGTAACCCTGTTGCTCTGCACCCTAAGCTTTTTATCTAAAGTGGCTTCTCGGTTTCACATGAACCAAGTTCTAGATCTAGCAGTGTTTTTTCCCTAAGCTACATTCAAGCCCAGGTGAGCAGCATCTTCACACACTGGATGTCATGCAATATTTTAGCTTTTTACCTGGATAGGACTAAACATTGCCATTCATCTCGTCCGCCTGTTTCATATGCGGACTGAATGAAGGGGTGAGCGCGCTCTCTTCACAGACTCTCTTTCTTTCAAGGTGGATAACTCCCTTGCATCATGACAGCATACAAA